GATCCATCGATCCATCGATCCATCTATCGATCTATCGATCTTTCGATCTATCTATCTACCTATCTATCTATCTATCTATCTCTCTCTCTAATCAATCTATCTCTAATCAATCTATCTCTAATCAATCTATCTCTAATCAATCAATCTCTAATCAATCTATCTCTAATCAATCTATCTCTAATCAATCTATCTCTAATCAATCTATCTCTAATCAATCTATCTCTAAGCAATGTATCTAATCAATCTATCTAACCAATGTATCTAATCAATCTATCTAATCAATCTATCTAATCAATCTATCTAATCCAATCCAATCTAATCCAATCCAATCAAATCCAATCTCTATAAGACACACACACACATATATATATATATATATTAATATATATATATATGTTTGTTGCACGTTTGACTGGTTGATTCACCAAGACAGCTCTGGCCTCAGACATCATGGGCAGGTTTTCGTAGGGCAAAGGTCCACCCAGGATCTGTCAGCACTGGGGCAGAACTGGGGACTGGGGATGGGTCAACGTGATCCACGTATATTTAATGATGGGATTTTAATGAGATTTAATGGTGATTTAATGGGAGTTAATGGTGATTTAATGGGACTTAAAGTTCATTTAATTGGATTTAATGGGATTTTAATGGTATTTAATAGGATTTAGTGAGACTTAATGGAACTTAATCATTTATGACTTCATGGAACTTATTGGACACATGGAGTTTGATGGGTGTCTGGTTGCCCTGAAGAATATGCTCGTCACTGGGGATCATCCTACCAGGTAGAATGGAAATCGTGAGATATGTCCAGCCACCGGCCAGTATATGATGAATAAGTTGATCTGGAAACATATCTTCATGAAGATCAATGTCTAGAAACTATGATAGAAAACAGCATGATTATGTATCATCACGTGTATCTAGAATTTACAGGCATTACAGTCGTCCAAACATGTTAAGATCCTCTGGGTGATGCAAACAGCTGTTGTAATGATATTCTTGCGCATACATTTCCGTGAAACTGGGTGGATCATGATATTTTTGGTGCTCTACCCCATCATAATGCGTTTATCCCAACGCAACACACGCACTATCACTGCATCTAATAAGCTGACTGGGCTCATTTGGGTCGGAGACCGAGCTCTACACCTCAGTGGTAGACTGTACTGGGACCATGGTGTGAAATAAAGGATGCCAGGCCCATACAAAGGTGTGGACTTGTCCTATGATTCACATGATGATTTAAACTGAGTGACTATGATGTCACTACCTGTCACAAAGAACTGCCAACCATTTCAGTTGAAAAGCAATATCCATCATCCCATGTGAACTGCACAAGACTTCCCAATCAACACCGATCATTCTGAATATTGCCACGACAATTCAACCCTCGTGACTCCGGGCTCGTTGACCAACGACAACCACTTTTTCAGGGCTTATGAACATTCATCAACCAATATTAACCATCTATTTTTTGGGGGTCACCGGGGACAGGGGGGGTTGTGGGTGCAGTTTGGCCCCACCTCGACCAGGCAGCAACCCAAGCTCCAAATGTCTTCCTAGCGTCAGCTCGCTCCGCAAAGCATGAAAACAATGGCCGTCTTCGATCCTGAGTACACCGAAATAGATCTGAAATAGATAGGAAATAGAATGGATCATATATATATATATATATACTGTATATATATATATGTATAGCTATATATACACATAATGGATTACCCTTAGGTGATCAAACATGGCACTGGAACAGGGAACATCCTCCATTGATGGATGTTTTTCCAATCAAAACCTCCCCTCCCCATCACCCAAGGTGCACCTTCTCGGATAGCGGCTGCCCCACGACGAAACACTCAGGCGCCATGTAGCGAGGCGATCCGCCCGTGTCCTGCCGTGAGCCACAGCTGGCGGCAACATGTGTTGAAAAAGCAAAGGGTTATAAAGTTACCCTCTGGTAAATTAACATAGACCCTGAAAATAACCCATGTTTAGTGGAAACTAATCTTCCAACCCCTATCTACCAGGGTCTATGTTAATTTACGGGAGGACATATTATATTCAATTCAGCAACAACTCTTCCTGTGGGGAAAATATGCCAGCACTTTTATGGACTTAACATGATTTCAACAACAAACCTCTGGGATTTCTGCAACAGAAATGGAGATGTAAGCAGCAATCACGATTTCAGAAACCAGAATTCGGAATTCCCTGTGTCCAAGCAAACCAAACAGGTGGAGACCCTGGTGGAGATGGACTTTACCAACAAAATAAAGGATCTAAGTTGGTCTAAGTCGCCAAAATTAGGTCTTTGACTGCCTCCTTATTGATCTTATTGTTGCCAATTCTGAAGGGTTGAATGTAGGGCCCTTCGGACTCCCCTGCAGCGAACAATGATATTGATCTTATTGTGGATCGGTGTTCAACCTCATTCCGCTGGGACTGAAACTGTTGCTGTCTGTAATATATTCCAAGCCTTTTAGGGCACAAGTAGAAGGATTCAACAGTTTCCATACAGGGATTCATGCATTGCATATACTGATGACTGTGAGTACGGGTCAAAATTGGGGTGCGAATGGGAGCCACCAAAACTGATCCTATTCAGTACTGAACATATTACATAAACGATCCATTTGGTCTGTCTGGCTAATTTGATGCTTACTTTAGATCTCATGTTGATCTCATGCACATAAAAATTTCCATTTTAAACATATTTTCATGCTTTGCAACCAGCAAATTATCCCGGCAAAAGACCCCAAACGGTGTGGGGGGAGTAAAAGGATACTGTATTTTAATGCTGACGATGATGTTACTGTAATGTTGATGATAATGTTGATGAGGATGGTGATGTTGTTGATGATGATGGATGATGGATGATGGATGATGGATGATGATGATGATGATGATGGTGATGATGGTGATGGTGCTGGTGATGGTGATGGAGATGAGGACGATGATGATGATGGTGATGATGATGATGATGGATGATGGATGATGGATGAGGATGAAGATGAGGATGATGATGAGGATGATGATGATGATGGTGATGATGATGATGATGATTATGATGATGATGATGATGATGATGATTTTTATTACTATGGTGATGGTGATGAGAGGAAGGTGATGATGTGGATGTTGAGGAGGAGGAGGAGGAGGAAGATGCTGATGTTGAGGAGGATGATGTTGAGGAGGAAGGCCGATCCCAAGGCCGGGAAGCACACTTTGTGCGAGCCTGCGCAATCGAAACGCGCATGGACATTGCACAAGAGCCATTTTGTATGGAAATGCGACGCTCGTTTTGTGCGAGCCTGCGCAGTCGAAATGCACATGGACATGTCAGAAGACGCATTTTGGGCAGGAATTTACAGGGAAAATGCCGGACGCTAATCCCGCGGCCAGCATTTTGTGCGAGCCTGCGCAGTCAAAATGCACATGACCTCGATTCAACACCGGGGCCTCAACTCTTACCGTAAGAACCCCTCAGTCTGGCCACAGTGATTGGGGAAAAATCAAGTGCACCCATTTAGATTTGTCTGAACATAGGGTACCCCAATAACCTAAGGTTTATCCTCATTTTCCCATAAAAGTTGCCATGATTGGGGGGTATCCGCCATTTTCAGACAAAACCCAAAGCCAACATATCAAGTTGGTTATATCCCATATACATCTCATAATATCGCATGAATTCCCACCATATCACCATTTCTGATGGGAAAAACACCTCTAAATTCCCTATGCTTCGGGCGGTTCAACGGCCCAGAGCCTGGCAGGTGATCTTGATGCCATCTGGATGGAGCTCCTTGAGCGAAGTTGAGATGATCTATGGCATCTATGATCTATGGCTACTTTAGCAAATTCACCAACCATTTCAATGGGGATTTAACATGATTTAACATGATTTAACCATCCACAAATGGAGATTTTTCACTGATTTACTATGATTTCCTACTATTTGGGGCCCCCATTAAAGCTTGCTGGAATGGCCAAATCCTAGGGATATATAGTGGTAAATTTGATCTTCTGTACGGAGAAATTCCCGACATTTTTTAGTTAAATCGACGTTCTTGGCTTGCCTTTATAAAGTGGCACCTGAATGCAATTGAGTCGTGCGGAATCCCGAACCCTGCAATTGACTCATAGGTCAATTCTCATTTGGGTTCTAGGTACCCAGGTCTTTGATTAACCTTGATTCACACTTTGGAATTTGTCATCAGGCTTGCCACATTCTACTGAATTGCGGATGGATCAATGCTGGGAATGTGGAGCATGATCACTCACCATGAAAGCAGGGATCCTGAACTGATAGAAATGACAACCCTGGGGCTTGACCAGTAAAGACTAGCTTGACTAGGTGTGTTTCTTCCCAATAACGAACATCGAAAAATAGATTGGAGTCAGGGCACCATTGCACCCGCAGGAAGTGGATGAAGCGGTCAATCATGTACCTTTTTTTGTAGGACATCAATTTCTTGGCGACCAGTCTTCAGCCACACAAAATTCACACGACTCGAAGGGGTCTCCCTTTAAGGCGGGCCCCTTTACCAAACCCACAAAAGAATAACACATATAACAATACAAAGTTGGAATAGTCAACAAAGTCAGTGAAATAGAATGATATAGACACTGGTTGGTGGTTTCAACCCCTCTGAAAAATATGAAAGTCAGTTGGGGTTATTATTTCCAATATATGGAAAGTCATAATCCAGTCATGTTCCAGTCACCACCAGGACAATATATATACTGTTTTTCTCCAGCGAATCCAGTGGCACACTTCAAAGGTCACCAATGAAGCCAAGAAGAGCAAACTTCGATAAGCGTAGATGATATTTTTATCTTAGATACTCAGATACAAAAAAAGTATGAAACACTTTACATAGCAACATTTACCCCAAGAACACACCAGATGGTAGTAGTATAGCATCAATTTTCCCACGGTCCCTTAAACCCAAATCTCACAGGGATCAGGCCGACGAATCAGATCCTGTGTCTTGCCGAAATCACAGACTTTGATGTTGAACTGCTGATCCAGCACCTGCGCTGGTCGTCCATGGCTAAGTCATGGTAAGTCATGATGCTGGCTGGTGGTTGATCATCCCATTTCGGGATCTTCACCATATTTCAAAGCAGCAACCAGACATACTTTTGGTGGTAAGGTTAGGTTTCTTAGGTCTTAGATTCTCCCAAGATTGCAGGCAGAAGCTTCCCCAAATGTTCAAGTTCGTTCCGGCTGTTTCAAGTCTTTTGAGATGCAAACAGAAGCATCAAAGTCCATCTAGCATGCAATCAATTGGCACTGCCCCTTGGGCATGATAAACAAACTTTAGGCCCACATTGCTATTGGTTGTAGCAACCCCCAAAAGAATCAAAATGATAGAAAAAAACAAGACCACTAAAATAGTGATAAATCATGTTTCTCCTTTTTGGGGTTTCTATACTCATAGGTATGTCAGAAATCTATTTTGAATGTATATACTGTATATGTATATATTTATATATTAAAACATATACATACATATTATATGATATTTAATATCGTAGTTCACATTTTCCACATCCCCAAGTCCACTGTCCAATGACTTGGCTCCAAGAACTGGCACTTTGTTCACTGCTTCCGGTGAGTTCCTGGATGGCATCTTCGCTCAACCAGAGGCGACCGCGCGTGCCGTGCCAATCGCCGTCCTGGCGGCGCTTCCCGCGACGCGTTGAGGTTTGGCCAACGACCAAGAAATTTGAAGACCCCTGGGTGGTAAAAAGAGCTGGGAATCCAAATGGTATGGTTTTTTAGACTATAGGAGACAACAATGAACCGTAGCCAACATTTCTTTTTCAACAAATCCAATTGAGGATTATGATTGGGTTACCACATTACATCGGTCAAAATCCCGGTACTTGACTGGGCACCAAAATTGCAAACGCAAAAAGAACAATAATCATAAACCAGCAGGTTTTGATGTTTTCCAATAAACTTCAAACAAAGCCAGACTTGCCCTCTGGCAATTTAAAATGGCAAGGGAAAATCCAATAGGAAAATATCTAGATCCTTGTTTGAGGCACTTTTTGCTTTTTAATAAAAATATCTAAAAGTATCCTTTTCCGTCCTGCGTCGCAATTTCAAACTTGTGCGGCGTTTTTTGTTGCGTCTAAGCAAAACTATGCAAGGAGATGGAGCACTTTCAGCATTCTTCAGTGCCTGACTTCATCGTAGTCAGCAACTTTGACTTACGCTCTGGTTATTTAACATAGCCGTGGAAAATGGCCCATTGATAGATGATTTTCCCATTAAAACCTCCATTTATAAGGGATTTTCCATGGCTATGTTAAATAACCAGATGGTATCTATCCCAATGCAAGCTGGTAGTACTTCGCTCCCAAGTCCGACCGAAAATTACGGCTCCGTCCGGGATGAATGCGCAAGTTTGGACAGCCACGTTCTTTTTCGCACATCTCCGATCTGGTCAATTAAACATGTCTAAGACTAAGACTTGTGGGCGTAGGTGCTGCGTAGTTTGGCCCTTATAATTGCGGCGTAATTTGGCGTAACTGCGGCGGAATTGGACGCAACTGTCGCATAAGATGCTGCAATGATAGCTTTTGCTAATTGCACCTCTTTGCCTTGCAGCTAACTAAACAAAGTCTGATGGGTGACATGTAGCCGAGAGACTAGGAGGAGCTGAATGTAGAATCTGAATGTAGAATGTATAGTTGCTCGGCCGCAGCAAAAAATGCCATGTGCGGCACTTTTTTTGTCGTGGATCTAGGTGGACAATCCAAACCCGTGATTTTCCAGGTTAAATTACTGGAGGGATCTGGAGGAGGGATCACAAGTTTTGATGGTTCAAACCCAAATGGTTAAATTCCCTCATTAAGGTTGTTTAATCGCAGTGAAAATCCCAGTCCCATATAAATCCCATATAGAAGTCTTATATATTAAACTCATTTTGGCAATCGTATATAAGTTCTCCCAGCAGATCCCAAAAAAATATTGAAGTTTCGATCTCATTTGGTCAATTATCTATATACCCTCTGGTAAACGTTTACATAACTATATCACCATGTTATAGCTAGGTAAATCAACTATTTCTATGGACCATTTTCAAGTTCGCAGACTGTTAGTCATTGCCAGAGGGTAACAATTTAGTGATTCACCACTATTAACCATTATTAACCATTACTATCACATGTTTTTGAGGGTAAACCCATCTTATCTGGTTGGTGGTATACCTACCCCTCTGAAAAATATGACTTCGTCAGTTGGGATGATAAAAACAAAATCCCAACTGAATGGAAAGTCATAATCCAGCATCATAATCCAGCCATGTTCCCAGCCATGTTCCCAGCCATGTTCCAGTCACCACCAACTAGTTATGATACCGGACCACCATTCTTGTTGCTCAAACCACCGGATTATTAACCATCATTAACCATCATTAACCATCATTAAACATCATGAAACATCATTAAACATCATTAAACATCATTAACCATCATTAAACATCATTAAACATCATTAAACATCATTAAACATCATTAAACATCATTAACCATCATTAAACATCATTAAACATCATTAACCATCATTAAACATCATTAAACATCATTAAACATCATTAAACATCATTAACCATCATTAAACATCATTAACCATCATTAACCATCATTAAACATCATTAAACATCATTAAACATCATTAACCATCATTAACCATCATTAATCATCATTAAACATCATTAACCATCATTAACCATCATTAAACATCATTAAACATCATTAACCATCATTAACCATCATTAAACATCATTAACCATCATTAAACATCATTAAACATCATTAAACATCATTAACCATCATTAACCATCATTAAACATCATTAAACATCACTAACCATCATTAACCATCATTAAACATCATTAAACATCATTAACCATCATTAACCATCATTAAACATCATTAACCATCATTAAACATCATTAAACATCATTAAACATCATGAAACATCATTAATTAGTATTAACCGCATGGATTAACCATTCTTGTTGCTTAAACATCAACCATCCCATCTGGAATTCCCCCCGAGGCCTCCACTGGAAGTCCCATCTCTTGCAGCCACGCTCGCAGTACAGGGCCCAGCACTGGGCCTCCGCCGTGGCCTCCGGCGCCAGTGACGAGCAGCAAACCTCCTGGGGATCTGGGGCGTGGCAAGGGAATCTGCTTCAGGATATGCCATTTTTTCGATTTTGGATGCGATTTTTGTTGATACTCTTTTGGATGAATGGTTTGATAAAATGTTTGGTGATGTTTGATTGGTTTTTGGTTATGATAGGGTATCTATGGGATAAACCTACAGTGCTAGGGTCAAATGAAATGGGATGAATGGCTTATGGTCATCCTATGCCATGGGAATCCAACTATCATGGGGATTCAAATCCCAATGCACATGGATTTATGACCATCCCCTTAAATGATACAGTAGATAGGTCCAACTTTTGACGGCACATCTGATTTGAGTGGACTTTAGATGATTTTATGGGTGAAACATGGTGAGACTGACATCAGACTTTCTGTTCTAGTTCTTCTGGGTTCCTTTGACATTTTCCCGCTCCTGGAATATTCCAAGGTTCAAGGATGAGAACGACAGCGAGACATAGATCCAACAAAATATAGGGGACGTGTCCTGATTTTCCCCATATTACTGAAATGTTCGTACATGTCCCTATATATATACACAGTATATATAAAAATATGGGTGCTCAAGATATAGGGGCCATTTACTAAGCGCCCGAAAGATCTCCGCACCAACTGAGCTCCCTATTGGAGAGTGAATGAAGCTTCATAAGTTTTCTGCTGTCATTTTTTTTGGAAAAAACAAACTAGTTTTGATATGCTACGTATGTACTTTGACTACACCAACACTTTTCCCAATTTTGGGGCACATCTGTGGATGGGGTCGAAGGTTCGTCTTTTTTTAAATCGCTCCTGCGCCCTGACGCTTCACACCCAGTGCGGCATCCAAGAGGGAGCTGAGCACCGCCAATTTGGCCATTTCCTCACGGCGTTTCGCTGACCAATGGCAACAGAAATGTGAATATGGAACATAATAGAAGTAATAAAATAGCATAACTACTGGCATTTAGTGTAGGATTCCTTCCCAAGTATGATAAGTATGGAGTCACTCAATTTCTTGATGTCTCTTGTGCCATGGCACTGTGGCCCATCTGGCGTTCGAATTCAGTAGACGCATCTTTTTCCCACTCAGCCTCGCAAGTCAAATTTGGATCCATTTCAACAGATTTTTGGGAAGCTCCCGGATCTAATTTGAGTCAAGTAACAACAGGAAAGCAATGCAAATCCTCAGCTCTAGCGCTTCGCCAGAGGGTAGTCAAGCGCAGGGATCGACTTATTCTCATGTTTTCTCATTATAGAATGGAAACAACTGCAAGGATCAAGACACTATCATATATCAGGATTATATCATATAGTTCTGGTAGTTTCAAGGAACGCAGGGACTTGTTTGTTTCCTTCTTCATGTCTCTTCAAAGCGATTGTATTTTGCTTCTTTCCAAATCTTCATCTGTCCCTGTGTCCTGTAGCTAGTTGCAACAGAAACAGGGAATGCTTTGGACGTTGTGTCCAGGAAAACCGTCAAGCGATTCATGTGCAATGCAAGATAATGCGTGGCATATCCTTGTATAGATCCTCTAAGAAACAGAAAAGCAAGACAGTTTCCGAAGGGAGGCGAAGCACATATTCAAAAATCTTCAGAAGAATCCGAAAGTATCCAACCGTTGTGTTTCAAACTCCTCCCCAACTGGGACATTTAACAACCCCTGATCTATCACAAAATAAACCAACGAATGACTGGAACACTGGAACCATCGAAGTATGTGAACAATTTTTGTTTTTTCCCAGACTTGACTGACAAAATCTTACAAATCAATTTCGGGGATTATTTTTTTCAATGGACTTGTGACTTGTCTAGCCAAGTTATGAAAAAAATACGATATTTGGGTGTGTCGGAAAATAAGATATATATAACATTATAACATTATGTAACATTATATAACATTATATAACATTATATAACATTAATTATGTAACATTATATAACATTATATAACATGATATAACTACCACCAAATTCCCATGGCAACCTCATTTTCAAGGCGCAGTTCTTTCGTGGTGTTTTTTCACATGGGGGTTTTCAATCCTTCGGTTTCCCCTAGTGGCCCTAGTCCTGTGCCAACCTTGGGTCCGAGAGTCCAAGTCAGCTTCTGGGAAGCGGCCGGTATTCAGCCACTCCGCAGATGCCAACCCCTGGTCCTGCACGGAAACCCTTAGCGCCATGAACTCACCACTGGGAATGGGGAAAACACCACCCATAGAAATGGTGATATTGAGGATGGTTTATTGTTGGATTTACATGGATTTACATTATCCTGATATATCCTGATCTTCATTTGAGGATGATTCTTGGGGTGAACAGGTAAATCGTTGTAAATCAATATGATACATGGAGATTTCTATCACAAAAACATCCTGCGATTGTTCAACTGTGTACCCACCATCAGCAATATCAACAATTCTCAACTGTTTCAAGAGTTGGTAGGATCTTGGAAAAACATCCCCAGCCTTCATCAACCACTATCGAACCCTTGTATTTTGAAGGCTCGACCTGGTCAACTCATCATTTTTGATATATGGGCCCTACAAACTGGATTTCCCATGAATCCCCCCATCATTCTTGGATGATTTTGGGGTCCTCCCTGTTAAGAAACCGCCATACCTGGCCCCTTTCACCGGCCAAACGTGCTGCAGCGCCTCCGCGTCCCGGTAGAGCGCCAAAGCTTCCGACAAACGGCCGCAGTGGAACAGCACTTTGGCTGCAGCGTTCAACACCACCTGGGCCCCAAGTGGGACGACTGAACCAAGCAGTAAATTGGAACATCAAAAAGTGGAAATATGAAAACTATATAAGAATTATAGTAATTTGAATCAAGCCTGTATGGTTTCTCCAACCAATGAATACCAATTCAATTATTGGTCAATATTGGTCATTCATGGTCATTTAATGAGAACATATATTGAAAATTAGTTTGACCCACGGCCCTCTGTCGATCAGCAGATGGTTTTCTTGGCGCAATGTATTCAACAGGCTTCAACATCTTAAAACCATCCAGTAGGTAGATTGAGTTTCAGCACCGTCAGATGCATAGGCCTTTCCCGCAGAAGATCGAAACGTTTTTCAACATGGTTCAATACTATAAATGTGGGCTAAAACAATATAAAACAATAATAAATCATCCCCAAATCACCATAAATATGTGGTATAAACCATTCCCAAATGGGTGGTTTATGATTGTTTTACCCACATTACAGATGATATTTCGCTCCTACAGTAGTTCCCAGCTTTCCAACTTTTCTGTCAAAATTGCGGCTATTTGCCGTCGAATTGATCAACACTTTCGGGGCCTCTGGGATGAAACCACCACAGAAGCAGCGCTGATCAGCCGACTCCGAAAAAATCCACTGGGAATTCAACAATCAAGTCTTTTACACCGAGATCTCTTCAGATTGGAGCCCCCCACAACCCCCAAACGTGTTTCAAAGGTACTTCGATCACAATTTGATATAGATCCAAATGTTGAGTTCTATGCCAACCAAATCTAAGTGGGCTTCTCTGAAAACCCAAAATTTGATGCTTCATCACCATGTTCCTCTCTGAAAATTGCGTCTAGTGGAGGGTATGCCACATTTTCAGACACGTCGAGCCACCAGGTTGGGTTGTGGCCCATCTTGTTTCATGTCAGCCTAAGCACCGGTTCACAGCGGATCGCTGGAGAACCAAAAACGATGGGACTTCTATGGGAGTTTCAGAGGGTCAACCCCAAAAACCATAGGGGATAAGCTATGATGAGGTGGTAGAATCAGGACATTATGCTTAGAACAAAAATAGATAAAAATAGGGGGTTCAACTTTCAATCCACCAAAATGGGGGTCAAGACAGAATTCTAACAGCAAATTTGAAAGTCTTGATGAAGATAAATCTGGCTGGAGGTTCCAAGTAGACCCACCTCAAAAAACATGTGAGTCAAGTGACAATCACAATCTTTGTCCCAACTAGGATTGGTACATATTGGAACATTAAGATGTTTGCAACCTGAAGCAGAATTGTGTAACTTCAGAGTCAAGAAACTGTGAAACAACTTATTTCTGGGAGCCAAATCAGGTTTTTGCCTTGGGGATCCATGCAGGATTTGGATGGAAAAATGGACAATTTGGAACTTCTTCAGAGCTTGCAGCCAGCATAAACAGTACTTCATTCTTGATTCCTGACCAGATAAAAGCTCAGCTCCGCAACATAAATAGAAGCAGCCATTTAGAACCGCCAAATGAATCTGAATCGGACACTTGAGTGACTTGGAGCCTCAATTTGGTGATTACATGTGATTACAGTATTTCAACATATTTCAACCGATTTAATTCGGCCTAGAAAAGCAATTTTCGCGAAAGTCAAGTGATTGAAACCAGGGAAAGCACCGCTGGCTTCACCGTGTCCAGATCATGAGATGCCATTGGCTAATATGAAGTTGGTAATTTAACATAGCTGAACATGGCCCATTTATAGATTGATAATTACCTATTTAACATGGTGTTTTTCAATAGCTGTGAAAAATTACGAGAGGGTACCTTGTTGGATGTGTTTTATGATGTGGCACCCACAGCTTCCTGACAGCACCGCTCCGTTCCACAGAGTTGCGAGAACAGCAAGAGCTGCTTCCTCAGGCATCGCGGATCATAAGGCACTTGAGCTGAGGCCAATTTAGATACGAATAAGAATGGGTTAATAATAATGTTAATATGTGTTAATAATTGTACAATAATGGCTTTTATCTTTCCATATTTCCCAGTGGTTTTAAGCAGTTCTATTCGTAAAACATGAAGATTGGCAGTGAACACCTCACAGGGACAGCACAAATCAATACCTGCAACGATGCCCAATACCTGCAGATCAGGCTTGCTTCAAGCATGTCACATGCAGGTAATCGACATGGTTACCTGCATGTGAGATTTTCTCCCAAGCGGAGTCAACTCGCCTTCTCTGCGGCCAATTTTGGGTACCCAATGGATGGTCTCATTTCTGATCGTAATCACATTTTAGACTCTTCTGGTTGGTTCATAGATATTACCCTCTGGTAAACTAACATAGCTATGGAAAATCACCATTTTCAGTGGGTAAATCCACTATTCCTATGGCCATTTTCAATAGCTATGTTAAATTACCAGAGGGTACGACAATGAGTTGTACAATGCAGTGTCAGAAGATCCGGCACTGCTCAAGATATTCGAACGCTGACCCTTGAAGTTTTGCAAGTTTCGCTCCCCGAAAAATAGAACATGTCCATGCCCTGTCAACTCCTGAAAACTATAAGTCAAACTCCCGTGGACTGAAATTTGGAGAACAAAACACATCAGATTTGGAAGTTTCAGTCTCAATATTCAAACATTCGTGGTTTAGTTGTGTATCAACGTACAAGTAGGGGTCTCAAAGTGGCACCCATGGACACACAACATTGACTCGGGTTCCATCCGATTTCTTGGTTCGTGCACCGGTGTCTCAAAACATGGCTAGTCGAGCGGACACCAAGCCAGACAGCCAAGAATTGGCTTTGAAACTCATCATTGGGGTTTTGTTAAGGGAAATCTAGGGGAAATCTAGGGGAAACGATGCTTTTTTACCTTATATTTACCTTACATGTATATTTTCACCATTTGATACGTTGAAGCCATTTCAACATATAGAAGGGATTCAAATGGTGAAATGGGTTCAAAGTATCAAAGGTCAATGTTCACTGTCGCCAAGAGTCCCATTTTTTCTGGGCCGAGATGGCCACACTGAAGAGCTGCTGGGACCTCGGAGATCAATGGGTTTTTATCACTACACGTACGCTAGAGAACAAACATATCTATTTAATAACGTGAAACTTGCAAAAAAGGCAAGATATGAAAGATAGACCATTATAATACCATGAAAATCCATGAACACACGAAATTTTCTTGGGGATTTTCTTGGGGATGGTGCCTTCCCTTCTTTCAAAGATGGCTGGCGGGATCTAGGGGATGGTAGGAAACTCCAATTCTAGTGGTTAACACAGGAGCAGGGGTTTCGCCGGCAAATTCGTCATGTGGAGTTCGGAAAAAGAATGGAGATTTCAGGAAGAAAACTATGGTTTTTCTCCCTGCATACGGAACAACAGCCAGATGGGGATGGGTACTTATGGAATTTTGCCTCCAAATATTGGCACTTGCTACTATCTTCCTGGAACGGTGGGAGACTTGACAGGTCTATATAGAAGAGACCGAGTGACACGGGACTGCAAATTTCGAGGGTTGTTCTGTGCAAATTCCTGGCTTTCGGGTGAGTCCGTGATGAGAAGGTTGTCTCGATCATAAGATTGCTGATGCAAACTGATGAACACTTGAATGTTGACATTTGCTAATATGTGTAGACATCTCACACACCTCATGAATGCATCATAATGCATCTGTGTATTCAAAGTGAGCTTAGCGGTCTGTGATTGCCTACATGTCATCTATGTACACACAGCGGCAGGATTCAGTGGCTGCCATGGGGTCCCGAGGTTGGGATCCGTTTCAGGTTCCCCATTTTGGGTCATTTTTCACACCAAGGGGACAGCTATCTTGAAGCTTCACTGATCCAAAGCTTTGATGAAAAAAAGAGACGCCCCATGATGCCACCATCCAAATTTTGGATGGCAGTTTATCCATCGATGTTAAAAAAACAGCAACAAACCATGGGCAGTTGGCCCGGCAGACTCTCCCTGGATGCTTCCCTGGACGAATTTGCCAAGAAACGGCAACTCCTCCTCGGTCCGGAGTTGCCGTTGAGCTTGCCGTCCTGGTGCAGAGGAGATGGTGCAGAGGAAACAGCGAAAAAATCGGCCCTCAAAGCCTCAAAACAGCGAGAATTCTCAGATTTCAAGTGGTGAATCTCAGATTTTGGATAAAAATGGGTACCCTCTGGTAAATTAACATAGCTATGGAAAATCACCAATGTTTATGGGAAAATCCACTATAAATGGTCATTTTCAATAGCTATGTTAAATTACCAGAGGGTATGAAATTGATTGAATGGGTAAATAAAAGAAACTTAAGGTACTATTCAAACCCAGTTGCTGTGTCTGATGCCACAACTAGAGGGAGTAAACTGAGTAAACCAACAAAAGTTGGTCCCTAGACATGGTGTGCAATTACTCCACTTCGACATGCAGGCTGTAAAATCTGATGCGTGACTCACAAAGTGCACTTTCTCTAGCCTCCCCAACCGACTCTGATTTCACCCAGAAATGATCTACTGGCTGCTATCCTGCTCACATGTTTGGCCAAGAAAAGCGCTTCTTGCTCGCCTTGATCCAGCAAATGAAGAGCCAGGTCCCACAGCGAGCCTTCCTCTCAGCAGAATGTTCTTGACCAGCTTGAGTTTGGATTAATCCCTTTAGATTTAGAATAATTACTTTAGATATTTTTCGATTTCTATTCTCATGGCTACAGGCTGGAATCGATGGAACTGACACTTTTTGTATTGGGGCTGCGCTTGATGGTGGTGGTGGTTGTGATGGTGGTGGGGGCGGTAATGTGGTAATCTGGCAATGTGGTAATGTGGCTAAGGGTTTCGTGTTTCCGCACCCCAGACGTATATACATATATATACATATATATATACATATATATATACATATATATATACATATATATATACATATATATATAAATAAATAAATATCAATCCTTGAACCTACCATTGACCAAGTTTTAATTCATTTTGGCTGGCTCATATTTCTCCATTTGGATTTATCTCAAAATCAAGCATTCTAGAGACTACCATGGATTAAAGTTCTCATAATTTGTATCATTAAAGTTGCCATAATTACGGGTCCCCCAGAGGCAAACCCATGGCGAAGAAAACCAGTGGCCCCAGCGAACCGTTGGCCCCTAACCGACTCCAGCCAGTCGGTCCTGACAAGCAGTGAGCATGCCCAGGTAGGCGGCTTCATCAGGAAAATGCCTTTTTTGAAGGACACGGACTTCATGGATTTCTCATGCATTATATACACATTTATATTTATACTATGTATATAGTTAAAGGTAATTCCCTTTAAAACACACTACTAGAAAACCACTCGCACACACACACATGCGCGTATATATGCATATACCTAATAAACATGTTTCATAATATGTCAATGTGAACAATGATGATATATATATATATATACATATATATACACACATATTGATATATATATACATATATATACACATACATATTGATATATATATATACATGTATTTGATATATATATATATATCTATATATGTGTATTTGGTATATATATACTTATTTATGTTTAATACGAAGTATATATATATATACACCTTACTCTTGTAAAGACAGTGAGTGCAGCCACGTTGCTGGAGGTGATGAAGCCTCAGTGGCAACTGATCCACGTAAACCGTTGGATTCGTCCCCGGATTGCAATCTTTAATTCTCATTCATTTTGAAGTATTACGCTGGGTAAATTTAACGTGGCAAAAAAAATAAAAAAAATCACGGACCATGTTAACATACCAAAAAAACACTGTCTTCGGTACTTCGTTAACATGAAATAAGGAGGAAAGACAAATCTGATTTTGCTTTTGTTGTTCTCATTTTTTTTCAATCGTTCCCCAGGAATCCCCAAGAACCTTAAGGTTTTGGAAGGAAATTTAAATTAACATAGCACGTTTGGAATTTTGGCCATTGAACAGTATGTATTCATGGGGAATGCAAAGAAGCAAACAGGTCGTCATTAAGGAACTTTAACATATCCTACCTGCAGCACTCGTTTTTGTGCTCAAAGTTGGGCCTTGCTCATCAGGGTCCAAGTCTGGATTCAGCACCAAAAGTGCACAAATCGAGCATTTTATATAAAGAGTTTAATAAAGAAAAAATATCATGTGAAAATACTGATTTGGGATCCATGCCGCTTTGTTCTTTTGGGAAAAGAAATCTTCCTGGGAAGTATGGGGAACTCCAGAAACAAACCAAAGGTTTTACCATGGATATCCTGATATTTTAACATGGCCCACCAGTCCATGATTTGGTGATTCATCTTTTTCACCTGTTGGTCATCCACGGCCAAAAAAACAACCACCAAAGGGCCCAAGTCTGGATTCAGCACCAAAAGTGCACAAATCGAGCATTTTATATAAAGAGTTTAATAAAGAAAAAATATCATGTGAAAATACTGATTTGGGATCCATGCCGCTTTGTTCTTTTGGGAAAAGAAATCTTCCTGGGAAGTATGGGGAACTCCAGAAACAAACCAAAGGTTTTACCATGGATAGCCTGATATTTTAACATGGCCCACCAGTCCATGATTTGGTGATTCATCTTTTCACCTGTTGGTCATCCACGGCTAAAAAAACAACCGCCAAAGGGCCCAAGTCTGGATTCAGCACCAAAAGTGCACAAATGGAGCATTTTATATAAAGAGTTTAATAAAGAAAAAATATCATGTGAAAATACTGATTTGGGATCCATGCCGCTTTGTTCTTTTGGGAAAAGAAATCTTCCTGGGAAGTATGGGGAACCTCAGAAACAAACCAAAGGTTTTACCATGGATAGCCTGATATTTTAACATGGCCCACCGGTCCATGATTTGGTGATTCATCTTTTCACCTGTTGGTCACCCACCGGTAAAAAAACAACCACCAAAGGGTCCAAGTCTGGATTCAGCACCAAAAGTGCACCACCAAGTCTGGGGTTGGGGTGGGATAGGGCATGTTAACGTTTCATGTAACTTGCATGCGTTGTGGATGCTACGCAGCCCTGGGGTTTGGGTGGGGTGAGGCATGTTAACGTTCCATGTTAAAATTGCTCTAGTTTACACTCTTTTTGTGTTTCACTGCTCAAGTTTAACCTGGAATAGTATTACATGTTTCATGTTAAAGTCAAGGGTGTCTTCGGCTGAGTGGATTGTAGAAGATGGTAGGTCGGCCACTTGCACAAAACCCGGAAAGGGGAGTACGGGAAGAAAAAAAGGCGCGGTACTTTAACATGGAACATGGCTGACACACTCACTGTTTGCTTTTTTTAGGCCATGTTAATGTGAAATCAGGGTTTTTGGATTGTTCGTGTTTAATTGATCTGGTCTGGAAAGGCCTGCCCAGCTGTCAGGTTTAAGCTGAGTTGGATAGGATGTTGGCAGCTTTCAGCATCATCCAGTATATATGACTTCCCCAGGAGTCTTCGATGAACGGGGGCTATGTTAATATCTTGGTTTTTTGTCCTCCGGTGCTACGTTAGATTTCACCGGCGTATACCCTCTGGTAAATTAACATAGATAATACATAGATATCATAGATCCTGAAAATAACAATTTTTTAGTGGAAACTAATCTTCCAACCCCTATCTTCTATGTTAATTCAATATAGACTCTGAAAATAGCAAATTTTTAGTGGTAATCTTCCAACCCCGATAACTGCCAGGGTCTATGTTAATTTACTGGAGGGTATTCCCGGTATTCCCCACAAATTTTTATGTATTTTTCCCAACATGGATCCAGATAGTTCTGAAAACCAAAGAACAAGCCAAACCTAATTGTAACATGTTACTGGTTGGTGGTTTCAACCCGTCTCAAAAGTATTAGTCAGTTGGGATCATTATTCTTAATATATGGAAAATTACTTTACTTCGTGTGATCCCCACCATGACATTTATACATTTTCTTACTGGCAAATCTTCTGGCATTCTATCTGACATATCTTCTGACATTCTATTTGACATTCTATCTGGCACATCTTCTGGCATATGATCTGGCATATCTTCTGGCATATCTTCTGGCATTCTATCTGGCAAATCTTCCGGCATTCTATCTGGCATATCTTCTGGCACTCTATCTGACATATCTTCTGGCATTCTATCTGGCATATCTTCTGGCATATATTCTGACATATCTTCTGGCCTTCTATCTGACATATCTTCTGGCATATATTCTGACATATCTTCTGGCATATATTCTGACATATCTTCTGGCATTCTATCTGACATATCTTCTGGCATATATTCTGACATATCTTCTGGCATATCTTCTGGCATATCTTCTGGCATATCTTCTGGCATTTCTATCTGGCATATCTTCTGGCATATTTTCTGGCATTCTACCTGGCAAATCTTCTGGCACTCTATCTGACATTTTATCTTCCTACATGAGGTCCGGCAGGGAACACTTTGGCGTTCCTCGCGGTTGAGGTCCGGCAGGGAACACTGGGCGTGGATGGTCGTGGTTGAGGTCCGGCAGGGAACACTGGGCGAGGATGGTCGTGGTTGAGGTCCGGCAGGGAACGCTGGGCGTGGATGGTCGTGGTTGAGGTCCGGCAGGGAACACTGGGCGAGGACGGTCGTGGTTGAGGTCCGGCAGGGAACACTGGGCGTGGATGGTCGTGGTTGAGGTCCGGCAGAGAACACTGTGGATCGCGGGTCGCAGTTGAGCAAGGACGACGAGGACGACGAGGAGGACGAGGAGGAGGAGGAGAGGAGGACGAGGCAGGAGGAGGCGGAGGAGGAGGAGGAGAAGGAGGAGAAGGAGGAGAAGGAGGAGGAGGAGGCAACTGACATAAAATCTAACAACCCTCACCTGGCAGGTGGGGAAAAAACATGTTCCAAACCACCAACCATATTAGGGGATTTTCAACATCTTCACCTTGGACAATTGTTGTGTTTATCGTATGTGATGATTGGGTTTTCCATGTTGATTGACCTCAAACTTTTCAGGGTCGTGACTTTGGACATCATAGAACAGCAGATTTGGATATTTCTGGCACTTTGGGGCTTGGGTAATGAGTCAAAATTCGACAGTCGGGTACTAACGAACCCGGCAATGCCCCATTTACACTAGTGTTTTGGTAAAGCAATAAACCAGCCATATTTCGATGGCTTATACTACCACTCATAAACATGGACAATATATGACAATTTGGGAATGGTGGATCCTATTTCTTTACCAACATGATTGAACGGCCCCTGTTTTCTGGGGGTCCCATCATATCCATCATTCTGACCCACCAGGTGGAAACTGTGACTCCCGTGAAGCAGATACCCCAACATTGCCATGACTTTACTGGACACATCACAATGAAACAAAAATGGTCAAAAACCAAGATTGGAATCTTCCCAGTTTTTTTCCAGGATTCATGGGGGGACATTCCCCAACCCAGGGGCCCAGCTTGAGGTCCCCAACAAGTCTGTGGCCACGGCTCTTTCAGCGGCAGATGCCTTGCCATTTGTCGGCTGTAGAGAGGCGGCTCTGTGAGAATGTTAGGTGACATTCTTTGTGATATTGTGGATGGAAGAAATCCTGCACCAGCTGATAGATGGTTTATCCGATTATAATCCCATTATTTACAGTGTTTCATAGTTACCTAACGCTTACCAACTGGTGCAGGATTTTGTCCAAGCATATCTCTATAGATATCATGAATGAGAATCTGGTGCTATATCTAGAAAAATGAAAGATGCTAGTCACCTAGGATCCCCGAAATTGCAATTTCCAAGAGATTATCCAACAGCAGCATGATCATTCGGCATTCGCACATGAGGTTGGCCATTGAGGTGTCTCCATACACCACCAATATATCCATCCAAATCCGGTTCATTGCTGAAGCCCCATGGAAATGATGTTCAAAACTGTTCCCAACATTCCCCACATCCCTCGTTCCCTCACTATTTCTAGCAATGATTCATTGTTTAGATCCCTATAATTGTTGTTGTCAAATCGCACTTTTTGTTAGCTGAATCCCTCTGTTTGCTTGTTTATAGTTTATTATTTAAATTTATTCCCTATTTTTAATTATTTTGATTCAAAGTTTGATGGTTAACTTGGAGGCCCCAACGGCTGCACTCACAGCCAGGGTCGCAGCAACCATGCTGGGCCTGGGCAGTTTCTGAGATGTAAACGGAGGGAGGTGTCATCAAAGAGGCCGTTGGAAATGGTGGATTTAATATGATTTATTGGGATTCAATGGGATTTAGTGGAATTTCATGGGAATATAATCGGAGAATCAAACATGGCTAGCTGGGAAATCTGCGATTTAAATTGGAAGTTTCGAGCTGGGAAAATCAACGTATATAATTATAAACGCAAGATTTTCCAGCAAGCCATGTTTGATTACCAGAGCGTGCATGGTAAATGGGGGAGTGGGAGAGCTCGACATTTCAAGTTTTCGAATGGTGGTTGAAGACTCAACTTTGTCTGTCTCTTTAAGTGTTAATGCGTGTCTGTGTGTAAGTGTGGTTTTGAGGGCATCAACCTAGTTAATATGGAATCCTACATTTGGAGAGGAGTCAAACAAAGAATCTTTGGTTCTTTCGTCTTGTTTGTGAGAAGGCGTCGGTCTTTGTCCGATAATGAAATGCTTGGGCGTCGGTTTACCGAAGTGGCATTCATCTCAACTTTCCACTTTTGGGACACCTCGCTGTCCTTCAAATCAAACAAGTCTACCTGAACCAAGCAAACTCCCGGCGAATTCACCATGATTGATTGTGAAGATGTAACAAGAACTACTGCAGCATATCGCCTTGAAGTAGGTTAGCCTACTTCAAGGCCATATGCTGTGGTGGTTCTGGTTGCGTTTTCACAATAAATCATGGTGAACCACATTTCCCAGTTTATAGGGGATTTCCCAACTACAGTAGCCATGATTGACTCTCCTATTTTTTTCCCATTAAATCCCATTGAAAACCACGAAACCCCATTAAATCTCATGAATTTCCATCATAGTGTCGAACAACTTGTTAGAACGTCATTTGGAAATTCAGTTTAACGTTCTAGCAAGATGTCCGGCACTATAAATTGGTACTAAATCCTGCTCAATCCTGTTGACACACCGGTGGACAATGTTACTTTCATTACTATTATCATTACTATTCTCATTGCTACTATCATGCATCATTGTCATTGTCATCATTATCTGAATTGTCATTATCATTATCAAATTCTATAATAATCCCACGGATAATGTTGGATTTAGTAACAACATTCCTCACCGGTCTGCCATTGTGGACACCGGGTCGCTGCTGGCTCTGCTTTCGCATGTCCTCCAGCAAGGCCAAGGTCGCCTGCAGAGATAGGGGAGGATCCTCTGATTGGCAGTTTTAAGCACCACTACAATAGAATATATATATACATAATAATTAATAACAATGATATTTGAAATTGGTGGAATTCATGAATTATTATTATTACTATTCTATAATCATCAATATCATCAATGTTAGTAGAATTTGTGTTATACCATTGCACAACTTCATATATATATATATATATACATATGATCCATAGTTAATGTACACTGTTAATGAAGTTAGTATTCACAATGGCATATCATCTATTGTGGCATAATATAGTTGTGAAACTATACAGATTATACTGATAGTTGATCATTATAGATGGGTCAATATAATAGAACATCCTATTATGTAAGTACTATATATATATGTGTATATATATATATATTAATAACAACAATAATAACATAGTAATAATGGTAATAATTCATGATATCCACCACTATTCAGTGACAATAATTGTAGGTGTGGCTGAAACATTTTTTTAAACATAATAGTAATTGTGATTATTTCAGTATTTGCTGATAACAATGATAATTCAAATAATGATGACAATGACAATGATAATGATAATAGCAATTAATGACAATAGTCATGAAAACAACACATAAAAATAAGGATCACATAATAATGGTAATAGTAATAACAATACGGCCAAACACCTCGTTTTGCCCGAGGCAGTCTCAGAATACTGTAAATTATGGATCATTCTGGCATTTCCGAAAAGCTCAGGTATGTGACCTGTGCGACATTGCCTATCATACCAACGCCGCAAAACCCTCAAATCTTAAACCCTACAGCCTAAGCTCCAAAAACGTGAAAAACACATTAGAAAATCAAGGAACCCCCCTAAATACAAAACACCTAAACCCTTAAACCCAAATTCTTAAAACCTAAAACCTTAAAGTGATGTTGGGCGAAATGAGGCATTTGCGCAATGCTGCTAGTAGTAACAATAAACATAATAATTAGCATGAAACAAATTATCAGAAAGTCTGTGGAAAACCACCGCGAATCATTTCATTTTTGATATATTGTCTGTACCTGTTTCTGTATCTACATATGTATATTTATATGCGTGTGTGTATATATATATATATGTATATTATGATAAAAAAAACATCGTACGATACAACATAAAAATAGCATAACATAATACAATGCAATGCGTTTGGTATGGGTTGAAACCCACACTATAAAATATATGTATTTAGGGGAAACATTCGGAAGCTAACTTGTTCAAGCAAGAACTGAATAATCCCTTTTGCATGAACTTTGTACAATCCTCAAGTTAAGAACATTTGCAACCAATAACCACAGTTTCTTTGCTTCTATCGTATTGTGTGTGTATATAAACCCCAACCAATTACTATTGGGCTCATCACTTTGATAGATTGGATCAATCAATAAGGACACCAACCACATATTGATTTGAGACTTCATACTAATAAATCGAATTGGTTCACATCCCCAAATAAGGCAGACCAAAACACATAATTAAACCATCGACCAGATTCTAAGCTGGGGGTATAATTATCCCCTCTCCAAGTCAAGCAACAATACCCCACTGTGGATTTTGACTTTCCAAGTGAATGTTGGACACACCCATATGATCTGAACGTCACCGCTTTTGTTAGTTCTATGAAAGTATTACCCTCTGGTTATTTAACATAGCCGTGGAAAGTGGCCCATTTATAGATTATTTTCCCATTAAAACCTCCATTTGCAAGGGATTTTCCATGGCTATGTTAAATAACCAGAGGGTAAAACCCAAGTTTTCTAGTCAATAACCGTAGCTTTGCTGGTACATTCCCTAATTTTTGTTGCGAAAGTGTCAACTTCACCTCTGAAAATTTTCCAACTTTACGTTGGTTAAGTCATGTCAAGTCCCCGTTTCTTTTGTAGACTTTAGATGTTTTTTTTTGAGTTTAGTCCCCCGATGAAAGATTTTCTATCTAAAAACTGCAGGATTTTCTCGCCATTTTCAGCATCTTTTTTGACCATCCCCTGCAGCGAAGCCTGCCACTGAGAGGATCGGCTGTAGCTATCCATGGCCTCAGCTGTTCATGGCGAGAATGGGGAGATCTACCCAGTTGGCACGGGGATTGAAGCATCAAATTGGCTGGTGAACCAATGCGAATCATGGATTTATTAGATAAACAGGAGTGATTTTTCAGAAAAAATCTGCAGGAAAGCACTGTTTTTCTCATCAAATATGGAATTTCCTGTAAATTGTCTCTTAAACCAATATAATATAAACCAATCCAATGATGGTAAATCAGACCATGCTATACTGGCACAGTAATGTCCAATAGTTTGCATGTGACTCACAGTGATCTGAAGATATCTGAATACTATTAAATACACTAACAGATACCCCTTTTGAAACACTGGTTTAGTTTCAGATAGGTACATTCATTGCAGCTCCTGGCATCCAAGATGCTGCGTTGCAAAGAAAGGTGTTCATCTGCAGGGATCTGTCTTTGAGATCCTGCGCAAGCTGCTCGGATGCACAATGATGCTGATACAATTGGGAATAATGACCCATGGAATCGCACAAATCCCTGGGATCTATGGAGAATGTACCATGCAATGTATAATATAGATTGATATATAGATAAATTAACATTCATATGGATGTTTCTCTAAAACCAGAGACCCAGAACCATGCGATTTCTTTCTAAAGAGAAGTATGTTTGGTGAGTTGGAGGGCTGCAAACAACATACTGGATTTGAGAAGGGCATGAAGTCTTCTTCCACCCATTTTCATCTACCACTCACCCGAGCTTACTCAGTATAGTGTAACGCACCGCCCTCTCAGAAGTGGTACCAACTTCAGGCATCATTCGCCCCATCAGGCTGAGCCCCTGTGCAGGAAAAAATGCTTTGACTCGATTTTCAGGAAGGTACCCTCTGGTCAACTGACATAGCTGTGGAAATTCACTATTTTTAATGGGTAAATCCACTATTTCTATGGCCATTTTCAATGTTTGGACGGGGCTGCAGGTGTTGCCTTTGGATAGGTACGGACTGCGCTGGTATCAAGGTACTGCTGTATTTCCCACACACTGTACTGACAGGGTGGATTACAGACTCGCAAACATGGCGAATTACCAGAATTACGAAGTATGGGTTTTGCTGGTCATAGGTTACATCCGCCAGGAAAGTTATATCACAAAATCATACAAGTTATATCTCCTGGTCCTGGTCCAGGCAACCCCCCAAAATCCGAAAGGTTGCAATCATCTAGCTTGTTTGACTAGGGCTTGTCTCAAAATGCTGCAAATTTGACAGTAAAAAAATTCCCTTCAGCCATGTGGGATCTGCCGTGGTCCTGCATCAATGCCAATGACTTCTGCCAGTGTTGGCCCTTGCCACAGGCCTGGCTTGGGGGGTAAAGATGTGTGAAATCAGATGGATTTGCTCAAGGGCCCCCCGAAAAAATAACACATACTTCCAGTAGATTCCCCATGGTTATGTAACCAGTGTCTTTTTTTCCTGCAAGTCCAGGAAAGTTATGGAAAGTTAACAATTGAGAGTGTAACCCATCATTTTCTGGAAAAGATCAATCCAACATTCCCACTCCAAAAGTTTCCTAATATTCAACACCCACTAATCCAAACCCTGGCGAAGTATTGCCTCTTTAGAATGTATTCAGTGGGAATTCATAGCATTGAGGTATCCCTTATGATCGAGGGAATGGACTCTCATTTTCGTGCAATGCTCATGGCAGAATAGTCACATAATAAACAAATGCTACCCACAATGATATTTGCCAACCACTGTGCTGTTGGTGTACGACTACTATCTATATCTATCCATACTAGTGCTAACCACAAGATACCAACAGCATGGTTTTAAATCTACCAGCAAAGATTAGCATCGTCATAAGCTCACTTAGCTAGCTCAATCCCATTAAATCACGATTCAATGACCCTACTCCCATGAAGAAAGTCACACTTTTTGCTTCTAAAGATGCCTACCTTAGATTACATTAGCTAGCCCCAAAAAAACACACACCACCAAAGACCAAACACTATTGATAAATGATTTTTTTTTTCCAGGACTCACTTCTTGGGTTTCTTCCCGTACTAATGCTTATCCACATAATTGAGTTTATGATTATCGACTGTTTTTGTAAACCCCGTGGGGTACAATTACACACAGTGGTTATCATATAATAATTCTAGATATAGATAACCACTGTTAATAATTTGTCTAGTCGACTAGACGAATATTTGATAACCACTGTACAATTTTCATGATTCTCTGCTAGAGAATTCCATCAGATCCCGGTGAATATCTGCCAAATAACACATGATCATGTATAGAATTCCAGTATAGAACCCAATGGCTATTATTAATAACTAATATAATATACTAATAATTATCCCACCTAAAAAATAGCTGATCTAATCGAATGGTAATCTATGGTAATTAATTATATGATTTATATGAGGATCATATGGATCATATGGATCCCAATACTTCTGGGTAAATTATAATATTTCACTAACCTGAATTAAGGCCCATTTGGGGATGATTTCCCTTATTAACTATGATTCCAGGGTTCGGTCGCAGTGAGGTCGTTATAATTTACCCAGATTTATATCTATATCATGTATATAATAGTTAAAGGTAATTCCCTTTAAAACACACTACTAGAAAACCACTCGCACACACACACATGCGCGTATATATACATATACCTACATCATATGGATCCCAGATACTTGTTGGTAATCTAGTGCATCAATGCAAATTGAGTTCATCCCACCCGAAGTTTCCAAGACGCCAGGACACCGTCAACGCAGAGCTGAACGACACCACGTCCGGCGACACGGAGACGTCAGTGGAGGACCTGAAAGGCTGACATTTTTGGGAAGATATGGGGATTTGGGGGATTTAACAAAGACATTCATAAATTCTTATTGAGGATTTTAGGAAGCGCACCACTAAATTAAGAAATTGGGATTTATCATCTGGTTGGTGGTTTTAACCCCGAAAAATATGAAAGTCAATGGGAAGGAATATCCCATATATGAAATGGAACATATAAATAACAAATGTTCCAAACCACCAGTCATGATCTCTGTGGATATCCTTCAACGGGGTTTCAACGCTTTGGAGCTGTGGTAACATCCCGGAATCCGAAGCACCAAAACACCAGTGAAACGTTGGTTTAACAAAAGAAGGCACCAAAAGAAATACTGCAAAGGTTGGACTTCCAAGAAGTCTTGCCATGGCGCAAAACATGTGCTATTCGGTGCCCACTGAATCCAAATGTTCATCAAGTGTCAAATCTGGAATAGTTCCCCAGCAACCCCCGAATCTGAATGAACAAAGGAGGGAGTCTAACTGGGCCAACCGGGCTGCCTGGGCCACCCCGACATCTCCTCCAAAAGCTGCAAACTATGCATCCAATAGTGACCCTTGGCCTCACATCGGCACATCAAGCCATCCCAAGTGGCTGTTCCAGCATTTTTCGCGCTTAAATCACAATCTACGTTTATTTTTTTGATCAATAGTCATCAATAGTCACTATTTCTGCTACAAAATCATTCAGTCATGATCTCCCGAGTCCAAGCTCCGCACGCAGGCATTCAAGGCAGTGTTGTAGGCCACCAGTAACTGCCTAAAAGTGCACCAGTGGATGTGGGATGCACATCCAAATAGTAGAGGCAACTTTTAACGGCAAGAAATAACCATTCAATGATGAGGAATATCACTGATGACCAACAGATTATCTGTTGGCTACAAGTATAGCTTGGTACAGCCATTTTTCAGACAAGTCATATCGATGGCTTCCAAAGGCCATCCCTGTCAGGGCCTGCTACTAGTCTTCGAAAACACACCATGCTGAATCCCATAAGTGGTTGTGCTCTGGCATCAAAATATATCAAAATCATCGCTCCCAACTGGAGGTTTCCTAAAATCCCCAGTTCTCATCCATTTCAATGGGATTTTCCATGAAATAAACCATCCAGCTATTGGGGATCTCCCATTGATGGAAACCCCCAAATGTTTCTACAACATGAGGGGACTTGGTTTTGTAAGTTCACAAAAAAATGTCGCTATCAACGATCCAACCCTTGCCTGTAACGCATCTTCGAACTAATTTTGACTTTGTGAAACTCGCTTTATCCATGGGATCAATCATCGCAGGATAAAACGAAAAACATGATGGCTACATATGCTCATCAGATTTACCTACCAAACGGATGGATTTGATTTAAACTTAAGATCGTTCAATACATATATATTTATATTATACATATATATATAATATAATTATATATATAATTATATATATAATTATATATATAATTATATTTATAATAAATTATAAGTATCTACCATATCCATCCTCCAGTAAACCAACTCAGCTGTGGAACATGGATGAACATGGCCCATTTATAGATGATTTACATTTACCCTTCAGTAAATTAACAGTTCGACCCTGCCAGGGGTTGAAAGATTAGTTTCAAGTAAAAAAACATGGTGATTTTCAGGGTCTATGTTAATTTACCAAAGGGTAAACTACGGTGATTTCCATATACCAAACGGTATCGGTTTTCGGCGAACCATCCGCGTTTTCGAAGGGCTGCCTGGATGGGGTGAAGCGACTTGGAACCTTGGGCCTGAGGCGGGTCAAACGGTCAAACAAGCCTGGCAATCCCTGCGCAATCTCCGTTGAAACGGGGGGGTCTCCCATGGTATACTCCTTCTTGTTTGGGGAACTTGTTTTGGGAACATGATCATTAACCAATGGATAAAAAGAGTTACCATATTAACCATGACAATCCCATAAAAAGATGATGGAATCTTTAGCATGTCAGATGTCCTATGAAACCATGCAAATTGGGATTCCGCTCATGACTATGCCGCTGTAAACATGACAACTTTCACCTGTGGACGAGATAATATACAACAACCAGCCAACAAAAACAACCGCCAACATGATTTCAATCATTCATTTCCGGGGCTATCTCCAACAAATAGATGGAACCATGTTTCACATCAACCATACTTGCAGGACTTCATGTTGAAGTCAAATAGCCCCAATCTGGGTATGATTTGTAGGTAAGAAACTGGGGCAACTGGCAGCCAACCACTACCTGAGGACCGAGGCAGGAGTTGCAGTGCCAAGTCATTCTGCTGGGCCTGACAGCACTCTCAGGCGGCCAAACTAATGTGGACTATGACCTAAAGTTGGCAACCAAAATTCAAAGGAATCACGGAATCAAGGCTGGTTTCCTTCAAAAAATGATCAATCCTTCATGTTCTTTGTCGTCCTACAACTTTTGATATACCCATGTGGAGACACAGGACAAGGTTAGGAATGTCATCCCACCATAAACCATGCCCCCTGATAGGATCAAAGAATTACCTCATTGATGTAGCCTCAAATTATGCGACTCCACAAACAACAAACGTGTTGGAACACAAGGAGTTGTTACCCCAGTGCATCTTGAAATTTAAACCATCATTTTCCTATTTATCCGAGGGCCGTGAAATTGGATTTTCGGAGAAAAAGCGAATGGACAAGTCATTGGGTATATACCCCATAAAATGGACATCTCATTCTGACTTGAATAGGGGATATTCATAGGTTGCCCAAACAGTATACCGATAAGTTATCTCTACCTAATGCCCTAAAACTCGAGAGATTGTTCACAGAAGTACCGATCAAAGGGTGATATATGCTGTATGATCCAATCATATACCATACAATACCATGGCTATCAACAGGATATATCTGGGAAAAATCTAATGTTTCCAAAACCGGATTACAGTATCTTGGCCATTCGGGGATGATTTCCCCAATCCAATTCGCATCATCGAACTGGTGAGATATATTGACCCAAATATTACTATAATTCACTCACATAAAAACAGCTGAAACGTGCGGCCATTTGGGGATGATTCCCCGAATCCAATTCCCATCATTCCAGTGACGTCGCATTGAGGCACAGTGAGGTCAGTACAATCACCCATATATGATCATATACGGACCATTTTCCGTAGCTATGTCAAATTACCATATATATATATGTGACCATATATATACACATATTATCCATCTATATACCCAATATTTTTTTCCCAACCCCCTAGTAGTGGCACGAATCTCATGGCTTGGCCTTGCTACATGCCGCCATGGCCGCGCTGTATGTGTCAGCACGGGCTTTTAGGCCTGACAGGGGGCCGACACTTGCCATTGTTGGTCAAGTTGGGATTTTCAATGAGAATTAGTCAAAATAAATGGGGATTTAACCAGCAAGTACGCGAATATCATGGACTATTCTAGGATATATATATATATATTAATATATCTGTACATATATATATATGCGAATGCATAACCAACTTAACATGATCATGACTGGGATTATGGTTCTATGGTGTTCCCACCATCACTGGGATTTCCGAATGGCTGGCTTTGTGATGATCATCCCCCAGTGGGAAACTCCCGGAATCCCTCGAAAGGGACCATCCAAATAGATCGATATACATCACTAGTCATGGATTGATGACTTTCGTCCAAATTTGTGGGTTATCCAAGTTTTGACATGTTTTGACCATGCTATATGATCTATATGTCAGCCAGACATGTGACCATATTAAAGATGATGTGGCTATGGGATGATATTGGCTCAATGGATATGGTTTCAAGGTGCCCAAAGAAATTAAAACCTCAACCCAAAAAATCCAAAAAGGCGTTTGACCGTCATGTGTTGATCGCATCTTGTCTCTGTGAGTGGCAGAATTCGTTTCGAATAATACTTGCTCAGACAGTCCCACCAGCACCTGCGCATCTCTAGCTTCATGCGCAATTCCAGGCTGGTTGGTGGTTTCAACCCCTCTGAAAAATGATGGAGTTCGTCAGTTGGGATTATTATTCCCAATATATGGAAAGACATAAAAGTCATGTTCCAGTCACCACCAACCAGCAGGTGCAAATGCATCAATCGGCAGCTCGTCGGCTCGTTTTTATGTTCAACTCCCTAGATTCCAACGACCTCTGAAGGTCTGGCTGACAACTACTGGCCACTTGGCATGTCGACAAAGCTCTGCATCTCTACATCTTTTCTATTCTTTCGTGGCTTCCAAAAGCCTGCAATCACCTGGTTTTCGCATCAATAGCTAGCTGCTAATCGCTGGATGTTCGTCCTGCAGGTCTCAAAAGAACATAGAGGGCATGATGACTGGAGTGCTCATCTTATGAAATCCACAAAGTCATGCGAAGCAAAAGGACTCACAAAATCTGGTCCCCAAAGTAGTGGCGATTCCAATCAAGAAAATCCGCACACGCAAGCGGGGATGATTTAATATGTGCCCTTCATTTTTAACCACTTCCCGCATCTTAGCTCTAAGCTCCGGGAAGGTCTGAAATGATATAATTATATATATACATATATATACATATGTTATATATGTTGGAATATATAGATATATAATTATATATATAGATATATAACTATATATATATATATAGATATATAATTATATATATAGATATATAATTATATATAGATATAATTATGTATATATATATAATGGTGTATATATATATGTTATGTATTGTTATGTAGCATTATATATAGACCCATTTACAAGGCCTTCATCTACCCTTCCATCCGCGGTTTCCTTGCTCTATCCATCCGCGCATCCCCGGCTTCAGGGGGGCCGCCTTGCTGTCGCAAGTCCTGAAGCAATGCCAAGACCAAAGTCCAAGGCCTAGGTTTTGCCACCGAACCACTGGGATCCCACAAAATCATATTGGGCCACGATGGGCCATGGAACACCTAAGGCTTTTCATGGGAAAACCATGGGAAAACCATAGGAAAACCATAGGAAAACCACAGGAAAATGCAGGTTTACTCTGTGGTAAACATACAAAAAACTATGGAACATCTCAATTTTTAATGGGTAAATCAACTATTTCTATGGCCATTTTCAATAGCGAACTGTTAGTTTACCAGGGGGTAGTCATTTTGAGGGTCATCCTGAGCAGGTGGAAAACATGGGACATCTTTAAACCATTTTGAACCCACAAAGTAATAGTACATGACCAATGTGACAAGAGCCAAGCACAAAGGGGATACTGCCACCACGGGCCTTTGAGATAAGAAAGGCTATGAAATCACCATCGACGGGGAAATCATACTTGTACATGGACGATGTTCCCCTGCCAGTTTAGACTACAAAACTGGGGCCGGAGTTCTCAATTCGAGGGCCAAATCCGGGCTTCCCAACCCATTCTCACAAGCCGAAATGGCCTCAGCAAATGAAATGCGGAGGCCATGGTCAATCTCGGATATCCATTTCAGTAGTTTTCAGCTGATTGGTATATATCATTCTATATCCCCTTATAAAACACACATCAAACTACAAAAGTTCTTGTCCAAACGTTGCACAGTGTTCCAAAGTTTCATCTACTTTGTGGTTTCGATTTCAAGAATATTTGGAGATGCCAAGCATTGGTTAGGAAAAAAGATAGAACAACACCCAGGATGTTATATATGTTATACATGATACCTTATTAATTTCCAGATTCCAACTTTTCTATTGGGCCATTGGGCGGCTTGTGCGATGGCGGACGCCAATGATCGCCAATGTCCAGGCCATTCATCTGGAAATGTTGGGTGATTTGGGTATTCCAACAATAAAAACCATCACTGATAAGGCAATGATAAGTGAATGATAAACATCACATGATATATCTTTATGTTGGGTGATTTGGGCTCAAACCTAACTAATCCGAAGCTATAAACTATCCAAATGTATTAATTATGTATGTATACACACATATGTACATATGTATAATATATATATATATAATGTATATTCTGTACGGTATATTATATTAATATATAATACCTTAGCTACATGCTACCTCAGTTACATCATCTACTAGACTCTAGTCAATCTTCCCCAAGTCTGCTGAGCGCTTGGCCGTGTTGTAGGAGATGATCGTGGGATACAGAATGCTGTGGAACATTTCCTGCCGCGTGGAGGGATGGTTTTGACTGATAACATCTCACAACCAGGCTGCAAATAAGATTACTGTAGTATATGGGATGTATGGATGTCAATCTGAAGTTCAATCTTCTCATTCTTGGGCATTGATCAGACGATGCCATCAAGCCAAGCTTTCTCTACCTCTCTCTGATTCGCACTAGTCCTGCATGCGAAATAACATGCCAGTGACACATCGAACAAGGTCAAACATCTCTGCCACTGCTGACCCTGAGCGCTGCTGCAGGCGGAATCTGAGGCGTTTTAGGTGGGGAATCGCATATTAATGTCCCCCTCTTAAGACAATAACCTTGGCAAGATTCAATAAAAACTAATGTGTAAAAGGATAAAACAAGGTTAAGAAACTTGAAGTATATAGCTGATCCAGTTGACGAGGAACACACAGGTGTTGATTGCGATTGGAATTGCGTTGCCTTCCAACCATTGGCCTGTGAAACAGGGGTAGAATCATTGCCCAATGTCATTGTGACACAACCTCACCACGACAAGATGGAACCAGGTGGGCAAAGTGAATGGCACTACACACTTCACTATCACACTTTTGGATACTATTGGATGATGGGCTATTCAGTTTTTTTTAAAAACTGGGCTTCGACAAAAAAAAAAATGCACCCACCGCACCCACAAGGCACTGAGCAGCATGGCACGCGCACAGGCATCCATGCTGGCATTGTAGGTGACCACGTCCGGTCTGGCAGGGCAGGAGAACCTGGATGAATACCTTTCGCTTTCATCAAACATGGCTAGCTAGCTGGGAAATCCCCTATCAATGCAGGGTTTCATGGGAAAATACCAGAAAATCATTCACATGTGGTACACACCAAACAAAGAGAATCTTCACGAATCATGGGGGATGTATCGAATATTGGATCCAATCAGATTGATCTTGGGAAAAACCATGCCGGCAACATATTGCAACCTGGTGATACTGTAATCTGAACCATTGTTTGGGCAGCATACATATTGCTAGATAAGTGATGGGTCAAAAATGGTCAAAACAGTTTATACCCAATCAGGTACAAATAGCAGTTCTTTCCAATTCGGCTGGTTCATAGTATATAGCCAACTTTGAGGCATCGGCATGAAAACTAAATATGTCTATATATATAATATATACATACATATGTATAATAAGGTTGTGAGGTTTGACAACCCCAGTAGCGTTGCACAGAATTGCAGAGACACAAGTGACCGCGAGCTAGCACGTTCTCACGTTCTCTTGATCGCTGTCGACTCGGAAGAAATTCAATTCGCTTGAACTTCTCTATAACCCCGGGATACCTTTCAAACCACATAATGTGGTTACAACAATACTCAACCACCCATTTGGGCATTATACCACCTATAAACATGGTCATGACTGGGGGATGGTTTAGGATTCTTTTACCCACATGTTTCGACCAAAAACAACATAAATCTCTTGTGCCACCCAGTACCCTCTGGTAAACTAACATAACTATGGAAAATCACCATTTTTAATGGATAAATCCACTATAAATGGCCATTTTCAATAGCTACGTTAAATTACCAGAGGGTAGCAGCAACAATTCTTATGAACCCTTTAGCAACATCCAAAGCGCAGTGATCTCCCGCCTCATTTCTTCCAGCAAATGGATGGCCCACTGCCACTGCCTCGGTGCCGGGATAATCCCAGCTGTCATCCGTTTTCAAATGGAAATGGTGGGGGAAGATGTTTGAAAGATCATCCCAGAAATCTGGGTTTATGGCTGTTTTCTGAGTGAAACACATTTTCCACATTTTCCACATGTGATTAAAAAAATCAATGATTTCAATTTGTTTTGGGGTGTAACAACCCTTCGTCTTCTGAATCCTTTGGGTTTTCACCCATCTGCAACCGTTCGGAGCCGACTCTTTTTGATCACGCTGCGGTGGATCATCTTCTTAAATCCTGCCCAGATCATCTTCCCCCATTTCTGATGCTTGTTTTGTTGTGATGTACCCGGCCTGGTTATGACTAACAGTTCGCCATGGCTTTTCGATGGCCCTAATCGAAATAGGTGGTTTACCGTTCTTAATAGCATGGGTGGATTTTCCATGGCGAACTGTTAGTCATAACCAGATGGTACTATATATATATATCTATGTATGTAGCCTACCAAATAACAGCCCCGGCTGAATCTCCGGACCCTGTGGACCTGTGCCAAAATTCTTAGATGATCTTGGATGACTGGATGACTGTCACACCCTGTCGCCATGCCTCAGAAGCTCAAGGCTGCTGCTGTCCCTGCAAGGCCCCACAAAGATCCAGGAGCTCCGCTAGGATCCCTCAGGGCCAGTTTGCCAGTGCGGACTTAGATGGCCCAAACCCGGTAGATTCAAGGCATTTCCAGGAATTTAAGTACATCTTGGGTCCTGGCTTCAGCATTTTGGATGGGATTAGTTCCACCCAAAATGGTCACTGAGTAATCCAGCTCCAATGATCTGACTCAGAGGTCAGAACATTTAAAAAGATCATACTTTTCGGGGTGCAGGCCGATTCTGAATGGGTATATATATAATATATATATATATGTATAATATATATAATATATATAATATATATATATAGAATATATATATAGAATATATATATATTATTCATATGGGTGGTTATTAACCCCAAATAATACCCCGGGGGGATCCCCATATAACTACGGGATTACAACCCCAAAAGTCGGGGAAAAAATTAACCCCTTCGACGATGGTTTTTTGTAACCCACAGAAAACCCCGGGGTAAATCCTAGATCCGACTGTCTGAGGAGTTGTCGGGAAATGCCATAGTTGTCTGTTTGGGCAACCGGATCCCGCCACATTTCAAGACACCCAAACAATAGGGTTTGTACATTTGTGTATGATTATATAGATTATATATATAGTTTATAATAGACTACATGACATTACATTATCTTGTATTATGCTATGCATATATATATAAACATAAAATATACATCATCCACATATATGCAGCATATCTATGCATATCTGGAATCCAGACAGCAAAGGTGGGCCCAACCCCTGGCCGTTTTGATCATATTGAACACGCGACCAGCTTTAATCTGCGCTGTGATCATCCTTGGTTTCTTTCCAACCTGTTCGTTGCTTAATTCTATGCTTGAACCATTTTTGATTTTTGTCAGCTCCATTGACCGTTAATCCAGCCATCTCCCAAGTCTGGGCTGCTTTCAGCATAGCTGATGCTAATCTTAGATACTCTGCAAAATATCATTTTCTAGCTGCTTAGTGTAGTCTTGACTTGAATCTAGCTTTAACCATGCATTAACAAAACAAAATAAGCCACACCTTTACCAAACCAAAACTTACTGAGCGCTTTAATTTCGTATTTTCTTTACGCAGAAAAGGAGAGAGAGGGAGAGAGACAACAAAAAACACGCAATCTACCACTATTACTATTGAATCGGATTTTTACTTTCATATCTGTGGATCGTTGCGAAATCCACCAGTTAACTCAGTTGATAGGTTGTAACATCCCGTTGTGTATAGGGTTTTACTACATCTGGTTGGTGGTTTTAACCATCTTGAAAAATATGACAGTCAATGGCATGGGAAGGATTATCCCATATATGAAATGGAAAATAACATTCATGTTTGAAACCACCAACCAGACATTCATGGTACCTAAATATGGTTGGTTTAGCCATGACACCCATCGCGCTCGCAGGCGCTGATCACTGCAGAGTGTGTCACGGCGTTGGGCTCCAAGGCCTCTACGATCCGACAAGGAAAAAAATTGTGATTTTATGATGATTTAATGGTGATTTAATGCGATTTAATGGTGATTTAATGGTGATTTAATGGTGATTTAATAGTGATTTAATGGGATTTAATGGTGATTTAATGGTGATTTAATAGTGATTTAATGGGATTTCATGATGATTTAATGGTGATTTAATAGTGATTTAATGGGATTTCATGGGGATTTCATGGGAATAATGTTTTTTTGTAGTGTGGGAAATGTGTGGACGGGATATAATCAAGAGGGGATACCACTCACAAGTAGCAAATATACAGGTGTTGTATGATTGTTAGAATTTACAAGATATATGGTCATTATCACAATAAGTAACGTCAACCCTGGATTAAGCCTTGGGCCTTGAAATAGCAAGCTCTCCATAAAGATAGAAACATGTTTCCAGGATGTTAGAGATTATATTTACTTCATATTACCCCATTTCCCACTTTTATATACTTTTCTATCTACTGTTGGGTTGCTGTATCTCAAGCTTAAACTTGCTTTCAAAACCATGGGATTCGAAGGCGTTTCGTCGAAAAAATACAAACACATCCAAGTGGGGGTAAATGTCTATAGAGTGGGCCATAGCCCGTATATATATATATATGTATATATATACACACACCTCATTATAATTCTAATTCTAATTATAATTCTAATTATATGTTATTATATATATACTGTATATATATCTTATATATATATATATTTATTATGACTTCTGTATCTGGCTTGAAATTCTAAGAAGTCAGCATCCTTAAAGAAAATGAAGAAAATGACATTGAGATGATTCCCCCCTACCATCATCTTTGGGAATGTTGCTGTGACATGTTTCAACAAAAACTCAGCCAAATTCATCACCTGCCGGTAAAATGTCCCCTCACCCAATCGGTCAATAAAAGCATGTTGGGCATGGGTCAAAATCATCACCACAAAATGAATGATTTTATTCACAGCCAAACCATGTGGGTTCATTGGCACCAGAATTTTCACCCCTTGAAGTGGCGATATGTCAGGTAATTTTCGCTCCAAAAAAGACATGAGTTTCAAAGACCACCCTAAGATCAAAGATCTGTTTGGTCCAAAAAACATTTTTATCTTTGGATCTACCCTCTGGTAAACTAACTATAAATGGGTAAATCCACTATTTCAATTGCCATTTTCAATAGCTATGTTAGTTTACCAGAGAGTAAGATGATCTGAAATCTCCTCATTTTTATTACGCCCAAATTTATCTGGCCTGCTGTCGCATCGACCTCAGCGTCTCGGCAACGGCAACGCCGCGTATAGCGTGTATAGTAACCCCATCTATTACCCCCAACAAGATAGAAGATCAATGTACTAGATCAATGATTCGCGCGATAAATAGCGTTAGCTAAAAGAAGGCTTTGCTCCGAACTTTTCGAATCATCGTTTTTGGGGGTTGCCCGCCTCATAGGCGGGCCAGACTGCTTGGTGAGTTCAACACCCTCTAAAAAATTGTTTCTCCCAGGTAGCCTCTGGTAAACGTTTACATAACTAGAAAACAATTTTTAGTAGGGAATGAAAAACTATGAATGGCAATTTCAAATAGCAAACTGTTAGTATTACCAGAGGGTATCTAAAATAAGACATATATGTTCGAAAACTGCAACTAACAGATGCATCTATAATCTATGAAATCTATGATAATCAATGATAATCATTATCTATTGGTACATGATCAATGATCATCTATGATCAATAATAGTCAATGATTATCTACTTGGATGTGCAAATCACTTAGGATCTGTGGTTTATAATCCATAAGCCATATTAAAAAAACGCCAATCTAAGTTTCTGATATTCTATGAATCATATGCATCTAACTGGGGGGTTTTGAGCCATTTACATCATTTACTGAGATGCACCAAGTATTGGTACACTGCCAGCAACCATTTGGTTGGTCTCCACGGTTTCCACCTCCGACCCTGCGCTCCTAGCCACTGCAGCATCTGCAGCGCCAGGTGCCGCGGAAAGCGCGCGCCCAACAGGGCGCCGTAGGTCACTTCATCGGGCGACAAGCCGCCCTCCGAAGCCTAGGTTGCTGGGATTTGCACGAATCGACCCAAGTTTGCTAAGTTGATAGAAATAAGTAGGAGAAAACTAGGTTGACTATAGGGTTTATGGTGATTAATAACAAAATATATTACAACTATAAATAACTACATAAGTTGGGTGGGTAATCAAGCAACATGGAACTGTGGAGCGCCACCGTGCAGGGTTATTTTTTTCACATTGCCAACAACTTTCCACAGGTCATGCCCAAAGTAGCCAAAAAGTAAGCACAACCAAAACAATGCTTACCAGAAAAAATACAGTAATTTAAAATTTGCGGCTCAAATCTGCTAGCGGAGTATCCATGTAAATGTGGGCTGGTTGCATTGGAGTCAATGGATGGATCAATGAGTTTGTTTGACCGCGACTGGCAATCCCCAACAACCCATGGTTTCAGGACCCAAATCCCAAATTGCCTGAAAACCAGGACATGATCGGACGCGAGCGAGGCATATGTTCCAGTCAACCAATTGAAGCAAGAAACAGGGTTGATGGATCCAGCTGGTCCACAGGATTGTAGCCAGCACAGCGCCTGCTCCCACCTGGCATTAAACAATTCCTCACAGACCAGCCCTTTTCGACTGGATGGGAGACCCCCCCCTCGGATGTTTTATGATATTTCAATATATTTCATGGCTTGATGATGTCTGATGGCAAAACCTTCGGGCTTTATCATTTTTGCGGGTGCCATCACAATTTACTATATTTATTTGTAGGATATTATAGGAATTTATAGGATATGATGATATGATCCTTTTTGAACTTTCGTTGGTGACCAATTCCCAGTGTTTCCCAAGTAGCTCCACCTGGCTCATTTCGGGATGACCCTGACCACCGGATAGCCCCGGTGCCTGCGGCCAGCCGCAAAGGCGGCGGAGGCTAAGTTCACGGTGACCAGGTCTTCTCGAAGTCCAGTGCTGGAGAGGTTGGTCAAATATTCCAAAGACCGACGCCAGGCCTGGCTGGCGAGATAGCCGAGATATGGGAAATCCTGGTCAAGAAGACATCCATGGGTGGTCAACCTAAAAAAACCCAAGATTTGAATGTTGGTATTTCATAGCATTTCTATAGGTTTTCGGGATTTTTAGGCTATGTTTGGTGTTGATAAGACCACATTGAAAGATTCAAATGTTGTCCGACAAACAAAAAGTACTGGTTAGTGGTTTAGACTCTCCCAAAAAATAGGGTCAAGTGGAAACATCCAAGTTCACTATTGATCTCCCGTCTCAAACCAGCATGGAACCTCAACAAAAAGGGCTCGGACAGGGTTTGAAGATTGTCTTCCCTAATGTCTCGGCCATATTCTGTTCAGATTCAATATTCAATTAACACCATCGAAATTTGGATAATTTGCGAAACAAAATCGACCTACAAGGAATCATTATTTGAAAAACTTGCTTAGCCACGACGCAGGCCAGTAATCCCTGCCACTCGGAACACCACCTAGAAACTTTAGCTTAGGATTGAATTGGATCTGTTCTTTTGCAGTCCCATGGGGGTCAATAAGGGGAAAGGATTGCTCAATTGAAATTCAACATGGAACCAGAAAATATAGGCTTTGGAAATACTTGTTTTGACTCTATGTTAGGTGGGGCAAGGGGATAAGCAACAACAACAGGGGTGTGCGGCCCACAAGAATAGGGCCCTCACCAATCAGCATCCTGGAAACCATGGTGAAAAACAACTGTTTTTGATGGTACTTATCAGTTGGGCTTGTGATTCCGATTTCTAGTCGCCAATCCCCTATGTTTCAACCCTTTCCCTGTTGGGGATTATCCTATTCATCCAATTCTCCCACCGCCATCCACCATGGCGCGAATCCCACCATCTCCCCCGCCTGGGACTTGGAGGTATCATCTTCCACAACGATGCCACGGCGCTCCTAAGAAAACCGCGTGGAAAGGACCGACTCACCGACCAAAATACGGCGAAGAAATTAGCAATGGAGTCAAGAATCGAAGCGCATTTAGATTTGAGCTCGCAATTGGAGATGTGAACCAGCGTTTTTTTTTAATGGGGGAAAGGGCGGAAAGGGATGCCTTCGTATACTTCAAAGCACCCGTCTGCCACGGCTCTCGAGTCTGCCGCGTCCTTTGTAGAGTGCAGCGATGCGTTCATGGCCGTGTTGAAGGTCACCACCTCAAAATCTTCAGACGATCCCCGAAATGATCGTCATCTCGTGTGGTTGCCAAATCCCGCAGTTGAACAAAACTATTGGGATTCCTATGAACCACGGTAAATCATGGTAATTATTTCTAAATAATGGTATTTATATATAGATATCCATAGTAATAATGAATGGTATTATAATTCTATATTGTTTGTAGAGGAATTTAACGATATTATATTTATATAACCATCCTTTATAATATTTATATAAAATTGTAATAATGGATGGTTATTGTATCCATATTATTTCTATTGGTATTATAACGATGGGATTTCGAGCACCAACAGAGGCCGTATTCGCTGGGCCAAAAAGGTCGCTACGCTACAGGTGGGACGCTGGGATATTCAGGTCGTGGGACTAGGTTCAATGTCTGTATGTATGTATATATATATGTATGTGTATATATATATATATATACACATGTGTATGTGTATATATATATATGTATATGTATATGTATATGTATATATATATAGTGACGGACAATCACTTAGAACGTAAAAATTTTTCCATTTTTTTTTCGTACTTAGAACGTAGCAAAATTTCATCACTTAGAACGTAGGGAAAATTCATCACTTAGAACGTCAAAATATCACTTAGGCCCATTTATCACTTAGAACGTAAACCAACACTTAGAACGTGCTAAGTGATTGTCCGTCGCTATATAAACTATTTTTTCGATTTCAAAATCAATTAAATTTCCTTATATAGCGCAATTAAACATATTGCCAAAAATTGGATTTCGAAGCGGACCCTAATAATAAATTTAGACCCTTAATAAAGCGGCTATTTTTTTCGACTTCAAAATCAATTAAATTTCCTTATATAACGCAATTAAAATATTGCCAAAAATTGGATTTCGAAGCGAATCCTAATAATAAATTTAAACCCTTAATAAAAAGACTAGTTTTTTCGATTCAAAATCAATTAAATTTCCTTTTATAACGCAATAAGACTATTGCCAAACACTAGAGTTCGAAGCGGACCCTAATAAATTTAAACCCTTAATAAAACAAAACTATTTTTTTCGATTCAAAACCAATTAAATTTCCTTATATAGCGCAATTGAAATATTGCCACAAATTGGATTTCGATGCGGACCTAAATAATAAATTTAAACCCTTAATAAGAAAAACCGTTTTTTTCGATTTCAAAATCAGGTAAATTTCCTTATAACACAATTAAAATATTGCCAAAAATTGGATTTCGAAGCGGATCCTAATAATAAATTTAAACCCTTAATAAAAAGACTAGTTTTTTCGCTTTCGAAATCAATTGAATTTCCTTTTATAACGCAATTAAAATATTGCAGAAAATTGGAATTCGAAGTGGAATCGAAATTATGTCTAGGTTTCCTATACGGAATTAGCTGCTGAATCCAACACTTAGAACGTCAGAACCCCTAAAAAGCACCAAAAGGTATAGTGTTCCAGAGATAAAAGATCACCAATATTTGCAAATCATATGGGAGGGAAAAGCCAAATGGTACGAAATTATGTCTATGTTTCCTCGGAATTGGCTGCTGAATCCAACACTTAGAACGTCAGAACCAGAACCCCCAAAAAGCACCAAAAGGATCCAAAAGGTAGAGTGTTCCAGAGATAAAAGATCGCCAATGTCAAATCATATGGGAGGGAAAAGCCAAATGGTACGAAATTATGTCTATGTTTCCTACGGAATTAGCTGCTGAATCCAACACTTAGAACGACAGAACCCCCAAAAAGCACCAAAAGGATCCAAAAGGTAGGTGTTCCAGAGATAAAAGATCGCCAATGTTTGCAAATCATATAGGAGGGAAAAGCCAAATGGTACGAAATTATGTCTGTGTTTCCTACGGAATTAGCTGCTGAATCCAACACTTAGAACGTCAGAACCACCAAAAAGCACCAAAAGGTATAGTGTTCTTGCAAATCATATGGGAGGGAAAAGCTAATGGTACGAAATTATGTCTATGTTTCCTACGGAATTAGCTGCTGAATCCAACACTTAGAACGTCAGAACCCCCCAAAAAGCACCAAAAGGCAAAAGGTATAGTGTTCCAGAGATAAAAGATCGCCAATATTTGCAAATCATATGGGAGGGAAAAGCAAATGGTACGAAATTATGTCTATGTTTCCTACGGAATTAGCTGCTGAATCCAACACTTAGAACGTCAGAACCCCCAAAAAGCACCAAAAGGTATAGTGTTCCAGAGATAAAAGATCGCCAATGTTTGCAATCATATGGGAGGGAAAAGCCAAATGGTACGAAATTATGTCTATGTTTCCTACACATTAGCTGCCGAATCCAACACTTAGAACGTCAGAACCCCCAAAAAGCCCCAAAAGGTATAGTGTTCCAGAGATAAAAGATCGCCAATATTTGCAAATCATATGGGAGGGAAAAGCCAAATGGTACGAAATTATGTCTATGTTTCCTACGGAATTAGCTGCTGAATCCAACACTTAGAACGTCAGAACCCCCAAAAAGCACCAAAAGGTATAGTGTTCCAGAGATAAAAGATCGCCAATATTTGCACATCATATGGGAGGGAAAAGCCAAATGGTACGAAATTATGTCTATGTTTCTTACGGCTTAGAATGTCAGACCCCCAAAAAAGCACCAAAAGGTATAGTGTTCCAGAGATAAAAGATCGCCAATATTTGCAAATCATATGGGAGGGAAAAGCCAAATGGTACGAAATTATGTCTATGTTTCCTACGGAATTAGCTGCTGAATCCAACACTTAGAACGTCAGAACCCCCAAAAAGCACCAAAAGGTATAGTGTTTCAGAGATAAAAGATCGCCAATGTTTGCAAATCATATAGGAGGGAAAAGCCAAATGGTACGAAATTATGTCTATGTTTCCTACGGAATTAGCTGCTGAATCCAACACTTAGAACGTCAGAACCACCAAAAAGCACCAAAAGGTATAGTGTTCAAGAGGTAAAGATCGCCAATTCAATATTTGCAAATCATATGGGAGGGAAAAGCCAAATGGTACGAAATTATGTCTATGTTTTCCTACGGAATTAGCTGCTGAATCCAACACTTAGAACGTCAGAACCCCCAAAAAGCACCAAAAGGATCCAAAAGGTAGAGTGTTCCAGAGATAAAAGATCGCCAATATTTGCAAATCATATGGGAGGGAAAAGCCAAATGGTACGAAATTATGTCTATGTTTCCTACGGAATTAGCTGCTGAATCCAACACTTAGAACGTCAGAACCCATTATAACCTTTGCCATGTTTGATTGCCGGAGGGTACCGTGTAATTATGTATTTGACATGGATCGCCATATCACCATAGATTGTGGTGAGTAGCTAGAATGTCCCAGAATATCCCCAACTTCACCCAATGTTTGGCTTTAGCACCTGAAAAATTAGCGGAAACCCAAAATCCATGGTCAATCATCAGTTTCACTCTTTTTCAGAAATTATGGCCATGGCATACTCGATTTTCAGTCACGCGTTTTATTGGTATTTGAGCATAATAAATGGTGGTTTAACCAACAAAAAAATAGGGGATGCACTGATCGGATGATATGGAATGGGACCAATGACTTCCCCAGCTTTACCATTGAGGGAGTATTGAAAACAAAAAACCCTCAATGGAGTGGTTATTCATCTGGTTGGTGCTTTGGGACATGGCTGGATTATTTTTCCATAATATATGGGAATATCATGATCCCATTTGACTACTGAAAAATATTTTTCAGAGGGATTCAAACCACCAACCAGTAATGAGTTTACTACGTTTATGGAGGAAACCAATGGTGAAAGGAAATGATCACAGGAAACCCTGATACCCCCAAAAAGCACCAAAATGCATAGTGTTCAAGAGATAAAGAACGCCAATATTTGCAAAACATATGGGACAGAAAAGCCAAATGGTACGAAATTATGTCTATGTTTCCTACGGAATTAGCTGCTGAATCCAACACTTAGAACGTCAGAACCCCCAAAAAGCACCAAAAGGATCCAAAAGGAATAGTGTTCCAGAGATAAAAGATCGCCAATTCAATATTTGCAAATCATATGGGAGGGAAAAGCCAAATGGTACGAAATTATGTCTATGTTTCCTACGGAATTAGCTGCTGAATCCAACACTTAGAACGTCAGAACCCTCAAAAAGCACCAAAAGGATCCAAAAGGTATAGTATTCCAGAGATAAAAGATCGCCAATGTCAAATCATATAGGAGGGAAAAGCTAAATGGTACGAAATTATGTCTATGTTTCCTACGGAATTAGCTGCTGAATCCACCACTTAGAACGTCAGAACCCCAAGAAGCACCAAAAGATAGAGTGTTCCAAGAGCTAAAGACCGCCAAGATTGGCAAATCATATGGGAGGGAAAAGCCAAATGGTACGAAATTATGTCTATGTTTCCTACGGAATTAGCTGCTGAATCCACCACTTAGAACGTCAGAACCCCCAAAAGCACCAAAAGGTATAGTGTTTCAGAGATAAAAGATCGCCAATGTTTGCAAATCATATAGGAGGGAAAAGCCAAATGGTACGAAATTATGTCTATGTTTCCTACGGAATTAGCTGCTGAATCCAACACTTAGAACGTCAGAACCACCAAAAAGCACCAAAAGGTATAGTGTTCAAGAGGTAAAGATCGCCAATTCAATATTTGCAAATCATATGGGAGGGAAAAGCCAAATGGTACGAAATTATGTCTATGTTTCCTACGGAATTAGCTGCTGAATCCAACACTTAGAACGTCAGAACCCCCAAAAAGCACCAAAAGGATCCAAAAGGTATAGTGTTCCAGAGATAAAAGATCGCCAATATTTGCAAATCATATGGGAGGGAAAAGCCAAATGGCACGAAATTATGTCTATGTTTCCTACGGAATTAGCTGCTGAATCCAACACTTAGAACGTCAGAACCCCCAAAAAGCACCAAAAGGATCCAAAAGGTATAGTGTTCCAGAGATAAAAGATCGCCAATATTTGCAAATCATATGGGAGGGAAAAGCCAAATGGTACGAAATTATGTCTATGTTTCCTACGGAATTAGCTGCTGAATCCAACACTTAGAACGTCAGAACCCCCAAAAAGCACCAAAAGGATCCAAAAGGTATAGTGTTCCAGAGATAAAAGATCGCCAAGATTTGCAAATCATATGGGAGGGAAAAGCCAAATGGTACGAAATTATGTCTATGTTTCCTACGGAATTAGTTCCTGAATCCAACACTTAGAACGACAGAACCCCCAAAAAGCAACAAAAGGATCCAAAAGGTATAGTGTTCCAGAGATAAAAGATCGCCAATGTTTGCAAATCATATAGGAGGGAAAAGCCAAATGGTACGAAATTATGTCTATGTTTCCTACGGCATTAGCTGCTGAATCCAACACTTAGAACATCAGAACTCAGAACCCCCAAAAAGCACCAAAAGGTATAGTGTTCCAGAGATAAAAGATCGCCAATATTTGCACATCATATGGGAGGGAAAAGCCAAATGGTACGAAATTATGTCTATGCTTCCTACGGAATTAGCTGCTGGATCCAACACTTAGAGATAAAAGATTTCACAAGCCTTTCCACTATCATCAGTGACCTAGACACGTTCTAAGTGTTAAATCCCCGGTACGTTCTAAGTGATGAATCTTGATATTTGGACGTTCTAAGTGTATGGTTTTCGACGTTCTAAGTGCAAGGCTTAGAACGTAAAAAAAGCAGTAATATTCAGATTTTTTTTTCCAAAATACGTTCTAAGTGATTGTCCGTCACTATATATGTATATGTATATGTATATGTATATGTATATGTATATATTATATATATATATGTATATGTATATGTATTTTCAGATTCATGTAACCAGACTAAGCCAATGAATGATCAACCAAGAGGAGTCAACTGGGCATTGCTCACACGAAGATCTTGGGCGATATCCGATATCCAAGATCTATTGTGCCTAGCCAATGTGATACAATGAAATCCAACATACTTCTTGTTACCAAAAAAGATCGGTTTGGGCCATCAAGTTATAAGTTGGATTATAAAATATTATAAACCCCATTCACTATAGTTCCATCCCCATAAACCCTATAGTTAAGCCAGTTGTGTTGTCAACTTCGGTATCGTGTCCACGGCCCCAAAACTGAGTCCACCTGGCATCTGCTGCCTGCAAGGGCCCCTTAAACCGGGTGGAGGTAGTGGGACCTTTTTCGGTAGTGGATGATTTGAACATGGATCGTTGCCAAAAGTCTTGCTCTTTTGGTTGGCAAAAAGTGATTAATAGTGGTTAATAGTGGTTACTAGTGATTAATACCTGATCTAATGAATAATATAACTTTTTGCTATATCAGTTTCACATATGACATGATAATGATTGATGATACCTTCTTATTGTTTCACTGGTTAACTGGTTGGTGGTGCAATAACCATCTTGAAAAATATGAGTTCGTCAATGGGAAGGATGACATCCCAGATATGAAATGGAAAATACATGTTTGAAACCACCAACCAGAGAAGAATATTCATGACGCATGAGAGAGATTTCCGTTTAATACACCAGAAGAATCTCATTGAAACCGTCAAGTTTGGCAACGGATTTTTACGATATACCGAGAAATACCTTAATTTTCTTGCTACCAAGGACTGTGGGTGTTTTTGCACAACAACTATGTGCGAACAATTCCACAGTTTTCCGATTTTTTGCAGGTCCCCCCAGATGGGTATTGGTGTTCATATGATTAAATCTGGTTAGTAGCAGAAACATGACAAACTAACCTATAGTCCCCATGTTTGCTCGTCAAATTCCCGTCATTGTTTTTGGTCATCCGAGCTCTTTTTTCGCCATCAATTGCTGGGTACATCCTCATTTAATGTTGGTGATGGTTGGTTATGGGCTAGTGGTTTAGATCCCAATCGAAACAGTTCAATATCCCCATTCAATGAACAGTTGATGGACAGAAATCCCCATTGATCCTACACTGTTTTCCAGCCAAACTTTGATAGGCATGGGTCCGAATCGTTGACCCCCAAATGGTTCAAAGCAATAATGTCCTTTTGGTAAAAATAGAGGGGCCGGTTTGGTATACCATCTATCATCATTTACCTGTTAAAGGGAGTTTCTTCAAACCCCTCTATTAATCAACCAACCAATGGGAAAAGGACATCTATGGTTCAAAGTGGATACTCTCAGATCCTATTTATGACTAATAGGATTGTTTTTTGGTACCACATTTCTGGTCGCCATTTTTACTCTTCGTGATTTATGTTGATTTTGGCGAGTTCAAATCTGGTCAATTCTTGATTGTTGTTCATTCAAATCCCTTTCGTTGTTGCACGAAATCAGCCTGGCAGCTCAATATTTTCCCTATTTCTGCTCATTAAATCTCAATTTTTGCTGATCTAGCATTGGTTTTGCCGTGGAGGTTTTGGATTATATTGGCTAGTACAATCCCAAAATGGTCAATCCTCATCAATCCTCATATCATCTCATATCAAGTTGATGAGCTATACAGTATCCTGAATGAAGCTCCAAGTCCTGGCGAAAAGTTCCAAGTCATAATACATTAAAGCTGGTTGGTGGTTGAGCCCTGGCAGCCCTACCCCTCTGAAAAGTATGAACGTCAGTTGGGATGATTCTTCCCAATATATGGAAAACAAACATGTTGCAAACCACCAACCAGAAAGTATATTCAAGTATTATTTTCATGAAAATCCGTGTTTCATCATCTTCCCCCGGGTACTTGGAGGGTCTCTCATCATCCCGGCCCCGCGCCATGTGCACCTCCCGTCGCGGGAGAAGCGACAGCGCCTTGCGCCACTGGCCCCAAGCTTCGCAACCGCTGGCGGCGGCGTGAAGGCCTCGGTTAGGTGCCTTTGGTCAAACAAAGATGTGGGTTATATACTATAGATTTATAGGAATTAAGAGTTCTTCAATGGGCTAGATACTGGTGATTTCTTGGCTAAAAACCGCTTGTTGTGGTGGTTATTTCGCATCATTTCAGTTGGTGAATCCTCCGTTTTTGATGGTTAAATCCCCATTCATATGCCAATTCATCAGGTAACACCCTCCGGTCACCTGGGAAATCCCCGGTTACTTACTTAATGGCCATGTCAATGGGATCCCATAGTCAAACTATCTGGTGGAGTGTCCAGCACGCCATGTTTTACCATAGGGTCTTGGCCTGCATCAAAATCCTTATAAATTGATTCTAGGTACTCTATAGCCTGCTATAGTACTATCTGGTAATATCTGGTTCTTGATCTGAATCCAGGATTGGCATCTGTCCTTGGAAAAGCAGTGGCATTTTTTCAGTGGCTTCAATGTTAACTGTCCCAGTTTTGTAAAGGGGTACGGCATATCATATCCAATTTTGTTAAGACCAATTGGGGATAGTTTATGACTGGGTGTACCTCATTAAGGAATATGGAATGCATCATTTTTTCCTCTTTTCATGCTTTCCACAAGAACACAAAAGACTCATCTACCAACAAAATGAATCAAAGAGGAATAAACCACGAAGGATGGCATTGAAAAGCCAACCTTCTTTTTCAACATATTTTTCCCAACAGGATTTCACCACGCTAAATGATGACTCAACCGAAATTGCGTGCTTGAAAAGCAACATGAGGGTTTGACTAACAAAAAGAAAAACACCAACAATATCCAACAATCATATCCTCTGGTAATTTTGTTGCAGTTTGCTGTTAAAGCCATGGCCATTTACTTCGTTGATTTACCGAACTTAAAGATGCTGATTTTCCAGTTCGCTATGTTCGTTTAGAGGGATCGGCACTTGGAAGTGCCAAGCAGCTGACCAAGGTGGGCGAGTTGCGACACCAAGACATTGCCTGCATGGCAGCCATGGCTGCCACCGGTGGGTAGTTCATGGTAGTTCTCCCTAAAGTATTGCTTGAAATCAAGAACCATTCTTGGGTCTAGGTGAATTGTAATATTTCACCATCCTGGAAATCCTTGAGATAAGGCCTCTATTGGGATATTCACCTGAGTGACATTAATTCATGCAGATTGGATATCGACGTTTTTGGCTCGAGCAGCAGCTTGGCCTCGAAGAGATGTAGGGCTTTCTCTCATTGTCCCCCAAGGCTACCTGAGATGTGCAGCTGAGATGGGTTGATATCAAAAATGCTGCCCTTCAAGACGTTCCTATAGCTATTGACCGATCCCCCAGAATCTTGGGAGCTACCGAAATCCGCCATCTGCGATTGGTCCAGGATTTTCATCATTCATATTCGGTGATGAATACCCTATAAGAAATGGGCATTCTCCCAGTCTTCACTGCGTACATCTACATCACCTACGGCCAATTTCAGCTACCCTGCATGTTCTAGCTGGTTAGATTACTATGTCCCCATTGATCCAGTGTTGCCAATCAAACTACCTGCTTGAAGGTTCTACCAAAGAATCCACCCACTTGATTCCTCCATTCCCCGTCGACTGAGTTCAAGAAACAGTTGTCCATGGTCGAATTGTAGGACACGACGTCTGCTCGTGGCGCCTGGCGCCGCGTGAGACGCATGAACTGCTGGCTGATTTCAACGGACAAATTTCACATCTTAGTCAATTTGGAGTCACTCGTCAGAGGTACGGATGGAAAGTAGAAAAACGATGAAACACATATAGAATGGTAGATCTACGGGTTGAAAATTGCGAACTCCCAGAAAGTTGAATCTTAAGAATCACCCAAATTCTTGCCATTCCCTTGGCCTTACAAATTGACCGCATCCCAAATTTGGCACCAGCCATCCATCGGGCTTATTTGTGACTATACTCTGAGACAGACAATGTTTTTTTTTGCCTCACTAACTTTTGAAAAGCCTTCTTGTCATTTAACATAGCTATAGAAAAAGGCCCATGTAAAGATGAAGATGATGAAACATATTTATTAAATCGTAGTAAAATGGCGATGTCCAGTTCGCAAACCCTTGAATCGCCGGAGGGTAGCACTCAGAAGCCGTTGCATTGTGGGACAGCCAGGAAAGCCACATAGGTTGCTTCCAAAATTATATATCCATAGTTAATACTACCAAATCTTGATTGCCAGGGATGATCTGTGCTTACACTTCTATAATCATCATATGAATTTGTCTGAACACAGGGCGACTCGAATGTCAAGTGGTTTACCATCATTTTGGTGGCCCAAAAAAAGGGACAAACCCAACTCCATCAAATCCATTCATAGCCTCATAGGTCAGATTCCCATGTTTCACGGCGAAACAGCTTACCCTCTGGTAATTTGTTGCATAGCTATGGAAACTCACGATTTTGTATGGTGCTTCTAACATGTTTTAACCATCTTGAAAAATGATGGAGTTCGTCAATTGGGATCATCATTCCCAATTTTTTGCCCATGAAAATCACCATTCATCACTATTAACCATAAAATTAACCATTAATGGCCATTTTCAATAGCAAACTGTTACCCTCTGGTTATTTAACAGTTCGCCATGGAAAATCACCATGCTATTAATAGGTAAACCATGGTAAACCATCTATACATGGGCCCTTTTCCATGGCTATGAATCATCGAACTCCATGGGCCATGGCGGAAAAAAACCGGCCTTCATCGACTCCATGACTTGCAAAGACCATCTCCAGACCTGACCAAGGGCGGCGGAGCAACCCCAAGTGATAGAAAAGTTGGAAACCTGAAAATGATGGAGAAAAACACACATCTACAGTATATATACATAGTTTTTTAAAACAAGTCATTTGAGGGATTGCTATAAACATTGGTTCAATCAGGTAATTAATCTATATCATCACCCCTGGCAACTTAGCATGGTTTCTGGATGGTGGTTGTAACCTCCCTGGAAAATGCCTTGGCAATTTTGGATCATCATGCTAAATACATAATTGGAACGTAGAACATTTGAAATTACAAACCAATTTGTCGTTCAATGGATCGGTTTACTTGGGGAACATTGAGGTTTCCCATGCTTTTCTGCAACATTCCCCTTGAACATCCTGCAATTCTGGGATTTGTTCGTCTCATCCCTCACCATTCGGTGCCTTGTCCATGGATTTCAACGCACAGTTCTCCACTACGGGGCCTGACCTTGGGATAAAACAGGCCAACATGATAGTTGAAGGGACCAAATGTGTGGCGAACTGATTTCCAGTATATGGATATATATATATATACATTTATGTATATATATATATATGTATAAATATGATTGTATGTATGTGTATGAAATTATATGGATATAACCAGTATGAGACCCTGGAAATGACTCGACACATTTCAGGAACTTCTCCTCCTCGTCGTCGTCGTTGTCGTCGTCGTCGTTGTTGCTTCCATAGCTTTCATCACGTTCAAGTTATCCCATGCTATTGGGTCTAACATCTTATAGAGACCAACTATCCTATACTTATACCGTCTATATATATGTCTGTATTATCTAACGGTTGAATCATGCTACCCTCTGGTAATTTCATGTAACCATAAAACAATGGCCGATTTGTAGATGATTTACCGAATTTAAAAGTGGTGATGTTTCAGTTCGCACACGCTGAAACAAATTGCCGGATATCTCAACGTATTCCGATTATTGTACATCCCGTTGTAGCACCATGTTGGCTAAAACTCTATTGTTGGCGGTTAATGCCACTGCATTCTTAAGATCTATCCCATTCTATTCCCATCCCATCCCCATTCTACTGTATCCCATTTTCAATTCCCACATTCTTCTTGCTTCACCCAATTATATCAGTTTCACATATGACATGATAATGATTGATGATACCTTCTTATTGTTTCATTGGTTAACTGGTTGGTGGTTTTAACCATCTTGAAACATATTAGTCAATGGGAAGGATTATCCCCTATATATTATGGAAAATAAAACATGTCTGAAACCACCAACCAGTTAACCATGGTTGACCCATATTAACCCCCCATTTTTTCATCCCCCCATCGCTTCCAAGTCACATGCTGCGGGTCACCATCTCTCCTCCCGCCGCCTCCAGCCGCCGCAGGGCCCGAGGCCATGGACCCGTCATTAGCGCCGCGTGGTGCACCACGTTGAGCCGCAGCTGGCGCCGCTGGGCGCCTTGCAGCAACCTGCAGCCATGGGAAATGCTGGCAAATCAACGAAAAAATTGGAAAATCACGGGAAAATCATGAAACAAAAACCAACTAAACGGAGTTGTTATGGGAAAATCATTGAACTAAATTAAATGGCGGATTTTCCAGCCACCTGGAGGGTAGGTGAGGAATTCTACAGTTAAAATCCATGGGTTTTCCATGCCCATGAAATACAGGCAGTTTTCTGTAAAAGGAAACTGTGAAAAAACAAAATAAGCCAGTGATTGAGTTCTTGAAGGCAAGTGTTCAGATAGCAAATGATCAGCAATCAGCCAATCTGGGGTGGTTCTCCTTAGGAAAGTCCTCATTTATGGTGAGGTCGTTGCGAGACGGTTGTAGTTGGCCCCAATGTCGTGCAGGTTCATTGTCCCATTCCCCTAACAATACCCCCTGACTAAGACCCAAACATTGAGAGATCAGCCTTCAAGACAGAAGAAACCATGCCCAACAACAACAAACCGTTGGAGAATGTTGGAGGCACAAATTTTATGAGTTGTTATTGCTTGAACTCTCCCATCTTGTGTTAATTGGACCCCATATCCAAGCTGATACATGGCTGCTTCTCGCAGGTTTGTTTTAACACAGCAAATCCCATTCAATATCCCCATTCAACTCCCATCCAATCTCCATTTCTGGTTGGTTCCCGGTTCTCCTAACTGAAATACACATCTGGTGACATCTGGTACAAATTGCCATCGTTTTAGCACATCTAAGATCATCGACTCATCATACTGGTTTGGTTTACATTTTCCTAATAAGCATAATTATGATTAAACCATATCATTATATCCAATCTATATCTCATTATATACTACAATGTGGCCCCCCTGTTCTAAGTTGGTTTATAAACCCCATGAACTTAGCTAGGTTGCTGGAGTTATTTGCACCAACTTTGCTATCGTTTGTCAGCCCCACATTGCTAACTTTTGCCTCAAACATTTCCGACCCCCCATGGTTTATCATGGATATAATGATGGATGTAATCCCTATAAATGATAAAATCTCTACCATCTCTCACATGTATATACTTATATTTATATATAGGTATAATTACGCATATAATATATATATATATATCCTCTGGTTATTTAACATAGCTATGGAAAATGAGCAATTTATAGATGATGTACCTATTAAAAGTGAGGATTTTCCATGGCAATGTTAGTCATGACCAAAGCTGGGAACTACACCTGGCAGCAATCTGCCAGCTCGTGAGCGCCGTCAGGGCGCTGGTGGCCAGCTGGTCATTGACCTCAAGGCCTGAACCAATGGTCGTTAGAGGGACCCAATGGAGGTATCATGGGGAGATTTAATGAAGATTTTATGAATTTTATGGGATTTTAGGAGATTTTATGGGATGCTGGTGGGTATATCCTCTGGGATTTTATGAGATTGTTTTTTGGACATACATCTATGTTAACATGTATTTACAGTATGTATATGTATTTTGTGGGATATAGGTTATATTATTTATATTATATCATGCGTAGTCCTTCATCAATGCCTGTCTCTGTGAAACATAAGGACCTGTTTATAAACTGTTGGGAAACATTTTATGGTATATGGGATGTACCCTCCGGTAATCAAACATGGCAACTGGAAATCCACTATAAATGGAGCTTTTAATGGGAACATCAACGAACTAAATTGGTGATTTTCCATTGTCACGTTTGATGACACCGGAGAGTAACGCCCATGACAATGGTAATATGTAGTGGAATATCACACCTAATAGGGATGTAGGGGATGATCCTTTGGGATGTGGAATATCATGGAATGAGGGATATCAAACGTATCTGGTTGGTGGTATACCTACCGCTCTGAAAAATATGAACGTCAGTTGGGATGATTCTTCCCAACTGAATGGACAAATAAGAAATGTTCCAAACCACCAACCAGGTATTAATGTATTATGTATAAGCTAATATGGGGATTGTATCCAACCAAGCATGATGGTGAAAAGCCATCAACATATGGGGCTTCAACCGGAAAGATAAGGTGATTTTCCACATGGGTTAACCATCAATCTATATGTGGATCAGCCGATCAATGGATTTGTCTAGTCAGGAACATTGAAATCGGACATTGGCGGTGTTTTTTATCCACCAAATTGCTTCTTGCTTCTGAATATACTACTCTACAAACATATATAACATATATATATAGAGAGAGGTGTCACTAACATCCGAAGATAGTTTTGCCCAAAAAAGGTGTATCCCTCAAATCTCCTGGATCAGAGCCTTATCCCGAATTGCAAATTGCCACCAAAACCATTTTTGGACAAACTCAAAACCGTTCATAAGTCATGGGTTAAATCTCTCTCTTTGACGGCTAAATCACCATTATATATATATATATATACACTGCTTAAATTCCAATTCGTGCTGCTAAATTCATGTCAAGGCTAAATCGCATTTTTCCTGATAAGATCCCGATTAAAATCTCATTTCATGGCTTTGGTTACCGCCAGTCTCACATAGCAATGGAACATGGCTTCACGAGGGTATTTTGAAATGCTCTACCTAGGTAAACAGTGACTTTCCATAGTTATGTAAGATTACCAGAAGGTATCTCACGAATATCCAATGAAAAAAATCATGAATATCCCAGTAAATCATTATTTTATGTTATTTTCAACATTTTTCAACCGCAAAGAATTGCCATTTTGTTTGTTTTCTGATGCATCTCCCACTATGTCCCACTCCAGGGATGATCCTCACCTTGACTTCTCAACATCGCAAAAGAGTGCAGCGCCTGGTGTCGAAAACCACCAGGCGCAGTTGCAGTTCTCTGTTACACTTGTCATCACTTGTCAATGGATTGGTTTAAGGGAAAATCTTAACCGGAAACCATGGTAAAATTATGCTTTTACCATCAGATATTTTTGGGTTTCCGGTTCCAATTTTCCCATCATCCAATTCTGTGAACTTGGCAATCCTGTCCTATGGCCTATGGGTTTCCATATGTTTCCATCCAATTTTATCTTCAACTATTGAATATTGTGGTAATTTTTGGTAAAGCCAGTCCTAAACCATCATAATTGGTCTGTTACCATGAGTCAAAAAAGTGGCAGGTTTATGGCATGGGGTTTATCATATTCTTGAAAGTACTTGAGAATAGCAACTCCGTTACGGATGTTACAACAGAATTGTGTGTGTGCCACCAAAATCAACATGATATATAGTAGCATCGTATTTTTGTTCGGTGTTCCACATTATCGTCAATCGACCGGTTTGATCTGGTTTGAGGGAAACTTGAACGCGGAATCCATGGTTTTTGGATCCAAGTATGGGAAAATCCTATATAAATGGTGGATTTCCCAACTGCGTTTGATAACACCACAGGGTTTCCAAGGTCGAAACTCCCCTGCCTCATCCCAAAAGCTGCCCTGCGCGCAAGCGCCAAGGAAACAGGAGCAAGTGACCACGTCGCTTGCCGCGTGCCCGATGAGGTGTAAGGACCTGATGAAGACGCAAAAAGGGTTTGCTTTTTTTCCAGCTACCAATCCCAGGTGATGATTGAGTTTACCAATCCATCAATCCATTGAACCAGTTTTTTCGATGTTCAATCAACGGCGTTGGTTTTGTTGGGAAAAACTTCACCGGAAACCATGTGTTTTCCCATGATATATGTGGGTTTAACATGGTTTAACCTGAAAATTTCCCTTGAACCAATGATGTCTCACGTCTTTCGCTGTGCTAGTGGTAACCACCTCCTCACAGAGGACGAAGCGGGAACATCACCGGCCATCATAGCAACCATGGTGTCGTTGTTCTCAATGTTCAGGTGCGGGTCTAGGGTCTTGGGAGGACTGTTTTTGTAGCGGGACTTCTCATTGTTGAAGACTGGTTGGTGGTTTCAATCCCTCTGAAAAATATGAAAGTCAGTTGGGATGACTATTCCCATATATTATGGAAAAATAATCCAAATGTCCCAAACCACCAACCAGAAGATGTACAATTCAGTCCTTCGCCGCGAGCCTTTCGAAAACAAACGGTTCAAGGTGTTTTTTTGTGGGGAGAATGGAGAATGGTCAAAACGTCACAGTCAGTATCACCACCTGACCCGACAAACCGAAGGGGACATTGATGGTGAATGGTATGCAGTTAATCTTGAGCCGTTCAAAAGTGGGGAGCATTGCTATTATATGTTATTATCATCTAGAAATTGATAGAAACCTCTATCAACTTTAATGATGTACTAATTACTAGTATTATGGTTCTTCAAATAGTGGATCTAACTGGGTATATAGGTACTATGTGATTGTAAGGTATGTGCATCAAGGATGGGCAATCTGAGATTTGGAGAGTCCAAACGAATCACAGATGGCTGGTCTGTTGGGATTCCATGTGATGCTTGTTGTAATCCTTACTAACCACTCGATGTCCACCCACACTCAATGGGTGAAAACAGGGTAAGCAATAATCATGTCACTTGCTTACATGTTTATCATACGCTGGCTCTTCCGACACACTGCTTCCTAGTGGATCTATCCCCAAACACGAACCATCCAAAATCTAACATTGCAACACATTGCAACCATACATCGCTCTTTAAAATTGGACAATGTTGATCACAATCAAAGTTCAGTTTTTGTTCATCCAATTCTGGGTGGTCAAAAACCAATTTTTGCTGCCTGAAAATAAAAGATATGGTCGATTTACCCGTGGGTTTGTATCCCTCCCACTATACCATCATGTTTGTTGCCCATTGACCGCTGATCATGGGGATATTTCTATCATTCTTAAGCGGGATATTGAATAATGGGATAGATAGTAACCATCAGATTCGTTGATTACCCTCTGGTTTTTCCATTTATAGATGATTTTCCCAGCTAGAAACCTCCATTTATTTACGGGATTTTCCATGGCTATGTTAGTCATAACCAGAGGGTAAATCCTGTAAATCATCCATTTCAAACACCGAAATTGCCACGTTCTTCGCTGAAGATATCTCTATATATTCTCCATGGGCTGTCCTGTCGCCATTTTTCAAGATTCAATCCTCAGTTGTATCCATATGTATACATGCGGTTTCTTGCTTATCCCATGAAATATCCATGAACTCACGTTATATATGTATATATTAAACATCCATTAAATATCCATCATTATATTCATCAAATATCCATTAAATATCCATTATATATCATCATTATCATATCCAATATATCATAATATATCCATTATATATCATTATTAATATCATTATCCAATCATCATATTATCATAGCCAATATACTGGATATAATCATTAATACAATATATCATTCTATCCAATATATCATATCCAATCATCATATCCCCTTGGTGAAATCCTGACTTTTCCCGTTTGTTGTTTCGGCCATGCCTTGGCCATTGACCGCTGCGCTCCAGCGAGGTGCACACAACGTTCTGCAGCACCAGATCCGCCGCCTTTGAAAAAGCGCCAGGGACGTTGTTGGCTTCTCGGATACACTGGGAAAAATCGAATGAAACAGTAGCTACAGTAGTTAGAGTAGTTCTTGGGTTAGTTACAGTAGTTACAGTAGTTACAGTAGCTCTTGGGTTAGTTACAGTAGTTACAGTAGTTGTCGTTACAGTTCCGATGTCCTTTTGGAAAGACGGGCCGGCTTGGATACCATTTAATGGTATCATCGACCCCTCTATTCATCAACTGTAACCAGTAAGGACATCTATGGTTGTTGGATCAGGAGACAATTGATCCATGAAACACAGCCATTTTACATAAACAAATGGGAATAACATGGGACCTGGGATATGCAATGTGGCAAATAAGTTGGATGATTGCCATATTACGGTTGATGGATCAAAAAACAACATCTTACCGTCAGCCAACTTACTTGATTGTATTAACAATATGGTAGAGCCAATTTGATGACCAAATTCCGCAATATATTTTAAACACCATCAATAGAACTGTGAAAGTAAGGTTGGATAAACACTCTCTGGTATGCAGTATAACCATGAAAATATGCAGTATAACTAACCCTCCAAACTTGGAGGTTTATGGCATTTGCTTTGCCGCAATGACCATTCATATAACCCTCTGGTTATTTAACATAGCCATGGAAAATCACCATTTTAAATAGGTAAACCATCTATTTCTATGGGCCATTTCCCATGGCTATGTTAGTCATAACCAGAGGGTATAGTTTCCCTTACCCTAATGAGAGTTCATTATGATAACAACCATGAGATTTTTGGGAGATCCAAGCTGCACCAATTGGGTATCATCCCCTGGATGGAACACACGAATTTCACCGGATTCCCCACCGTGCTTTCTTCGCTGCGCAAAAAGTAGGCCAAAGTCATTCGCCAAAGGTATGGAGGCTGCACCTCGTTTCGTCTGATTTGGTTACCACAAAAAGGAGAGATTTAAAGGCTCAATCCAATTTTGAAAATTCTGATAAAATTTGATGCAAATTAATCATGCTCCATCTTTTTTGGGCTGCGGTAGCTTGGTGAAATTTTCATATGCTTGTTGCTGATCCAGCTTTGTGTCTGGCCTGGTGAGTTGCCGGTGATATATTACTCCTTCCAGTTGCTTTCCGGTATTTTCTGTCGTTGCTCATCTGGAAATGGCTGTGGTATAGAATTACTATATCCTAGTGTTTCAATATTCTTACACTGTTCTTTTTGTAAATAGTTATTGTAATTTGACTGTTGTTGCTAAAAGTTAAAAAAGCGTATTGCTTTCAAATTAAAGTTTGGTACAGGGTACTGTACATACCTACGAATTGATTGATCGTATTTTGACCTGCTTTATTATCTTTGTTGCAGTACTTTGAAGGTCCGAATGACTAGTACAGAAGCGACATCCACCACATGTTTTCCAAAACCCAATGCTACTCTACCACAAGGCATTCTTTCCATGCTTGAAGTGAACATTGCATGGTACATTCGTCATAGTACTAAAAAACATCTCAATCATTCACAGTCTAATTGATTGCAAGTGGCTATAGCAAATGTCAAGGCAGAAGTGACATTTCTCCAGCTGAACTTCCCGAAACGACTGCAGTCAATAGCTTGCTGCCAGCTCCCAAGGATCAAGAGCAGCTAGAGCTATGATAGTACTGGTTTCAATTGGATTGGGGAGGTTCTTTGTAGGTCAAGCAGAGCGTCAGACGTCGTACAAAATAAAAGGTAAGTGGCCTTCCAGTCATTCGATGTATGACAAAGATCAAGGTCCCAAGACAGACGTCGATGAATCCCAGCAACTATTTTGACTGGGTCAATGTTCAACCTCAGGCCTAGCATTTAAAGTTTGACTCTCGATTTCCCAAACGACATAAGCATTTCCCAAGTATGGATCCAAGCAAGGAATCAAAGCGCTTTTCTATGTTTCCATCGATGTTGGGTCCCTCCCGGCGTTGGATGAGACTGGCCTAAATCAAACGGGAGTTTTGGGTCGACCCAATCCAGATGCGGAAGAAAAAAAGACTCAATCTTCAGATCCTAAGTGAGTCAAATATCCAAAGTAATGTGCTTAAAACAATCATAAACCATCCCCAAACCATTTTTATAGGTGCTATGAACCATTCCCAAATGGCGAAAATTTATGATTCTTTTAACGAAAAAAATTCTGGTCACATCGGATCCACAAATCCAGAGCCCCCCAGCCCTTCCCCCGGACTTCCCTCAGCTTACGAAAGCAAGAAGCTGCCATGGCAGCTGACATGCCAACAGCGTCTCTTTGAAGAGCGCAGTGCCCCGCACGATCCTGGGGGCTGATGATCACCCGGCGGCATGACGGGGCGATCATAGGGAGTGTTTTACGGGATTTCGATGACCATAACATATAATAATATACAAAACTACAATACAATGAAATAAAACCAACTAGACTATTAATATATTAGAATATTATATAATATCATGGTATGATATGGTATAATATGGTATAATGTAATATATTATATTATATAGTATATTCATGTTATAATACAATGTAATAAAATAAAGTAAATAATATATAGTAAACTATAATATAATATAAGATAATATAATACAATATAATACAACATGATACAATATATATATATATATAACATAATATACTATAATATCATATATAACAAAACATAAATATAATACAATATAATAATTTTTCCTTATAACTTAAATATATAATCACATCAAACATAATATGATATGATATGAGATAATATCAGGCATCATCTCCCCACGATCTGCGAAACAAACATCACCGAGGCACCAAGATCTGCAAGGACAGCGTCCAGGTCGTTGCGGCCGTTAAGGTGTTGAAGCTGATCCTGATCCGTTGGAACGAAGAAAGTTTCCGATCCGTTGGAACTAGTGGTGATATGATTTATCCAAATATGATATCATATCCAATTCTGATTTTTTAAAAAAAGTCATCAGCATTTTTTGATATGATTTTAATAGAATTCAGTGAACTTATTTGAATGTTTCTCATCTTTAAACGTGCCATTTTCCACCGTTGTATTGAACCAGAGGGTATATGTCCCAGGAATCGGGATCGTATAGATCTAAAAATGATTGGGATATCTTTATAGGCACTGTACATGTTGCAGCCCTATGAGAAATTTATTGGGGATAGAATGGAGGTATAGAAACACGGACTGTGTGGATAAATTATATATATATATAACAATTCACAACTCTGAAATAAAGTCATTCATTGGGGCATTATTTCCCCTACTAAAGATAATTCCAGTGAGACGCAGTGAGGTCGTTACAATCTATGCAAATACCTGAATATGAGCCACATAACTATATATATATATATATACACATTATACACATAAATTTGTCACTAGTGATACCCTGTATATTACTGGGCAAACTTGTCATCAAAACTGTTGTCAGCAACATCCATATCTCATACAAAGTAGATCTGTTCCATCACGCCACTTCTTCTAGTTGTGCAGTGCCAGCATTTGCCAAGATTTATAAGAGACAGTGAGTGTACAAAAGCTGTATGCCATTATGTACCTACAGAAACGGGCGTATCTGTACCTCTCAAATGTACCAAGGACCCAATCACTAAACTTGCAACATGGTACGATTGGGTAAAACGAAGAAACACATGTGAAAATCAGGTCACTGCGACACAACTAGATACCAGCACACCAAGTAGAAACACACAATATGAAACAATTGCAATACAATTGCCATCTGCCAACCAATTGTTCTAGCTGTTCAATGTTCCTGATGAAAACGATGCGATGGTCTCTGGGTTGATTCCTGCGACTAAAAGCAACACTGTTTTCACACATTCTGGCTGCACGCGCATGCAAGTCAGCACATAAATCGCCATATACGTCACTTAGTTTGTCAGTTCATCTCTGCTGACGATACCAAATCACTCCCGGTGAACGCAAAGTCAGTTCATGTCATGCAATGTCCCCAAAATTGGTAATAACATGTAATAACCATGCCAATCTGGCAATGGAAAATCTCAAGTTGACAGATGATTTCCCCATTGAAACTCCAAAATTTTTCTCGGAATTTTCCATCCCCTCTTTTGGGTGTGACAGAAACCCCGGCGGCCGTTGCATGCCGTGGTGCAGATCTCGTTGCACGTCTTTGGTGCTCATCGTCTGGGACAGCTGAAGACATAGCCTGCACCGAGTTCATACCGAAAGATGGCAGATTCATCTGCAACTGCAACAGGGGATAATTTAGAAGTAAGGGATGTGATATGTGGTATAATATATATATATGTATATATATATATGAGCACGTGCATATATATATATATTATATTATGTTATATTATATTATATTAATTATATTATGCTATATTATATCATATTATATTATATTATATTATATTATATGATATGTTTGCACATATAAACAATACATATCTTACAACTATTTAAACATATCTAGTAGACATTTCATATGTTAAAATAGACTTCTGTACATAAATGTATCCGGATATACAAACGGGGAAACACATGTTGGTAACGATATGTATTAAAAACAAAAACAAGAAGTATGTGCATAAGAACCACATGCACCATATACGTACATATATATTTATTTATATATATATATATGTACACGTATAAATATACATACCTTAAAATCAATAACTCAATAACCATAAATACAAATATGTGTACACACAAACAAACATGATACTCGCTGGTAATTTCACATAGCAAACTGCAACATCACCATGTTCAATGGGTATATCTTTGTGCCGCGCCTACAATGCAGGCCTGGGATGAAGCCTTCCAATTTGTCCGGAGGACTTCGCAATAGAAACCATGAATAAACGAACATTTTAAAGGTGAACTGGCAAAACAACTAGCTAGTCACAATATCTATGATATATTTCAGATTATGTCAGCATACTCCGTAGATCTGCTTTTGGGACTCACACCCCGGCTCCCCCTCTCATGCCTCCAAAGGTCGCTCTCGGCTTGGCCTTGCAGTGTAGTGTAGAACAGCTCTAAACGCCATTTATCGGATATTTATAGTGGATTCTTCCCATTAAGCGCATTAAGACACCATTTACAGATATTTATAGTGGGTTTTCCAGCCAGCCCCATTGATCTGATGCATCAGCCCAGGCGCGCTGGTCGTTCGGCGGGCGGCTCATGGTATTCATGGCCTTGCAACGAGTGCGAGGAGACACAATCTTTCTGGTGCGAGTTCTTTGGGATCCATGATTGATTGAACTTCATGATCTTCATGATTCAAGAATGAATCATGCATCATGCCATTTCTGGGGATAAGAAACAGTCAGACTGACAGAAGCACACAAATCTTCATTAAAATCTTCACAGCGGACCATGGTTTACTTCGAAACAATGCTGACAGCCAGTGGGATCTAACAGGAATAAAACAATCAAATTTTCGCATATTCCAAAGGCTCCACTGAACCTTAAGGTCGATGTTCGGTCGGACAACGTGTATCGATCAACCACTCTATTTTTCAGAGCATTTTTCTTGTCCGGCAACCCCCATTGGCATTCCGACACGATCTAAACCCTAGGTGGCTGGAACATTTGAATATCATCTTTGGATATCTTTGGCATGTGAAACTCTTGGAGTAATGAAGGATGAAGGGGAACTAGCAACTTACCACCACAAAAATCGAAGGTGTAAAATCTAAATCCAAATCCAGCAACCACCACAAAAACACACACACACAGTAGGAGTAATGTTGCTGGTTGTCCGATATCCAAATGATTTTCTGGTTATTCCATCTTATTCAAATTTTATTTTAAATCATATAAAATCCAAATCCAGAGAAATTCCAGAAATATGTTCCACTTATTTTCCAGTTGTTTTCTGGTTCTTTCCAACAACAGTGACAATATTACCTGTCGGACATGTGGCAGGCCACAGGTGCACTCACCCGCCGATTCCACTCGCTTTTCCGTCCAAGGTGTGACTCGAAAAAACGAGTCAAACAGTCAAGGTGGCTCAAGGTTTGTCACCATGGCATAAATGTCACATATTGAATATGGAACCTGGAAATATGACATATCTGTTTGATATAGATAATTATTATATAGATTCTAATATGAACCTGGACATGTATGGAAATGTGATGATATATACAAAACACATGCCAATTATGAAACTACCAACCACTTATCAATACATTTTGCATGGACATCGAAACAAGTGATGAACTCTGCAATATGTCACGTGGTTCGCTGCCAGCAAACTTCGTGAGACTGGTCAAACTGACTTCAAGTGGTTTGCTGATTGCCTGCTAAAACGGAACACTAAGGTGGATAATGATGGACAATAACACTATGATGGATATCAAACTCACTTGAATTTAGATGGATAATGATTGATATTGATTTACAGTATCAGTGGCAAATCCATCCACTATCCGCAGCTGAGTGGCCGCATTGATAGCAATGACATCCAGTTGAAGGCGGCAATCTTCTGACCTCAAGATTTCCAATGATGCCAACGCGATCTTGGGCGCCTGGAGATTCCTTTGATGAACCGGTGGATGAAAACGAAATTGGATCCGTATGGCTTTGGATATATTCAGTGCTGGTTTTTGGGCCTGACAAAAATCAGTTTTGACCCATTCACATTCTGCTTGAAAATAAAATAAGATCATCTTGATGACAGGGACTGTCGGCTTGCTAAGGAGGGCAACCAAATGTCAACAATCAAAGGCTCTTGAACCATTGCACTCTGGAAGCCCAGGAAGCCCAGGAAGACAGACACACACACGCACATAACCAGAGCAAATAAAATTCCACAATTTCATGTCACAAGTCTTGGAGCCAAATGTTCATCATTTGCAACCAACAAGATACATCTTTTGAGATAGGCCTCTGAACAAAAACAGCACTCTTCCAAATGGAAGCTACTGACTGGCTATCAGACTGGGTAAACGCGTGGGTGTTTCTGAAAATGGGGGACCCCAACACCATGCGAGTTAATACACACATAGCAGTCTAATTTCGGATAATTTTGGGGTAACCCATTCCCAGAACCAGCGGTGTTTTTTCTATTAAAGTGACCCATTACAATAGTGAGTGAACCAAGTCAAAGTTTACCAATCCAGCAGTTGCTCCCCCATCATTGGGTAACCAATGAATTTTTTGACAACCATGTTCTCTCTATACAAGATGGCCCCTCTAGATGGTTGCCTGGTTTGTACATCCATTTAACTAGATAAAAATCAATATCCACTGTAAATCACTTATAAACCAACTAAGCAAAGTAGGGGGCATCAAATTTTACTTTTTTTAAAGCTTATATCCCAATGTTTGACACTGAAACCCGAGTATTTGGTGGTTAAACCTCAATTTTTGCTGCTTCAATCTCCATTTCTGATGGTTAAATCATTGTTGATGGCTACCCTCTGGTAAGCTAGCATAGCTATTGAAAATTGCAATTTATAGTTGAACTACCCATACAAAATGGTGGATCTTTCCATAGTTATGTAAACGTTTACCGGAGGGTAAACCTCCATTTTCCTATGGTTTTCCCATTAAAACCTCCATTTTCCTATGGTTTTCCTATGGTTTTCCCATTAAAACCTCCATTTTCCTTTGGTTTTCCTAGGGTTTTCCCATTAAAACCTCCTTTTCCTATGGTTTTCCTATGGTTTTTCCATTAAAACCTCAATTTTCCTATGGTTTTCCCGAGATGATTTTGAAGTACAACGGACCCTTCTGCAGCGCCAAGGTGCCGCCATAAGATTTCCAGGACCGCTGGCCACTTCCGTCGCAGCCTCGGGCCACGGTCAAGTTACGTGGAAGGTTTCGATGGTTTATGGTCATCCTTTCCAGTACGGGAAGCCTAATATATGATATATACATATAATTATATACATACAGTATATATATATTATAATATACATATACATATATATATATATTATATATATAATATACATATACTTATATATATAATGTATACAATGTCTATATATATATATGATTAACTCACGTTTTGAATGGATTGATGACCATCCTATGGCAAAACAATCCTCTTTTGGATGCGGGAGGTTCATCCCAAAGGGGGCTAGATGTCACAGCAGCGTTGCTGGGGAAAAAATGATGGGATTCCCAGCAAAACTAACATGGAATTGGTCTGAGAAAAAAGACATTTTAGTGGTGGCTATCCATGGCTATCCCCAAATTTCATGATTGATATTATTATTGATATATTATTGATATTTATTGATATTGATTGATCCTATGATCATTAAATTATTCCGGCTTTAAATGGCCCATTTATTGCTGGTGAATCCCCCTTTTTCAGATCTTCCCCCCAGCACCTCTCAATGATCTGGGCTGATCGACCGACCAATGGAACTGGTGAGCTCTCGCAGGGAGCGAGGCTCCTAGCACTTCCACCAAGCACAGCAAGAAACACTACCAGGAGCACGAGAAGTCACCTGGAAAAATGATGAAAAATGCATATGAACTTCATTTAATGCAGAATGATGCAACATGTATTTTGGATGGTTTTGGTGTGATATACATAATTCATACTTTGTGAATTATACGTTCGGGGATTCTTACTTAAGCCCGTACCAAGGAGGATTCAGCCACGCAACGAGAAACCAGGATTGATGAGACGCATTTCGTATCACTCAATCGAGTTTCGAACAGTCTCTAGTTCATTGGTTCCCGGATATGAAGAAGTAGAACTTTACATAATTGAATCCAACAAGAACTGGCAAAAAAAAGGTTACTGTAAGGATCCATATATGTCCTCTACCGGCTCTACCGGCACATTTTGAGGTCATCAGAAATTGCACCACCATTCCAAGTGGACATTTAGTCATCAAAACGGGAAACAAAAAAGCGGGACTAATCTGAGTTCCCCTGCAAGAATTCATACCATTCCTAGCTAGAGATATGGTAGATTGTGGTAATTAGATGTACCGTCTGGTTATGACTAACAGTTTGCCATGGAAAATCTCCATGCTATTAATAGGTAAACCATCTATAAATGGGTCATTTCCCATCGCTATGTCAAATAACCAGAGGGTAATTAGGTATATGACCCCCATCTATCCGCATGTCCGGCCAAACAGAAAACCAAGGATAACCAAGGTCGACTTCCAGGCTCATTCCCAGTCATTTGTTCACAAGCCTGGTTTTCCCTGGTTGGTCAGTCCCCCGGAGTTGTGTTGTCCCATTGATAGGTGGGTTATATATAATCCTACTGAAGCTAGCAACCAATGCAACTCCCACGATTCTCCAAGTATCCACCGTATCCAACACCCCTCAATTCAATGGCCATTTCAGGAACCTAAATTGGAGGTACCTACAGGCCTATATAAGGCCTATGTAAGGGAATATCCCCACAAAATATGGCCTTATATGGTACAGAACCTCCATTTTAGGATCCTGAAATTCCCATTGATCAATGGTAGTGACTCAAAGCTCCGTTTCCCAATCCTCCACAGGCCGACATGGCCGTGACAGCGCACCCGAGCTCATCCATCCGCGCGGGAAACGGAAACCGTCGACGCCGCGGCCATGGCCCGCACGCTCTGCTAGGTATCGGCATGCCCGGCCCGTGGTGTCAGCGCGACAAGAATCTATCAAGCTTAAAATGATTTAATATGTATTATTCTGGGTAAATTATAATATTTCACTAATCTGAATTGTTGGGCCATGGCTGGGGATGATTTCTCTTACTAACCATGATTTCCAGTGAGGGAGAACAGTGAGGTCGTTATAATTTACCCAGATTATTGGAATATACTGGATATCCATCTGTAATTGTCCACCGGATATCAGGCTGAAAAAAACTATGACCCATGTCTGTTGACAAGAAGCTTGGCTTAGAGAGCTCTATGAAATTATTACTCAAAGTTTGTTAGGATTTAATTCAAAGAGTTGGTGAGTTGATGTTTCAAATGGTCTAAAGTCACCAAGCGATAATCACCACGCATAGCAGCATAGAGCTGGAAGCTGCAGAGTTCCTAGAAAGGTCGGAACACCCTGCCTACAGACAGTGTCCATGCTATCTCCATCCTTCTAGGACTTTTTTCACTATCCACTATCCTCCAAGCTACTCAGCTACTCAAATTTGACTTTATACCCAATGCATGGTCAAATCCGTTGGCACGCATGTTCAATCATCAAACATGTTCATGATGGTATCCACGATGGATCCCAACGCTATGGCATGGCCATGTAGTGAGTAGCGGCTTAGCGCCATTGAGCGCCATGTGGGAGAAGAGTGAAATGGCCATATATTGTGGGTATCCCATGGTTTCAGACACCCGCTTTAGAAAAACCACCACATATATCTAGATAATATCCAGAGATATTTTGTGTTGGCTCTATCTTCGTCACATGCCATCCCCATCATATATATATTATATTATATATATATCATTATATATCCCCATGTCATCTGGGTAAATTCTCATAACATAGTTCACCTGAAAACTTCGGCCGGTCGGGAGAATTCCCCAGGATCTCCCTGAGATGCCCGTGCTCCCAGCGACCACAAACGCTCACCAGAGTGTTCAAACACACCACGTCAAGCCTCGGCCGAAACTCAAAATCTGCCAGAAATGAAGGTTTTAATGGGGGGATGGGTCAAAACCCTGGTACCGTGCCGTGAACCCCAAGTCATAGCTGGGATTTATGGATGTGAATAACCCACTAAAAATGTATCTATAGGTATTGACCCATACCCATGGGAAAGCATCATCGAACTCCATTGATAATGTTCCATTGCCACGCTTGATTACCGCAGTGTATGAAAAATTGTTTTCTAGGGGGTAAGAGTAGATGCACTGTTCTCCGTTGGTAGAATGTAACCCAGAATAGATGGAAAACAACGTCACCACTAGAATTCAATCTACAGTACTTTGACTCATGATAAACAATGATGAACACAGGACGTCCATTTCCGTGATGTCACTAAAGTTCATGCTAGTGAGAAACTACTTGCCATGAGAACATCCAGATAAGTGTTTCTTGTATGAAAAATAAATAAGCGACATCATTTCCTCCTAAACAAGAGGGCCATTTTCAAGTATCCCCCATTTATGGGTCAATGCTCAACCCCAAACCTAAGAATTGAACCTTTACTTTCTATTCATTTATTAAGATTTCATGTATTTTCAAACATCTGGAGAAATTACACTCATTCCCTGACCTGAAAAGTTCAGCTATTTGGGGTATTTTTTTCCAAATCCATTCACCACCATTCTGAATTCCAGTGCCATCGTGACGTGAGGTCGTGATCAAATTCATCTAGATTCTTATCATTTCCTATCCATTACCACTATAATGTGGCTAAAACAATGCCATTTGCACCATCCCCCAGTCATCACCATTTTTATAGGTGGTATAAACATGTATAAATACCATTCCCAGTCATGGCTGGTAGAAAAGGCATTGTTTTACCAACATTAATGGGAATATCATTGGATATAATGGGGTAAATGGGTAAGTAATGGTAAATAATCCATAGCATCAAATTACCTGAGGTATATCTACCATGATAGCATGAATGGTATATCATTAAATATCCACAAAATATAGTAGATTCTATCCATTTTCATGGTATGTTTTAACCGCTTTATATAAGCCCATTAAAATCCCCAATGATTATCCATTATCAACCAATAGAGATGCGCATGTAATTATATATGATATAGATTTTATAATATAAGTGTATGGTGTAATTTCTTATATATACCAACCATTATATACATTATATACCATTATTTTTATATTAACATGCCCATTCAACCCATGATTTTTCTTGAAACTCAGGTTTCTACTGCACATCGAGTCTCGCCCTGGCTGCTATATGGCGAAGGCCATGTGCCACGGCCACGGTCGATGGAAATCCGTATAGATCATGGGGACCGTGGGATTATGAGAAGGTTATTTATAATACATCTATAATAAATCTATAGGTATCTGGATGATTATACGTAAGATTATTGTTACTATAGGATGATCATAGGTACCTAGTAGTGGATTCACGTGTACGCTATGGATTATGGATGACATGAATACACCGAATCATCAGTATGTACTCTATGACCATCCCCCGGTGTGATCAAGTTTTGACCATGGTCCTAATTGGGATCAACCTAACACAATGGGGTAAAAGCAACCCTTCAACATTTGGCCCTATACAGCCTATACCTGCATTTTTGAATGATTATATTACAGTTGCATGATCACTTTGAAGTTGGCTTTACCAGTCATTCCTAACCAGCTAAACCTACAAGAACGGTAGTTTTGATCGTGGATCACATCTTTCAGCTGATCAAAACGGGTAAGAATCAATCCAAAAGCCGACTCTGTCATAGTTTACCGGGCTCACTAACTAAAATTGAGTTTTCATGAGCCCTATAGGCCCTATAGGCTTTATGGTGGTTAATAACGCCTGAAGAAGGTTTCATCATCGAAAAGGTCAAATATGGTGAGATACTCCGCATCTTCCTCCATCCGAACAGCAAACAACATTTCGCCCATTCATCAAGCATTCATCGCTTTACAAATAAATCAATTGACATCAGCATTCTCCTACCAAAAGAAAACACCAACATCATTATCATCCAAAACATCAGGCTGGTAACAATGGGTCTTCATTAACCAACACCAACCAAAAAACATTACCCTCTGGTAAACTAACATATCTAATTATTGAAGATCACCATTTTTGATAGGTAAATCAACTATAAATTGCCATTTTCAATAGCTATTTGTATGTTTACCAGAGGGTAAATCACCATCAATCACCATTAATCACCACTAATCACCATTAATGATTATTAATCACTATTAATCACTATTAACCATTATTAACCATTAATGGCCATTTTCAATAGCCACGTTAAATTACCAGTGGTTTTCGGCCATCTCCGCACGGGGTCCCCGCCCCACTTGGCCTTGCGTTGTAGAAGATCTCAAGGGCCATGTCCCAGCGTCCGCCTCTGTTGCGAAACCCATGGAATTCCCTGCTGTTCACCCGCAACAATCCTGAAATAGATGGGATTTATGGTGATTTACGATGATTCTATGATGATACTATGATGATTTTTTGATGATTCTATGAAGATTTGTGATGATCCTATGATGATTTGTGAGGATGATTTATGAGCTTCGTCCCTCCCAACTATGGTACATAGGTTTTGATCCATCCCCATCCGGATAGTCAACGAGATTCCAATGAGATGATGAAATCCATTGAAATCCAACCCAAAAGAATATTTGAAGGCAGATTTCGCGGACTTCGACATGACATTTTTTGGATAGTTAGCAGATAACCCCCATCCATGGCCTAAGAGATCAAAGCTGAGTGAAACGAGGCGTGGGAAGCCCCATCAGCTCACCAGCGCGAGCACTGGCACAAGACAGCGTGAGATCCGCCACACAAATCAAAGATTATTGAAGTATTGAACTATATTGAACTACACATCAAAGCTTGACCGCGCAAACTGCTGAGGTTTCCAACAAAACATGGGGCTTTAACCTTAAAATACATTGAATATCATTGAAAACTGTTAAACACTGTTAAGTAACATAGAAAATCCATGGCTTTACCCATGGTTCACCCCACTAAAAATCATGGGCCAATCCCATCCGTTTGCTTCATATGGAGCCTTGGCCACAGGCTTGCACCGCCGCTGCGCAGGTGACCGCGTCCGGCGTCACGTGACGATCCACCTGACTGAGGGATGGCGGATTTTTTTTGGGGCACCAGAAATGAGGGATGCAATGCAAGTAGATAAAATATGATGAAGTATCTAATCCAGACTCTAGCTATGGGTTCTTAGATGATTGAACCGACAAAAATGGTGATTTCAGCAACACAAATCTAGATATGACCTTCAGATTTTACGATGCCGTTTTTCATAATAACTAGCTCATTATTAAGCTGCACAAACGGCGAGCTAGCCTACATGAGTTTGACTTAGGGATTGAACACCTTTTACCATCAGAAAGTGGAGATTTTCCAAGCAACCAAAGATGGCTATTGAACCAGAAATACATGGGGATTCACCCCTCAGATCCTCAGTTCATTGAGGACGGAGGCAGCAAAATAACAACCGTTAAACCACGAAAAGCCTGAAGTAAATGTGGGCCGTCAAGTCACTTAGCTTAGCCCAAAAGAGCATAGTTTCTGCATTGACATGGCGATATCATCTTTCATGATCCAACAGGCCCTGAGGGATCTGAGGGTCTGGAGATGTACTACTGGAGCAGGAAGCCCCTGCTTGAATTACCATAGGAATTACCCTACGGAATCAAACATGGCAATGGAATATCCTCCATTTATAGATGATGTTTCTATAAGCACATCCATTGATATATGATATGATATGATATGATACGATATATGAATATATATGATTTATGATTTATGATTTATGATATATGTTTTATGATATATGACACATGATACATGAAACATGATACATGATACTGATACTGTTATGGTATGGTATGGTATGGTATGGATGTATGGATGTATGGATGTATGTATATAATTGTATATATAATTATTCTGATCGGGTATTTCCCAGCAAGCCACGTTTGAGCAAACCCAAGGGTATCCACATGTCTCTTCTTCGACCAGTCCTGCCTCCTCCATCATGACCAGGGCCTGCTGCCATTGTTGACCTGGGCGTAACCAACGAAAGATGGGGCGGGCTTTCAGTTGCTTTGATCATCAACAAATATGGGAATATTTTTTGGACTCCAGCACTCTGTTGCAACTGCTGCAGCTGAGCAAATCTCAACTGAAATCAAGTTGAAGTCAGACAGCGATCTATATTTCAATTTGATATAATATATGTATAAATATCAAATATCTAGCCAGAAAATAACATCTAATTTGATTGCTTCACCAGTCAAAGATGATGGGTTGAAGTTTAAAACAGTCACCCTTTGCTTATGTCTAAATACGGAGTCTCCCAAAATAGGCGTACCCCCAATCATCCAGTCATTAGACCATTTTACTATTGAAACCCATGGTGACGACTGGGGATCATCAATTTCAAGAACCCCCCCATGTTTCCAACCTTACACCATCCTGTCTCTCGTCAACGATTCCATGGCGCCTTTCTGCAACGCAGTGATCGTCGTATTGAAGGTGACCTCATTCTGTGCCGCAGGTGATGGCTTCAAAGAGGGGTTCACCCCATAGGCTCTGGTGTGGTGATACCCCCAAAAAGGGCCACTGAAAAATACCGAGTGATGATTGGTCTATGATGTCTCTATATTTTATATGGTTGTCCCAACATATTCCCATGATATCCCATTCAATGACGATTTTGGTTGCTTAAATCAGGTTTACCCTCTGGTAAACTAAAATAACTATGGAAAATCACCATGTTCAATGGGTAAATCCACTAAATAAATCACCATTTTCAATAGCTATGTTAGTCATTACCAGAGGGTACCTGTCTCACCAAAAAACTCCAAGTCGCCACATCTGGAGCCATCTCTGCGAGCCGCACTTCGCTGAACCACCCCAGAGCCTGGCGCTGCGGCAGACCCGTCGCGACGTCGTGGACCGTTGGGGACCCGTCGCGACGGTTTTGGACTGGAAACTGAGGTACCAAAATAACATAGCTGTGGAAATCCATGGTTTTCCCCTGGAAACGATTTATGTTGGTAGTGGTTTTCGCATAGCGATGCAGGTTTGCTGGAGGGTATATGGACTTGTAGGCAGATCATCATAACACGATTACACATGTACATGGATATGGAACATCCCAGTCAGGTTCTATCATAATTACATATAATCATTTACAACTATTGTATATATACCCTCTGGTTATTTAACATAGCCATGGAAAATGGCCCATTTATAGATGGTTCACCTATTGAAAATGGTGATTTTCCATGGCTATGTTAAATAACCAGAGGGTATATATACAGGATTATATATATATAGGAAACATCCTCCAGTTATATCTGTAAGCCACTTACGGTGCGTTGATGGGCCAGACGGGCCGTGGCACGATCGTCATCCATGGAAAAGAAACAGCACGTTTCAAACAACGAGCTGGGCTATTGGGATATTAATGAGATTATAGTAAATTAATGGCCAGTACTGATTGATATTAATGGGATTTAATGGGAATAGTATTGAATATTATTGTATATTTGTATATATATATATATATTCTGGAGTTATATACGTACTATTGTTGTTGATTATACCAGATGGTTGATATATACCAGATGATTGGCTGATATTGATTGATATTATTGATATTGGTTATAATGTGGGTAAAAAAAACTAAACCACCCATGACTGGGAATGATAAACATACCACCTATAAAAATGGTCGTTTGGGGGATGGTTTATTGTTGTTTTACCCCCATGATTACTCTGGATCAGTTAGACAATTCACTAACCTAAAATACGGTGATTTGGGGATGATTCCCTATACTAAGCATCATTCCACTGAGTGAGGTCGTTATAATCTACCCGAATCTACCGTACGACAAGAACCCGTGGCCGACCGGTGAGCCACATTATAATTTACCCAGAATACCGTATTGTTCCTCCCATGTTTCCATTTTTATCCATTTTTGATGTAGGGAATCTGCATTGCCACTGGATAACTGGTAAAGAACAATTTCTGCTGGTTTATTTCTGGCTGGATCTTTTTGCTGAAATGGCTATCTAGATCTTTTTGCTCAAACACCCCAGAAACCAAGCCAGAATGTCTTATCTTGAAGTCGATAAAGTTCTGCAAATGATCACAGTTGTAGAGGAACTTTGTTCTGAAAAACATATTGCTCCACAGTAAGTCAAATCACCTCGATGTCTCTCGGAATGATGAAGCTTTTGGAGAAGACGGCCCCACGTGAAAGCTTTGAGAGGAACATCGAAAATAATGCACGGGTTCCCCCCAAAGAATCAGCAGCAAATCAATGGCCGACTGTCGGTGACGGTATCAGCAACTCTTTTCTGATATGTGACTCTTGCAAATGCCAACACTAAATAGACACATTTTGAAACCCAGCAGAAAAAAATAGGCAAGTAAATCCACAAGCTTTAAGTTTGCCATATTTTGCCATGAACATCGAGAATTTGTAACACAGCATCAGCACCTGTGACCATTCACTGCTCCTCTCACATGCCTGAAACAGGACACTTTGCCAATGTTGGGAATAGCGGGCGAATGTGGGATTCAGCCGATCATGAACCATCCCTAATATCACCATGGGTAACATGTGGTAACTAGTATCCCCAAATTGTTTATGGCATTGGGTTTACCACATGACTGTTGGTTTCGTTTCTTGTTAGCCAACTGAAACTTCGTTAATTTGTTTTGAAGGAACGCACCTAGGTTGTTGCTTTCACCTATCTGCCAGCCATTTCGGACCACATGCTAATCATATGAAGAACCACTTCATGACTTCCATCACCTATAATCCAGACTTAAGTGGGAGATAGTCAGAGACAGGACCGAAAGCACATCGCATTGTCACCACAGGGCTCTCAGAGAATTGGCTTCACACAAATTCGCCTAGTTCAGTCTGAGTGGCCACATTCCGTAGCTCTTTATTTTTCATCCCTCGGGTCCCTCAGCCGCGGCACCTTGATGACGGCATTGTAGACGATGGTGTCGAGCTGCTCCTCATTGCCTTGGTGACCGCTGCTGATCCCCCAACAAAGGCCAAGGCTGAGGCTTTGTTGCCATGTGGCTATGGAAAACCACTATCTTAATAGGATTTAATAGGTAAGTCACCGAACTAAATGGTCCATTTTCATCCATTTTCCATATTATGTTAGTTTACTGGAGGGTCACCAACAACCACGAAGGGCGAATTTTAACCGTCTATGAAGCGGTCACAATTCCACCGCCATAAGCATCCCATGAAATGCGAGTTTTGCACACAAGTTTGGTGGCCATATCCCATTTATCCCAGTTCTGTGTGTTGCACCCCGAGTTTTTTTGGCTGGGTTCACATTCCAGCAAACTAACATACATATCATAGCATATCATAGCATAGATATGGAAAACCCATTGGATCTACAATTGGAAAAAATGCTATACGTTTTCAGCATTTTTCCGTATCGATGTCCCATGATGTCCCTCTCGCAACCTGGGCTGATACCCCCAAAGCTCGTATTGGATCATCGAAAAATATGAATCCTTAAGTTTTCCCCAAGGATTCATTGAATTTTCATGGCTGGGTGGGAGATTCATAAAGATTTCAACGCGGATTTTCCCAGTTCCATGGATCATCCAGTTCCCACCATTTCCAGCGGCCCATCATCCACCAGGCAGCCCCCACTGCGCCGCTGCGAGAGCAGAAAGCAGGCCTCGGGCCACCTGCCTTGGCGACCAAGCACCTTGGCAGTCGACAGCAACGGCGAAGGCTTGAATTGAGGACCACAACCAGTAAATCTGGAGGAATATTGTGGGTTTAATATGGTTTTGTATCCATCTATCTATCTATCTATCTATCTATCCATCCATCCATCCATCCATCCATCCACCTATATGGTGTTTATTTATATGTATATATACACATTATGTTAGGGGTCTATTCAGGCCCATTCTTAAAGGGGTCAGCTGCTCATGCGGCTGGTTGAATCCTCAAGAATATCTGGGATAGAAAAACTTAACGAACATTTTTCAAAACATTGAAATAGGTGGTATAAACCCTTCCCAAATGGGTTGTTTATTATTGTTTTAGCATGTTTTAACCACACTACATTCTGGCAGCTGGGTGTATCAGCATTAATATCAGCGTGATATATGCTGCTAAGACTGCTACACTGTGACCATGAACGTGTGCAATCATGCAAGATGGGGAAAGTAGTTCACACTACCAGCGCGCAGTTGGAACGCGTCCAGCACACGACATGTTTACCTTGCCACATGGAAATCAGTTGACTGGACAACATGTCATAATAAGGCGTTGATCATGAGACGGCAACTGAAACCAGAAGCCAACAAACAGAATCAAACAACCAGGCACCACAAAAAGGTAAGACGTTTATAATGCAATCAGCAAAAACCACTTCCACGACCCCACCTTGTCCTGGTTTCCCTCTAAAGTTCCCAGTTCCCAGTTGTATAGCTTAAAGGTTTGCAAGTGGAACACCTATCGATAAATGCAACATACAAGTAGGGACGATGTCTGGCCGAAACTGGGGGACTTGGGCTTCCGCACACTGAACACGGATGTGCACAGCTTGGAATCGCCGCTGGCCAATGTCCTGGCAGGAAATCCCCGAACAAAATGGAGGTTTTCAATGGTTTTCATGGGAAGATCGTTGAACCAACTGATTCAAAAACTGCAAATCGACTGGAGCGTTGAGAACTAATTATGGTATCCTCTGGTAACCTAGCTAGCGAAGATCACTATAATTCATGGGTAGGTCGTCTATAAATGGGCCATGGCTTCCATAGCTATGCGAAATTACCGGAAGGATCCGCGGGGACGTCATTCTACCATACTCCCCGTTTCTGCTCTGTATTTTGACCCTAATTTATGAAATGCCTGTAATATCCTGTAATATGTTCTTCAGAACGCCAAAGTCCGAATGTAAATGTGATATGCTGGTTTCTTGTAGATTTACAAAATGAGCCACTGCATTTCCAAGTTCCAAGTGCATTCCCAGAATGAAGTTGGACCAGCTCAAGAATGGGACATATGTGAAATTGCGGCCACTGTGGGTGAGGGCATCAAACTTGACTTATACAATGGTTTCTGGGTGAAGAGTCACAGCATCACCGATTGCATTGTGCAGATCTACACAACCTCTGAACGTAAACTTCAACATCAAAAAGGAATCGCAGTCCTTCATACCCAAAGTCTGTCCTCACCTGTCCTCACATTCCAGCTCCCACATCAGTTTCATTTGAGGATGGCAAACCAACACCCACCAAATTTGGTTTGCCATGCCATTGGGGTGTAAAATCTCTGGCTAAAAAAACCACCAGCCACATAAATCCGCGGCCGTGGCCTCTGCAATTCATCTAGAGATGCTGTCTTTGTCCCTGAAGCGGCCATTGAAAATGGTGCAGGGTGTCTTTCTAGTCATCCTGAGAAATTCAATGTCTTGTTCATCTCTATTATTTGAGGTCAAAACAATAATGCACCACCCCATTTTTGATAGTTTATACTACCCATTTATTATGGTAAACTGTAAACTTGAGGATGGTCTATTATTGTTTTGACATGTTTTAACCGCATTATTTGGGGTTCCAACCGTTAGTCCTGACAGATAGTCCTTCCTTTGTCAAGCGATGTTTTTGGCGATCGAACCCTTGAGGACGATCGAGGGATCAACCAATGCGGAGACCCTCTGGTAATGACTAACGGTTTGCTATTGAAGCCATGGCCATAGAAACTATAGAACATCACCTTTTTTTTATGGGTAATTCAACTATAAACTGGTGATTTTACATAGCGAACTGTAAACGTTTACCAGAGGGTAAGTGGTGGTTTCTGGCCGGGTGCTTTAGAATATTGGGGATAGCGACAATCTAGAAATCGCGACCATGCCCTTCATAGGGGAAGCCTGGGATTCGAAACCATCAACCCAAATCACCAGATACTTAGTTGAATGATCACCAACACATCCAAGAATTATCATAGCTTTCATCACCATCAATGTAGAGAGGTCTGGTTTTTTTTTTCACATCTGTATGGTATGGATGCCAACTTGAGATGTGGCACAACCTAGAGATTTTGGTGGTGCTTGGTCTGAAAAAAAATTGAAACGAGCCAGATTTGGTACTACCCAACTTGGACGCAACTCATTCTGGTGCTTTTATTCCTTTCGTAACTACTAAGCAGTACTTTCTCTACTTGTCACAGAACTTTCACCATGCTCCATCTCCAGTGGTGGTAGATCTCGGTAGACCACGTTGCAGGGAGAAAAATAATTCTCTCTAAGATTGTGTCATTGGTTTAAGCGAAAATCTACCGGAAACCATAGATTTTCCATGATTTTCCCATAAAATATGGGGCTTAAACCTGTAAATGTTCCCTTAAACCAATCCAATGATGGTGATGATTTTCCATGGCACGCAATGGAGGTTTCCATGGCGTCATTCCCTGAGTCTCCAACGCGAAGAATACGACCGCCAACGCAACCTGCAAGGCAAAAATTTGGAACATGCCACCCGGATTGATATGATTTGAGGTGGCCTGCAAAAAGTATGCGTCTTTGTACGTTTGTCTGTTGCCTGGGATGCATATGTCCCTACTTCCTTCATTTCTGTTTTCAACTCAGGCGCAGACATGAAATCCAACAACATTTTGGATGATGATTCTGCCAATAAAAGCTGGCCATTGTTGAATTCGTGTGATCTGATTTCATGACTGCAAGCACTGAACTCAGCTTGCTCAGCGTCATAAGCTGCCTTGACATAAAGCCTGGAAATTCCATGATCTTCTACAAACGCATCGCGAAAACTTTCTTCGCAACATGGTACACCATCTATCAACCAACATCCATCATGTAAAAAAACATATTTTCCCTCACCTATCTACCAGATGCTACCAGTAGTAGTTGGATATGATGTTCCTGCATCTAGAGCTTGACCAAACTCTTCCTGCAAGTGCCGCTAGAAATCTGTGGAAATCTCTATCAGCTTCCCCGGTGGCACCTCGGACACACCTCGGCCGTGTCAAAATATGGCTGGCTGGTGCGGATTCCCAGGGATTATGATCCCGGATATGGATGGATATGGGGGTTTCCTAAGTCATGGGGGGACCCCGAAATGGATGATTTATAGTGGAACATCCTATTAAAATGAATGATTTGGAGGTACCCCCCATTTTAGGAAACCTCCAGGGTTTGTCTAAGAATAATTAGTCAAACTTTAATGGTTGATCAGCATTTTCGCATGTTGGCTGCAACTTGGGAGATCCCCGTTAACACACCCACAAAAGTGGTCAGTCTAAGACAAAAACATACAAAAACTACTCATACGACAAGTGTTCTTTTCCTTTTTGAGCTGCGAGTCTGTTGGACATATCAATGAACTGTAGTCTGATTGATGGTTTGAGCCTGAGCCCCTGACTTCGCTAATACACAGACCAACTTCGCAGCCAGAGATGGAACAAACACACATAATTGCTTGAAGTACTAAGATACTATATATATATATACTCTAGATTACTGTAGATGATATATGGCAAGTCTATGTACTGAGGTTTGGAAGAACGTCAACATGAGAAACTATGGAAATTGCATGAAATCCTCGAAATTTTCGCCTTGTGGCCTGAGCTGCCGCACATGAGTCCAGCATGCCCGCATGGAAGGCCCCGCCGCATTGCAACAATGGAAACAGGTGCAACAAGGGCGAGACTTGTTTGATGATTCATGATGTTAATGGCTGATAAGTTGAGTCCGTCCTAATAGCTGTAACAGTCAAAAAAAGGATTTCTTTATATTTTGGGCTAACGTTGTTTTGAGTGCTTTCCTTCGCGCACAAAATCGTGCTTTTCGGTGCTTTCCCTCGTGCAAAATATCGTGCTCTAGATCGTGCTTTTTGGTGCTCTCCCTCGTGCCAAAAACCGTGCTCTAAATCGTGCTTTTTGGTGCTCTCCTTCGTGCCCAAAATCGTGCTTTTTGGTGCTCTCCTTGGTGCATTTCTCTTCTTTGTCCAAACATCGTGCTATAGATCGTGTTTTTTGGTGCTCTCCTTCGTGCACAAAATCGTGCTTTTTGTTGTTGTCCCTCGTGCCAAAAATCGTGCTTTCTGGTGCTCTCCCTCGTGCCAAAAACCGTGCTCTAGATCGTGCTTTTTGGTGCTCCCCTTCGTGCCAAAAACCGTGCTAGATCGTGCTCTCCTTCGTGCCACAAATCGTGCTTTTTGGTGCTTTCCCTCGTGCAAAAAAACGTGCTCTAGATCGTGCTTTTTGGTGCTCTCCTTCGTGCCAAAAATCGTGCTTTTTGGTGCTTTCCCTTGTGCAAAAAAACGTGCTCTAGATCGTGCTTTTTGGTGCTCTCCTTCGTGCCAAAAATCGTGCTCTAGATCGTGCTCGCTGTTACAGCTATTAGGCTTGTGTCAACTGATAAGTATCAATAAGTTACTATAAGTTGATGATAGTTCAATGAAAATCATAAATTCAACAAATCAAATCAGATAATCAACATCATGAGTCCGGTATGATTTCTTGGTCTATGATCGGTTGATCTGGAAAGTTACTGCATGGATTCCAGATGGATGATGGGTGCAACTAGTTGGTCAAGCTAGGCTGCAGACAATTGCGGAGGCTTCAGATCGATGTTGGGGAGGTTAGGATAGGTTAGGTGTATTGAGTGTATTGGTTGATTTGGGTAGGCTTCGGACTCATAGTGCTTGTGGAAGGTGTTGATGGTGTTTTGTCAGGAAAGAATTGCAACCGCTGAATGAGTTGTAGACATCTGGGCTCTTGACCTTCATATTGCTGTGGATTTCAATGAATTTATGACTGTCAAAACAATACCACTTGGTTGTTCACGACACTTAGTATAGTGGGTTATAACACAGTTACAAGTTACAAGTCATTTAAGTAGGCTTCTTCCAGCTGCAACTGTCCAGGATCTTCACATCTGGCCATTTAGAGTCCCCCTCCAATGTGTGAAGTTTACATCCCCCGTGCATTGTGCTGGTGAAATCATCCGTCAGAAATATTTCGGCAGTGAAAATTCAAGGCCCAATCTCCAGTGATCATTTTAGGTATCAAAAGTATACTTACATTGCAATAACCATGGTTAATAGTGATTAATAGTTGTTAATAGTGGTTATTAGTGATTAATACCTGACCTAATGAATAACATATGCTGGTTGGTGGTATACCTACCCCTCTGAAAAATGATGGAGTTCGTCAATGGGAAGGATGACATCCCATATTAATGATGGAAAAAAAAAGTCATGTTCGAAACCACCAACCAGTTATACATTTAGATTTGACCACTGATATACCACCTTTTTATTGCTAAACCACCCAGAAAAATGGTTTGGTCTGTGTATGGCTTCTTTTAGATAAGCTAAGCCCTGACCGGAGCCTAACCGCCCACATCTGCCCGTTCTGCGGTGGCACCAAGTTCTGCGTTTTCAGGTCTCGATGGACCAAGGGAGGTGTCAACCTAGGCGCAGACGACTGGGAGACCCTCGGGTAATTTAACCTTTGGAGGTTTCCATAAATGGGGGTACCCCAATATAGCTTCCTATTAAAATAGATGACTTAAGGGGTACCCCCATTTTAGGAAACCTTCAGTTTCCTGTAGAAAACAACACCAAAATTGAGCATGAAAATAGATGACTTAGCAAATAACATGGTGAAGTCCATGGCAGCTGATGTTGAATTATCAGAGTGAAACTGATCCAAAATCTGCTGATCTTTTTTTTGAACTGGCAACCCACATATACTGCTGGTGATGTAATTGTCATGTCTAGTCTTTGTGTGCTTTGGAGAGGAAAACGGTTGCATATTTTGAGAGCAAACTGCTACTGCGGGTCGAACAGGTGGCTCTGCGTTTTTGGAGTGACCGTTTCTTGGTGCCCCAATTCTGAAAGCTTCAACGCACAAAAAATCATCAACTATGTATCGTTGATCTGACTTCTGGATCCGTTACCTGCGACAGGAATCCAGCCTCACATGGATCTCCCCCTTGGATGAAGAGATGTGTTTCACACACTGAGTGCCACAACTTCCATGGCCCTGTGGCCAATCCCATGGTGCTGGTATTATGATTCTTGTATAGTTATATATGGATATATATATATATATGTGCGTGTTTCCATGTCTTTCTTCAAGTGCGGGTACCCACAAACCATGGCTTTCCCTACGTAGAACGTTCAATTTGGGATGATTTTGGGGTTTTGCGTCGCCTTCTGACGACCTGTTCACCAGGGTCACTGTCATCTTGGACTATGCAAGCATCCTTCGCCTCCTTGACAAACTCACGACCAGCGAGCGTAGTGGAGTGGAAGATCATCAATGGCGACTCACTGACCACCTTGGGCCAAGTGATCTGTACGTCCGTCGTTTGTAACACCGCCGTTTCACCCGAGAGCATAGACAGGCAAATTGCATTGGCAACCGTCGACGGCGGTAGGGCATACACGTGAGCCGTGGAAGGCATGGACATCTCCTTGCCGTTGTGTTCCCAAGGCTCCCGAGGGGAGGTAGCGCATCACAGATTCGATGATCAGTTCCTGCTGTCTTTGGACGCGAAAAGTGAAATCCAAGAAGGCGGATTTTGAAGCTCACCATACAGCACCGTATTGATCTATATGGGGATGGGTCAAAACCCTGGTACCGTGCCGTGAACCCCAAGTCATAGCTGGGATTTATGGATGTTCATCCCACTAAAAATGGTATCTATAGGTATTGACCCATACCCATATTTCACTATGCCTAGTCCCCCAATCATGACTCTAAGAGCCAGCCATGTAGGCACATCATCCAGACCCTGAGCTTCCAAACGCATGCATGTATTGAATTGCCTGAGTGGTCTGATTCGCCGCGCTCAACCTGCGCCACACGAGCAAAGCGCGCAAACATTGAAAGTAGGGGAACCCTATTGTTATCATCGGAATGACTTTTTACTCTTATTTGATATATATATATATATATCACATACATATTTGTACATGGAGATACATGGAGGTTGATCTAAATTCTTTGATCTGCAAACGGCCATTCTTCGCGAATAAACACATACTTTCGCGAATGTTTCGCAACTCCGTGTTTTTCTTTCGCGGGGTTATGATTATCCACCTTTGTGCTGCTGAGACGCGCTCAAACCGTATGTAAACGGCAAGTGTGTGTGTGTGATCTGGGAGACAGCCAAGGGCAAATACAAGACCAAGTTGGGATAATTCCACCAGGAAACAACAGAGTTTCATTGTTTCCAGGTTCCCATGACGCAAGGTTGCTGTGGAAAGGCTAGGCCTTCGATAGACACCTTCTCTTTCGCCACTGCTTTCGCGCAACTTTCGCTAAACTTCCTTTGGAAATCAACCAAACAATCCACACCCTGAATCGTGCTTGCGGGCGCAGCAACTCCGCTTGATTATATACTTTATTCCTGCCATTCACAATTCAATTCAGAAGGTTCTCACTTCACCTGGAAAACATAGAAAAACAATATGGTAAACCACCTCACCGAAACAAACTTTCGCCATACCTTTCGCTAAATAAAAGATAATAAAAGTATCCTTTCGCGAACTCAGACAAAATCTTTCGTGCGTTCTCATGTTCCAACACTAACGGCCTTTGTAATAAACAATCCCTGCAGGGACCTTTAGATCAACTCTATGTACATTGTTGATGTAGAAAGGAACAATGAAAGTCTCACTGCAAAGTGAGGACGTCCACATCAAATTGCACACTGATAAAGACCTGAATCATTACTGGTCGGTGGTGACAAGGACCTAATGAACAAGAACACAACAACCATGTGGATGCAAGTGGGATCTATTCCCCATTATAGAAAAAATGCATTTGCATGTTCCCTTCAAATCATGTTTGATAAATGTATGAACTATGTCTACCAACATTTATCCCAATAAGACGCACATATGAGCTAAATTAGATTCTCTGAAAATATGGTAGCTACCCCAAAACTTGATAACAAGCATATATATATATATATGTATAATACACACACACACATATATATATATAATACACCCACACATATATATATATATAAATATATAAAAAAAATATATATATATATATATAAATATATAGCCATAATATTATAATCATGTCCCATCTTTTCCCCATCATCTTCCCCATCATTTCCCCATGGGATTCAGCCGTAACCCTGGGGCCTCAATGAAGCCTTCAGTGCCACCTGGTTCACATACCTGGGATGCCACGGCGCCATGGGATGAAAATATGGAAATGATCATACCATAGATGGAATAATTCTCTCATACCATAAAGAGGTTATTATTATTATTATTACTATTATTATTATTGTTATTATTATTATTATTGTTATTAGTATTATTATTATTATCATCATTATTATTATATATATTATAGATTAATAGATGATAGATTATAATAGATTATAATATCCGCCGACCCCGGCCTTCGCCAAGGCAGGGGCGGCGCCTGGGACCACCGCAGGTGTCGAGCCTGTTTTTGTTGGCTTGCCACTACCTTGCCTTCCGCCACGCACTCAGGCCACTGCCCTCTGTTGTTAAGGGCGTTCAAGCCTGCTTCGAGCAGGCACTCAGGTCACTGCCCTCTGTTGTTAAGGGCGTTCAAGCCTGCCGTTTGCCAGGCCTCAAATGCTTCAAAAGCGCGCGGCAGCTTCGAGCAGGCACTCCGGCCACTGCCCCTCTGTTGTTAAGGGCGTTCAAGCCTGCCGTTTGCCAGGCCCAAACGCTGTGCGGCAGCTTCGAGCAGGCGCTCAGGCCACTGCTCTCTGTTGTTAAGGGCGTTCAAGCCTGCCGTTTGCCAGGCCTCCAATGCCTACAACGCTGCGCGGCAGCTTCGAGCAGGCATTCCGGCCACTGCCCTCTGTTGTGAAGGGCGTTCAAGCCTGCCGTTTGCCAGGCCTCAAATGCCTCAAACGCTGCGCGGCAGCTTCGAGCAGGCACTCAGGCCACTGCCCTCTGTTGTTAAGGGCGTTCAAGCCTGCCGTTTGCCAGGCCTCAAATGCCTCAAACGCTGCGCGGCAGCTTCGAGCAGGCACTCCGGCCACTGCGCTGTGTTGTTAAGGGCGTTCAAGCATGCCGTTTGCCAGGCCTCAAATGCCTCAAACGCTGCGCGGCAGCTTCGAGCAGGCACTCAGGCCACTGCCCTCTGTTGTTAAGGGCGTTTAAGCCTGCCGTTTGCCAGGCCTCAAATGCCTAAAACGCTGCGCGGCAGCTTCGAGCAGGCACTCCGGCCACTGCCCTGTGTTGTTAAGGGCGTTCAAGCATGCCGTTTGCCAGGCCTCCAATGCCTACAACGCTGCGCGGCAGCTTCGAGCAGGCACTCAGGCCACTGCCCTCTGTTTTTTAGCGCGTTCAAGCCTGCGACATGGCTCAACGCCCGGCTGTGGCCCCAAATTCTGCGGAGCTTTGTGCTACATGATTCCATTGATTGGTTTAGGTGTGAAAATCTCAGCCGGAAACCATATAAGCATATTATAACATCATATGTATATATATATATATATATATATGTGTATGTATATATCCGCACCCTTGAAAGGGGGTCGGCGGCACCAGGGCGTTAGCCCATTCTATAATATAATATAATATAATATAATATAATATATTACTATTGTTATCATTATTGTTATCATTATTATTATTATTATTACTATATATACCCATATATTCCATGTATGGTATATTTACCTACATAACTGGGTGATTTTAGGGCAAATGATGGTAAATATTCCATACATGGAGCATATGGTATATATATATTATTATATGTGATTAATAGATTGTATCAACATCAATATAAACCTATTATATACTGTATATGTGTGTGTATATATATATATATATGGAGGTTGCCTGAACTGGAGATATCCCTAAATCGTCCATTTAAAGATGTGTTTTCCATTTTAAAGCAACCAGCTATTGGGGATTCCCAATTTATGGAACCCCCCATACATGGATATAGATATATAGAGTAAATAGAGATCGTATATATATATATACACAATATTATCATGGGTATGATATTTAATATGTCGTATATATATATTGTAACAATGCGTAACGGGTATATAAAACAGATCTTTATTGATATATTATAACAGGTATATTATATTATATAATGGGTATATGATATAAATGGGTATACTTATTTGTGTACATATATATATATGTATATATATGTACAATACATAATCAATGGAATCCTTTTGATCCAATACCTGCTCTGGGGCCAATCAGTAGCTTCAAGCACAGTATCATGACTTGACCACGCATCGCAGGGCAAACCGCTGTTTGCGGCACCAGTCTTTAACACCATGATATTCAATGAGCTGTTTATGTGCATGAAGATTATCTAAACCGTTGTTGAAGTTTGTTGGCACATAGATGATTGTGGTATATGGCCCAAAAAAATCTATGGGGTTCCCAGCTAAAGAACTCCATTTAGTTTGGAGATTTCTCACTAAACATCCATTTACATATGATTTTCCCATATAAACATCCATTTATGAGATTTTAAATTGCCAATTATAGGTTTCAATAATTTTCCAACAGCTCTTCACACTTGCTGTTCACAAGTGATTCTAGGTGACACATCCCGATATCTCTGCCGATGTTGCGGCAGGTCAACACAAACGATAACCCGTCCCATTTTTAGGATGGACAGTATATCTTGAAACTTGAAACCACAAAGATGAACACATCTAAATATGCATATAATATGTATGTATATATATATATACATACACAACAATGGGGAATTTAACCAGCAAGCAGGGGGGGTAAACCAACCATGATATTGTGATATAGTGGTGATATTGTGGGATATATAACCAACAAAACTATATATATATATATATATATGTGCGTGTGTCTGAAAATGGGGACACCCACATCATGGTCATTTATATAGGGACAATGATTTTCGAAACCACTGGATTTAGGGGTATACTATGTTCCAGACAAACCCATATATCATATAGAGATATCCACAGAAATTCATTGTACCTTCCGAGAATCAAGCATGGGCTTGCTGGAAAATTCATGAAAATTCCCCAGTTATAATGTCAACCCCGGATTAATAAACCATGGTTTATGACAATTAGGGGGGTACTCCTCCAATAGTCATAATCTGATACTTAAATGGTACCCTCCCAATTAAACAGCCTAGGGGTTTATTAATCCAGGGTTGACATTAGATGATTTTTCCATTGCAACCTCCGTTTGTAGCCGATTTCCCAGCAGTCCCAGGACTTCCCAGGATTTCCCAGGTACAACAGGTCAAAGAGATTGCCGTTTTCCAAATACCTCAGCGTTGTATTAAGGTGGTGAAGGATAAAATCCATGGGGATTTAACCATGAAAAATGGTGACTGAAGCAACAACCATGGGGATATACTGGGATATAAAGGGGGATATACTGATATATCATGGCGATATTATGGGAGTCTGTCACTTGGAACATGTGAAAAGAATCGTTTCCCGAACCATCCCAAACCACAGTTCTGGTCATCACTTTTCAGCGGGTTTCTTGGGTCTCTCATGGAACTGTTGCTGGTTTTATCATATCTTTCATGATGTTTTGGGCTCCACCATGTCATGAAAAACATCATGCACAAACACGAACTCATTGACATCCCTGGCTGCTGCATGAATACAATATAATATACAATATATATATAATACAATAGAATGCAATATAATACAATTACGTACTTGTAGTTGATAAATTCTCTACTGTTCGGCACATATCCGTATTATAGCTGCTCAAGTGCTTTCCCACTTGCTCGCCATTGATCTCTAAGTTCCTGATTCTGTTCTTGTTGTTTCTTGCTTCCCCTATTCATCGTCGCTTACAATCGGTTGTATCCAACTGCTCCGCGATAAATTTCTTGTTGCAGAGAGTCAATGCTAGTCTTAGCCTCCCAAATGGCTGAGTTTTTCAAGGGGATGTCGGCAATTACGGGTTGATCGTGCCGAACTTTGTGCTTTACATCCCCAAAGACGTCCTTTCTCGGGATACCATCCAAGCCGCTTGACCAGTTGACCAGTTTAGTATTGTCTCCACCATGGTCTTGAGGATACCCTCCGGTTTGTTCAAACGGGGCTAGCTGGAAAATCCCATAACAAAATGGAAGTTTCTAGCGGGGAAAATTCATCGGATTGTCAAGTGCCATGTTTGATTTCCAGAGGGATCTGCAGGGTTAAGAGTCCCCCAAAATCCCCAAAATCTTGTCCCACCACGCAGTCGCAAAAAAACAGAAACCATGCCGAAGTGGCTCTGTCACCAGTGCCAGGTCGGGCGTTTCGAACACGAAACCAATGCACCTGGATCCAATGGGGATCTTGGAAACACAGAGGAATGGCAAGGGAATGATCCACTGGCTAACTATCAATCCCAGCAACCCCCCAGCAACCCATCCAGCAACCCTACGTTTAGCACGCACCAAGAAAATCACCATCTCTGAGTTTCCTCTTTCAAACCTCAAACGAGAAAAAAATCGTGATTGTCGTTGTTCGAGAACATCACTGTATTGCCGTTCACTTGCTTTCGGTGTTCCTACATATCTGAAACCCTGGACATGGATGAAGTGGAATGTCGCTGTCCAATGATTTCCAGAACTAGTTCAGGATGGAAATGCATGGAAATGCAACATAGTCACACCACTTCAATTACCAGTTTTATCGGTCTAAGGTCTACCAATCTCAAATAATCTTGAGGCAATTGTTCACGTGTTTGGTGGCTAACATCCACATTTTGGTTGGGTAAATCCCTTTGTTGTTGGTTAAATGTGGTTAATTTCCCGAGTTTTCATGTTTTTTTTGCTAGTTAGATTAGCCAATTTTTTGTTGATGAAATATCTATTTATCTGTTGTCTGTCTATCCATCTATCTAATCTATAATCTAATCTAATCAGTAAATCCCCCAAGTATCATATTACTATAGTATGATGATGACCACCATTCTGCGGTTTAACTCCTAATTCTCGTAGAAACAAACACCATGGCTTTCCGCTATATGGAACTACGGCGAATTCACGAAGGGCACTTCACAATGTGGTCACAGCGATTGCCAATGCTCCTGGAAAACTGGGGCGACCTGGGGTGATCTGATATTTTAACTGGCCATGGTCATTTGTTTTAAACCTATGACTGGTTGGTGGTCTTAACCATCTTGAAAAATATGAAAGTCAATGGGAAGGACTATCCCATATATTATGGAAAATAAAACATGTTCCAAACCACCAACCAGATGAACAATTACTGTGATTTGAACCATAGTAAATCCACATGAACAGTGGTGATTGAACCACAAAATAGTGGTCGTGTGTTAAGGCTTCTAGCCTCTCAAAGATAATCAACACTGTGACTCACCTGTTTGTGGAACAGTCACAGTGTACAAGTTATAAAGGGACCACGTTTCTTGAATTCATAAACCCTGAAGCATTCCGATGCATTCACACATCTGCCATGCGCCATGGATCCCTGGATCTTGGCTGGTCAGTTTGCCATTACACCACTGCAAAATTATATCCAGCTCAGGCTATCTATGTATACGTACATAATTATTTGTACATACATGCCATGCATGATAACATACATTCATACATTACTTGCACACACTGTGGGATACACATTCCATTAGATTCGATTGCATTATACATGCCATTCCTTTACATCACATCAGATCAAATCACACAACATAGCATATGTACATTAGGCACATGACATGACGTGATGTGACGTCACGCGACGAAGTGACATGAAGTTATGCTACGTTACGGTATGTTGCAAGATTGGATTAGAATACATTGTGTTACATGCATACATAATCGCTTATACATATATGTACTGTATGTATATATATATATCTCTCTCTCACTTCCAGCAAGTCCTATCTCACTGGTCTCTTGAATATCTGTGTCATGCATTCGTATCTATATCTCTATATATGTAAATGAATAGCAACGTCACACAGGTAGAAATCATATGAAACAAATGGTTTGTCACAATTTTCGAATTGGATTTGACTGTTCTGTCTTTTGGTGGGTTGCTATATATGATATATATATATATATTACACATACTCACTGGCAATTTACGTTAACAGTTTACTGTGGACACTCATTAATTATTTCCAATAGGTGGGCCATTTTCCATAGCTATGTTAAATTACCGAATGGGATACCAACCTATTGGATTGGACATATATATATATATATACACAATTATCTATTACATTATAACTACAATGTATATATATATATATACGTATATATATATATATGCTTTTGTATTATCAGGGTAAATCATCCATCTGCCTTAGAAAGTGCTTGCTACATACCATTTGTGGTCTCATCATTTTCCCAAGGATATCTCATGAACTATTCCCATGATGCCCGTATTTGAAATATGGTTAAATCATCTTAAACCCCCATTTACCCTCTGGTAAACAAACATGGCGATGGAAAATTACAATTTTAATGGGTAAATCCACTATAAATAGCCATTATCAATAGCTATTTGTATGTTTACCTGAGGGTAAATCACCATTAATCACTATTAATCACCATTAATCACTATTAACCACTATTAACCATTATTAACCAACCAGTTTACCAATACACAAATCCAACCCTCTCCATACAACTTACACTCATCCTGTAGGCGTTGATCTCCCTTTCTAAGTTGCGCAACTGCTCCTGCGCGGCTGCGCGAGCGATCCGTTGGCGAGCGACCCGTTTGACCCACAGAAGTTGGTGACGACCCGAAGAATGACAGTTTTAAGCAGGAGAAAACACGGATTTAAACTGATTTGATATGATTTAATCATCAACGATAGTGAGTTAAGCAATAATTAGGTAAACAAGTGGATGTGGGTGTGCCTGAAAATGGGGTGTACCTCCAAATGGACATATTTCAATGGGGACAATTATGATTAAGCAGGCATGAATCTTGGGGTACCCAAATTTTCAGGCAGAGTCACGGAGAACCCTGAGCAATGGATAAAGATTGATTTGGGCACACTGACAAATCAAGTGTGAAGATCTAGCAGAGATGTTGACATCACTGCGATTGTGGATTGGAGTTACTCTCCAGTAAACTAACTTAGCTATAGAAAATGGCCATTTAGAGCCGATTTTACCTACTAAAAATGGTCATTTCCATATATCTTAAATTACCAGAGGGTACATCCGGCAAGTTGTCAAATAAGACATTTTCCAAGGTATTGTGGAAGAGCATCATCTTGGCACACCTACTTTAGTTATGTTCAAAACTGAAAAATGTCCGAAGCCCTTCATTTTTATAGCAACCCCCTACTATAATATAACCTGTTCTATCCTGTTCTATCTTCTTTTTGGGTCACTAGAAGAACAATTTTGGCGAATTTGGCGCGTTCGCAACTGGAAAATTCCCTCAACAGCCAGGGATTTCGGTTCATGTTGCATCGCTCCACTAGCAAGGTGTCAGCTGGAAAATCAATCGAAACTTGGCTAAGGTTCCCACAACAACCAATAATTATGAATGGAGAAAACCCACAAAATCAAAATTCAAAGCAACAATCATTATTGTAATGTATTGAATCGTAATTAATTATAACATATTATAAATTATAACATACATTTTGGTTAAGGATTGGTTAAGGTATCTCATTTTCTGATCACCTTTGACCCACTCTTCAGGCCCTGAAGAGACCCCGCTCCGGAGTCATCGCTCCACCAGGCCCTGTCATGCATTTCTTCACGCCTCAGCGCTGAAAGATCTGTCCTAATTGTGTTCATGAAGAAATGCGTTGTTCAATAAGTTCAATGTTGTTCATATTTCTGCCTCCAGAAATGGCGAAAAACCGTTGTCAGGGTTACCTCAACCAACCAACAGGGAGTGATTGTCCTCTTCGACTCAGTTTCTAGCAAGACTTCGCCCTGGACATCGTCTCATTTTTTTGGCATGATCCCCAATAGGAAGGTCAACAACAAGTCGAATTTGGTAAGTACGAGACCTATGAACCCAAACAACATGCATCTGCTGTATATATATGAAATCAAATGCATATATATATATATATATATCCACAACACACAATCAGAAATTTCGAACGATCTCAATCATTTTTAGTTTATGTATATAAATATATAAATATATAATGTATGTATATTACAGTATATGTAGATATATGATACGTTATACATCTATGGCACGCTATACACCTCCTTTAGCGTCCACCAAGGTCACCTCATGTCACCTCAGTCGCGCGCAGACCTCGCGTCCACCTTGCCTGAAGCGATGATTTTGTCAAACCGTATGGTGGGGCTTTATATAGGGGTTGTCGTTACTCATAGTTGATCATTCACCTTAGAAAAAATATGGATTAAGATCATTATACTATGATATAAATTGATATAATATTACTAGAAAAATTATCAGCCATGTTATTACTCATAGTTTTTCATTCACTACGAGGATAATGATTACTCACATATGCTCATTAAGTACCAACCATTGATTATCATATGAACCATAATGGTTCATCTACCATAGTTGTTACTCAATGTGGATTAAGATCTATAATGAGCCATAATGAGCCATAATGTCACAATTCTACCAGGCAAAATGATAGATTTTATACAGCCAAAATGGGGATTGTACCATGAATAAAGGGAGTTAACCACGCAAATCACGTGATACTTGGATGTGCATTCCAGTTAGCAAATTCATGTACTGTATATATATACATACCCTCCAGCTTCATCAAACGTAGCCATGGGATCTAAATGGATGTTGGAATATGTAAGTTTGTTGCCGGGTGCATCTATAAATATGCCACGTTTTCATCAATTTTCCAGCCAGGTTTTTTCGTTTCCACTGGAAGGTGGTTGGTGGTTCCCCTCAGCATGAGTGGCCTGAGGAAACCCTGCATCACCGATGGTTGAAAGCCATCCAAAATCATGGGATGTAAAAACCACCGTTTTCAACTGGTGATTCGGATTTTGCAACCATCCACTGTACCAGGTTTGGTTGAGTGTTCAAAACCCTGGAACTGATTCCATCACACTGGTTGGTTGAGAACGGGCTTCGCAGTACATCGATGATGATATTCCCGAACTGATCATCAACCTTAAATTGCTCTGGCAGCTACTGCTCAACCCAAACTCATATTGGTGGCTATGAAAAGTTACCATCTGGTTATGACTAACATAGCCATGGAAAATCACGTAAATAAATGGAGGTTTCTAGCTGGGAAATTCATCTATAAATGGGCCATCTATACCATGGCTATGTTAAATAGCCAGAGGGTATACAGTCCATTATATCCTCATTCTGGTTGGTCATGCAACTCCATGTTTTGTTGGTTCCACTAGCGCCAACTAACATAGATGGAAAAACCATCATCTGTAGATCATTTCCTTAAAAAAAACACGGGGTTTCCACATCTAGAATAGTGAAATCCACATTCTTGTTGGTTAAATCACCATTTTTGTTGATTAAATCACCATTTTTCTTGGTTAAATGGTCACGTGTCTTCTTTGAACATCAAAAAACAGCTTCACCGTGCCACCGACCTCCGACAGAACCGGTGCCTTGCGAGGTAGACTTCGCCGAAGGAGCCACCGCTGATGAGTTTCGTCTCAGTTTACTGTGGAATCTGTGGAAAAGGTAAGCCATGTAGATCCATATAACCCATAATAATGATAATGATAATGATAATGATATATATATATATATATCTGGGTAAATTATATTTATTCACTAACCTGAAATAAGGTCATCTGGGGATAGTAATAATGTCAACCCCGGATTTTGCTAAACCATGGTTTATTAATTAGGGGGGTACTCCTCCAATAGTCATAATCTAATACTTAAATGGTACCCTCCCAATTAAGCAGCCGTTTGGGGTTTATTAATCCAGGGTTGACATTAACCCATACTATTTTTGGCCCCAGTAGTAGCCATAATTATGTAATTATATATGCATATCAAATAGCTTTATGATTGTTATGAAGATTCCCCGATTTCGCCCAGTGTATAGTTTACTACTACATACCCCTATATATGTCTATATATGTGTATGAATATATGACATACTGCACTGCAATCAAACAATCCATTTGCAAACTTCAGGGATCAAGCTGGCTGCAGGGATCAAACCGGCCAAGTAAACATAATTTACTATACAATCTGAAATGTTTTGCGATTTTGGAGGGTATAGTACCCTTATTAACCATCACTCAATGCCCCTTTGTCGCCAGAATCCTATCATATATCAACAATAATAAACCACCCATTTTTTGATGGTTTATACAACCCATGCATTGTAAATTTGGGGATGGTTTACTATTATTGCTTTACTAGCATTAATAGTGGTTAGTAGATATCAAGTAGCTAGATATTTCACTGATCCATGATTATCTTGTGATACTCAAATCCTAATATAGCCATGAAAAAACACCTTTAAGTTTTCTTCAAACAAATATACATTGCACCATAAGGCACCTGGATCTCTAAACCAACCAACTGCAATGTTTTTGGGTCCAGTCCATGATGGGCCGTGGATATGGGTGAACCCCTCCTCCAAAGAAACTCATATCAAACAATCAAGCAACAAATAACGAGGATTTCCACCAAAATGGCAGCCGTTGCATGCCAGATCTGAGATGGGCTGGCCACGGATCCCCATGTCATACCAGGAGTCAGCCGTCGCATGAAGATTTTTCGTGCAACGTGCATGAGAATCAGCAACGTATCCATGGCTCCGGCCTGAGATCTACCAATATAAATATAGATATATTATATATATATATATTATATTATATTATAATATAATATATAATATGTAATATGTAATATGTAATATGTGAACATATTATATATATAATTATATATATACAGTATATATATAATATAAACTATATATATATACATATATATTGCCTCTGAGGCTCAGACCAACTGGATGTCCTGGCCACGGAAGCTCAGCATGGACACGGGGAAAGAAACGAGGACCTTGTTTTTGATAGCCTTGCAACGGCTGGAACTATCAATGTTGGGACCCCGTATGAGTTGGATTATTGTCCTACCGGTCCTATATCCCCAGTTCCAGTTGTTCATTGTTCGCTCTTCGTGGCCCATCTGGGAATTCCCGATTCCTTCGGACTTTGTCTTCGAAGTGGGACCATATCCAACATCCAAAGTGGAAAACACATGGGAGAGCACTGTGAGGATATTGGACCATCACTGACAATCATTGTCCTTGCTCTTCCTGTGTTACTCACGAGCTTTGCCCCCAGCTTTTGGATTCGAGGCCTCTTCGTTCTCAATCGTGCCTACTTGGATCTTGCAGCCAGAGTCTATGATGCGTCAACTGAAAGTATATTCCCAAATGTCTCTGAGACATCTCGCGCTCATAAGTTAGGGACGCCATAACATCCAACAATACAATATCCATCAAATCATTGTCAATATCCCACAGCTTACTTCCAAATCATTCTTGCTGGAATCATTGGTTTATAGTTTCTCTTTCGTTGGGTCCAATTCTGCGTGCTGATTGTTCCAGTCATCCAGTGTCATCCTGTGGATGTTGATGATCTCCGCATTTTTCATTGATGATATCCCCATGTCGGGTATATTTTTTTGCCCCCCTGATTTCAGTTTGATTACATTGCAATGCAATTGAGTTTGGATTCACTTCAGCTCTAGGTTCCGTTTAAATATTCAAGATACTTATTCCCCTGAGTTTTTGGGTTTAATTGCACATACTCCATCATACTCCCATGTCTATTTGGAATTAATTGGACCCTAATGTTGTAGTAAATTATACCCTCATGTTTCTGGATCAATGAGAATATTTCACCAATCTGACAAGTTCTGCCATTTCGGATAATCCCCCCAAACTTAACCATCATTCCAGATATCATCGATGTCTTATTTTTAAAACCGAATTAAACACCCCAAATATCCAAATTCAGCCCATGTTTACTTGGAATTCACTACACTTTTCATGTTTCCGGATAAATTCAAATATATAATTAACTAACCTGAAATGAGGCTTCTTGGGATAGTCATCCCTACTAACCATCATTCCAGGGTTCGGTCGCAGTGAGGTCGTTCTAATGTACCCAGACGCCGAGTGATTGCAGTGGCAATTTCATCCCTGAGCCCCACATGGCCCCATTCCTTCCACTGAACGATCTCCGATGAATAGATGCGTGCCTCAGTCGTTTAGTGACAGAAAGGGGCACTAAACTGCAACGGAATACCAAGGTCGAAACAAACAATGGTTTTAACCATTCTTTAACCGGGTTGAACCGACAAGAAATGGTTTCATAATCATGAAGAAAAGCATTGAACCAACAATTTGACAAAAAAATATATCAGAAATTTGAATTTCTGCAGGATTTCTGCATGTTTTCACGAAAAAAAACATGAGACCTTCCAGAAACCCAAAATCTGTCAGCTGGGCTCCACGACTGCAAGTTGCAGCTGACCCGCACCTCAGATCACTGCAAAAACTTGGCTATGTAGTGAAGTACCAAGGTGTATGAAGTTTATGAAATTCGAATATAACGATAAATTTATACACACATAATCATCATTATGATCTAATATGAAACCTTAAAACAATGGTAGGGATATCAAACATACGCCGTCGTCAACGTGTCCCCACTAGTCCCCCCTATATGGTGCGTTTAAGGCCGCTTTGTCCGTGAAGGGTTCACTTGTCAAAACCATGGTCACTTTGAAGGGAAGACATACTGGTTGGTGGTTTTAACCATCTTGAAACATATTAGTCAATGGGAAGGATTGTCCCATATATCATGGAAAATAAAAAATGTTCCAAACCACCAACAAGCATATGAAACGGCGGAAATCACCCCATTCACATTAAGCAAGGCAAATGCGGTGTTTAATATAAAATGCAACAAAAAAAGAAAAACACACACCTACAGAAGTGCGCGTTTTAATATGTACACTTGAACATGACAAACACAAAACGACCTGGGTTGTCAATTGTCAATACTCACAACATCCCGACCGACCGTTGGGCCTGTTTTTTTTGTTGCAATGTCTTCATTCCATCGACCGGGGAACAAACATCAAAAAACTGGTGGCTTTGGCTCGTCATCTCACTTTTAGGAATGTCCTTACATTATGGCAATTTTCCTTGGGAATTAATAGCCAGAATTGATGGGGAATTACCAGTCCTGATATTTCAATATTGCTATATTGATGAATATGTTCCTCATTAATCCTCTGTGATAATTGTATATAATATATCCAATATATATATATAACTAATATGCATATATTCATATATATATATATGTTATATTCATCATTGTTATTGATATATTCCATCATGAATATATTCATCTATGTTCCAATATTTTAAATTATTTAATCAACAGAAAGGTTAGTACCATTTTTCATCATATATGTATATATACATGTATATATATATACCATTATTAACCCCTAGTGATGGGGGACATGATCATCCCAAAATCTGAGGCATCCGACTGGCTCCAGGATCTCGAACTTGTGCCGGTGTAGGTTTCACCGCGATGCTCGGTGTCTCCTGGCATTTCTCAAAAAATCCCATCCCATTGCACCCCACTGACTATAGCTACCCTCTGGTAAATTGAACATGGCCCAGTCGAAATAGTGAGTTTTCCCATGAAAAATGGTGATTTTCCATAGTTTGTTGTATGTTTACCAGAGTAAATTAATAGTTTGAACCTGAGAAATGGGTCAATGAACAGTAAATATCAGTAAATGGCTACTAAATGGGTACTAAATGTTTTTTTTTACCAGTTTGACCTGATTTGATCACCCATTTTTAGTGGAAACAAAAAACGTCAAAGCCCTATCTCCCAAGGTCTATGTTCTCCACACCAGGTTCTAATCCATTCAAAACTTACTCGCTGGGCCCCAACGAAAGCATCCAGTTTGGACTATCGCAAAAGTTTGTACTGGTTGGTTGGTACCTGTGTTGGAATTGAATCCGTTCCCCCTGCATTGGGGTTATAGCAGTTATAGCCCATTAAAGCTCGTTTTCGAACTCGCAAGATCATCCAAGAACGAAAGCAACGCGTCCTGGTAAGCAGATCTTTGTGCTGCGTGCGCCACTGCTGCCATCTGTGCGTGGTAGTTCTGGCGTGCTTCGAGCAGGGAGCAAGGCTTCAAATGGAAAGCAAAGTGTCAGTTAACAACCCATCCCAAAATATAGGTCAGTCAATATAAGTATAAAAGCAGGAAACGCTTCCACAGTCAATAAGGGTGTTTTTTTACAGGGATCAGGAACAGTGCTAGTGGTTTCACATACGGGTAAACTAACGAAACCAGGGACCAGTCGGGACCAAGTCCTCCTGAATCAGCCAAACATTCTCAGTCAGCTACTTGCAGGATCATTGTCATCGTTAGAAACTCTTGGAAAAATGCTATAGTTACAATATGTTAAGTAACTGGTCTTATGATTTCTAACTTGGAAAAATGATAAATCCTGATTTCTGATATTATGATCTCAGTTCCAAGTGGGGAAACTAAACCAACTCCGTTAAGTGACAAAGCTTTTCTGTGGTTGACATCCTCGCAAAATGTACATGGGGTAGTAAAACCAACATTTTAGCTTGGTGAAATACCCTCCGATCACGGCTAGCTGGAAAATCTCCCATTTAGAGTGGATCCCATCATGTTTGATGACACAGAAGGGTAAATTTCTTATATATTCATTTAATTTAACATATATATATATATATATTCCATTACTTGTATCACCATTACATTCCCATTAAGCTTGGTGAATCTCCCTATATCTCCCCATGGTTGGGTGTTCACCATGGCTTCGGCTGCGCCGGCTGCGCCTCTGCATGGCCTTAGCGCACTGGGCCAGGTGCCAGGTGCTAGTGGGTTGATGTAGAAATAAATGGGTTCTCATATAATGGGTTAATGTATCTGAATATAATAAATATAATAATAATAATATTTTTATTAATAAATATCTGAATAATTTATAATGGGTTAATGTATCTGAAACTATAAATAATAAATGATCAAATAATGGTTAATGTATCTGAAACTATAAATAATAAATTATCAAATAATCCCAGCTGCTCCCAAGTGCATTCAGAGAAGTGTTCTGGGAGCTAGGGTATATATAGTGAGGTTTCCAAAACTAATGGTTAATGGTTAATGTATCTGAATGTATCCAAAACTAATATTTGTAGTTTGATGATGTTTGATGTATACCAGGTTGGTTATTTGATGTATTAACTACAAATGATGATGATACATCTAGAAACAATGGTAATGTATCCAAAATTGATATACCAAATGGTTGATGTAATAAGTGGGTATATCCATTGTACTCTTAGCAAAGCACTGTCATGAACCACCGATATATTTTGATGGTTTATACATGTTTATACCACCCATAAAAATGGTAGAACTGGGAATGGTGGATCGTATTGCTTTACTAACATCATAATCACTGGAAACCCAATGGTTTCCCGTTCAAAAAACGAACAGCAAATGGTAGGTTTTCCGCATCTCGTGTGCTTGCAGGAGGGTATATCCTATGTCCTGTGTATAATAGCTAGCTAAAAATAACTGGTTAATAACAACGGTCAACACTGGTTATGACAAAGTGTAAATTAGTGATATTCTCCCACCCAGGTGATATTTTTCTACCCTAATTAACCTTAGGTCACAAGGCCGGAAAGAAACCATCAGTAGTTCTCCTGTTTCAAAACCATCACCAAGTACTGTATTGCCTTCCGAAAGGATACCAAACCTGGGCCACCTACAATCTTGTGGGAAAACTGTTTGATGAGGTTGAGAAAATCACCAAGGGTTTTCAGGCACTGCATACAGCAGCATCATGGCCATTTTGTATGTGGCTACCTTCTACATATATACTACTCTATGTGTATATATATATAGATATACATAACAACATTTAATATTCTCTACATATACAGTATATATAATATTCTGTAGATATACAATACACACACAGAGACTTTGGTGTACGGTACCAATTTCGTATCTTTGGGACAACCCAAACTCCTGTCAGCCAATGCGTTTCTCAGTTTCCCAGAGGTGATCTACCTGATGAAATCCCGTGGCCCGATGGCTGAGGCGCAGCTTTGACAGGAATATCCCCATGGTTGTTGATAGTATATAATCTTGATGGGGTGTTTGTTGCCTCAATCTTGATTATCTGAAAATTGGTTGTCGTTTAAACATGTTGAATCGCAATGAACTCACCGTATTCGCTACTTGTGTTTTTTTAATGCTTTTGATTGTTGAAATCAAGCCATTTTCAATCACAACAAGAATCACCACATTCATCACTGCAGTCTTTTTCTTGATACTGTTTGTTTTTTCTCTCACATGTTCTACAAGGAGAGGGCCCCCCAGTTATAAGTTGGTTTGCAAACCCATTAGCTCAATTATAAGATTGTCGAACAACAAACCATTAAACACCCTTTAACTCAGCTATAAGATGGTTTAAGCCGCCCATCAACTATCATTATAGCCTATAGCTTATAACCGCCAAAAATCATAGTTTACTACACACTATATATATATATATATATACATGCATACATTATACCTACCATGAACCATAGTTAACTATAGCTTATATCCTCCATAAATCCCACCGCTCACCTTTCGGGTGTGCCCCACGGGTCCCACGGGTCCCGCGCTGTGTCGGGGCTCCGCCTCGGCCTCCGGCTCCGTCAAGTTGGGCGCGGCACTGGCCTTGCAAGTGGCCATCTGTAGATGAAATATATGATAAGATATGATATGTCACTAAAATAGTCATCTAGGTTATAGTGATATTTTTAGTGACGTATGAATATATAAATATATATATAAAAGAAATATAAATATATATATATATAGTATATATGTATAATGACAAATTATCTATACCAGTAGTACCGCACAAGGCGGTGGCGGAAGTTTCGAAGATAGGAAACTATAGGAGAGGTTTGTTGTTGTGAAGCAGGGATGGCAGAGCGAATCCACTGATGGACCGAAAGGTGGTTGGAGTTGTGTTTTTTGGAGTGGTTGCAATGGTTGCAGTGGTCACCTCACCCACAACTGCTGGATGTAGTGTGGTGTAGTGTGGCGTATGCAGCTGTAGATGCAGTTGTAGTGTAGCGTGGTGGAGTAGTTGTGGTGTGGTGTAATTAGTGTAGTGTAGTGTACTGTAGTGTCGTGTAAAGTAGTGTAGTTGCAGGTGTAGTGTAGTGCAGTGTAATGTAGTTGCAGCTGTAGTTGTAGTGTAGCGTAGTGCAGTGTAATGTAGTTGCAGCTGTAGTTGTAATGTAGCGTAGTGCAGTGTAATGTAGTTGCAGTTGTAGTTGAAGTTGTAGTGAAATGTATGTTAATAAGTGTAGCGTAGTGTTGTGTAATGTAGTGTAGTTGTAATTGTAGTTGTAGCTGTGGTGGTGGTGGTAGTGGTGGTAGTGGTGGTACTGGTGGTAGTAGTGGTAGTAGTGGTAGTAGTGGTAGTGGTAGTAGTGGTAGTCGGTAGTAGTAGTAGTGGTAGTAGTAGTGGTAGTAGTAGTAGTAGTAGTGATACCAATCTACTAGGCAATTTCGGTGTATCCCCATACAAATCACAACGCAACTAAACCCCCAATGAAACTTTGGGCGAACGTCCGCCCTGGAGGGTGATATTTATAGTGATGTTTATAGTGACATATATATATAATGACATATTATCTACATTATTATAGTGATGATATCATATTATCTATATTATCATCATCTGTAAATAGTGATATCAAATCAAATATATATATATATATATACTCTCTAGTGGTATTATTATGTAGTGATAATTTATCTACATCCGTAATGATATCCATACCTATTATTAGGGATATGTACAGATGGTTATCATCTACGCTAGTAACAATAGTGAATAATAGTAATGCACATGATGGTAGATCACTACTGTTAGGTGATGATTAAATCATAATTTTAATAGTAATGATAATAATTTCCAATTATTATGACTATTTTTAGATGATTATCATATATACATATATATTATATATATACTCTATATATATATACTATATATATATATACTATATATATATACACTATATATATATATATGTATATATATATATATATATGTATATATATATGTATATATATATGTATATATGGAAGGGCCCGTATGGTCTAGTGGATAAGACGTATCTCTCATGGGTCAGAGCCGGGTTCAATACCCGGGTGCAACACTACGCGGATAGGCCGGCCACTACCCCACCCCTGCAGTTAAGGGGATGAGCTAGGGTGTGGTCCGTAAAAACTCTCTGTATATATATGGGGGTTTCCATAAATGGGGGTATCCCTAAATCATCCAATCTAATACGCAATTTCGGGGTATCCCCATTTATGGAAGCCCCCGTATATTGTCTAGTGGTCTATTATTATGTAGTGATAATTTATCTAAATCTGTAATGGTATCCATACCTATTATTAGTGATATAGACTAAGAGTTGCTTTATCTAGTTGCTATGTCATATTTAGTTGATATAACTAAGACTTGTTTCTAATGGCTACTAACAGTTACTAATAAGTACTATTACTTACTAACACTTTCCAACGTGTGTAATTTCAAATCACTCATCATAGTCTTCAATAGTTGCTGAGCATCATTGTTAGTGATAGTGAACATGTTAATAGGAATTTTTATTTCATAGTTGTTAATGGTTTCTAATAGGTACTAACAGTTATTAGTAAGTACTAGTAGGTACTAGCAGTATCCGAGTTTACTATACATCTGCACCCCCCAGCAATGGTGGATCAATGGGGATGAAACACGATGGGATTCCCACATATTTTGGGAACATACAATGGGGTGTTTAATGGGGTGTTTACTAAAACAATTCGGAAGATATGATTCTTATTATTCGGACTTAATATTGAAGCAATATTATAATCAGTGAAGGTGATTAGTATGAGTAGTGGTGATTATCATCAGCGATTATTGTTGATCATCTGCAATGATGCTTTTGGGTGATAATCATACAGCAGTCTTGTTGTCCTATTAGTTATAGTGATCAAAAAATAACCACCACTGTTAACAGTAATCTTTATCCATAATAGGTTTTGGTCATTATTGATGATGATATGTAATGTTGGTTGGTTCATTGCTCTGTTTAAAGAAAATATTATCATTTATAATGTAAATCAATGGTTCTTAAGGATACTTACTACTAGCAACAATTATTGATAATAATATTTACTTAGTTTGGATATGCTTTGATTGCCATTACAATGACTAATTATGAACTATTACTATTATTATTACCACCATATCTCTCTTCGATGTGTGATGGTTGAACTGTTGTCACAACTATCATAGTAAGTATTGTAGGTGAATCACAGCTACTAATAATTTCAATAACAGGAGTTAATAAACAATTGTGACCATAATAACCATAATTAGGTGAAATTGTACCGGTCCTGGTTGGTTTGCTGGTTTGCTGGTTGGCTGGCTGGTTGGTTGGTTCAGAACGGAGTTCCCATCCCTGGTCCAATAAACAACGGCAACACTACTGGCTATCCTATCTATTCATCAAAGCTTTTGGCCACTGTGGAAATGGTTTGGGGCAAGCCAGCAAAGCAACCATCCCCCAGTTCCAGCAGAAATATGTCTGGCATAGCTGATTTTTCTGTGATAAGCAGGAGGTATAAAGCCTATTAAGTGAAAGTGTTTGCTGGTTACTGAAAGGTTGGAAACCTGTACTGTGCTTGCGTGGAAATCATCAATGGCGTCCCGCGAAACCTGTTCATCTTTTCAGGGACCCGTATACATCAACGGGGCTTACAACATCTTACGAACACACTGCAGGACTAAGCAGTATATTTACCCTCTGGTAAACAAACATAGCTATTGAAAATTGCCCATTTATAGTTGATTTACCCATAGAAAATGGTGATTTTCCATAGTTATGTTAGTTTACCAGAGGGTATCTGCATGAAGAGCTCTTTTTTGGGTCAACATCGCCACGCCTACAACCTGTCCCTGGGTGTCGCGCTGGGTTGCCGCCAGTCACAGCAATGGCAACAGTGGACTGGGCAGGCGACGGGTGGCTTGATGGTTGAATCGAAAACATTTCCCATCCCAGCGCCTTAGCTGTTTACATAGCAGCATGGTCAAAATTCAAATCCCAAAGGACCATAGATTTCAGCTGTGTTTGTTTAAACCATGTTCTTTTGGGGGTAGGAAATGACTTTACTTAACCTATGTCCATGTCTTTTGATTCATACCCTCACGTTGCTTAACGCCCATTACTATCTATATTGATGCTACTGCTTCAATCCCCACCAGGACCTTGCTGTTTCCACAATTTCAAAGGTCTAATCCGTCACTTTCCATATGATTTTGTGTCGGAAAATAGGGTAACCGGGTAACCCACCATAACCCAACCCCCGAAAAAAAACATAGGGAAAAAAAAACATAGGGAAACAAGTTTGACTCACCAGTGGATTTCGGGGTCAATTTTCATACGGACCCACTTTCTTGCGAAATCCTCAGTTTCGACCCATAGCCATCCCGGTGCCTTGCGCCCAGGCGTGCCCCGACTGGAATGGGGTTGGCCGCCCTGGGCCATCGATGGCCATCGCTTCCAAAACGGGATGCCATTTTCATCAGACAACAATTCATAGAACCAGTGGATTTTGAACAACAAATAGGCCCCGAACAAAACCAGAGCACTCGTGGCCACTTGAGCGGTTTCCAATTTGAAGACCTCCTTATGCACTGAGTCTACTGGTTGGTTGATAGGGATTCTGATATTGGCTCATCGACTCTTTTGTTTGGAAACATCATTAGATTATGTAACAATGTAGTAGAACCCAAAACAACTTGGAGTCAACCAGAGATCTTATCGTTGGAACCACCGTTTCCACTTCTAGTCCCAGTTTCATTGATTACATACCCATTGTACCCCCCCATGTTTGGTTGCCAACCCACAGCAGGAATGATGTGGTCCAATGGGAGCTGAGCTATCCACTGAAGGCCTTCGGGAGACTCCCTGCGGGGCTCTGATGTTCTGACGTGTTTACTCCACTGTGCTGACTTGGATGATGACTCTGATGATTGAAACTAATTTTTTGGTTGAAACATTCTCAACAGGTTTGATACAACCATGATGACCATGGTTATATATGTTACTACTATCATTACATATACCAAGTTTACTATCATTGCTACTACTAATAAAACTTCACATAATATATATATAATGCCTTCATGCGTGGGTGGCCACGAGGTTTCTTTTCATAAGAAAAAACACTTCACCCAATGATCTCCCTATTCAATGGAACAGATGCTTCTCGAGCCTTTCGTAAATCCCACTGGCTGATTTATTGGAGCCCTGTCAGATCTTTCCACAGCTATGTTAAATTACCAGAGGGTACTGCTCAAGGGTTAACACCAGCCAAGACCACTGGTCACCAAATACCCTTGGATGGTCTGAAAATAGGGTACCCCATTGCTATCCTGGAGGTTTTTGCACCATTTTCAGACACACCCGTGATGTCTAACATCCATATTGCTCATTATCCATTGCTCAAATCCACCATTTATCACTGATAAAATCACCAAGTTCATAGTGCTTAATAATCCCATTGCTGGTGTATATCATATGTACAGCCTTCATACCTTAATACAATAGATACACTACATTGATACACCATTCTACATAAAATCAATCCACCATCAATACATCCTTAATCCATCACACATCTTAGACAGCCATAGACAACCACCACATTGGGAGGTTTTGGACAACCACGCCTGCCCAGTGTGGCGTGGTGGCGACTTGCTACCTGCGCCGGCGCGGTGAAGTTCTTGGACTCATGGACTCGTGGTTTGTAAAATTGTATGTTTGTGGTATATAATCTACAGAATATATTATACATGTACATATGAATATATGTATGTATGTATGTATGGATGGATGGATGTATGGATGTATGGATGTATGGATGTATGTATGTATGTATGTATGTGTGTGTAATATAATGTGTATATATATATATACATCAATGTATATATATATAAATAGTTGATATACTCTGGCAACTGTAGCTATGAAGCAAATCACCCAATTGTAGGCTAGGGCTTGCTGCAGGCATCATCCCGCTAGAGAAACACAGCTGGTGGTATACCTACCCCTCTGAATAATATGAGTTCGTCAGTGGGGATGATTATTCCCTTTTTTTGGATCAAAATGTTCCAAACCACCAACCAGTTTGAAAGACTGTGTTTTCCGAACATGGTAGGTACCCCAATAGCTGGATGATTTTGGGGTACCCCTATTTCAGGAACCCACCAGATGATTTTCCTGTCGTCCGACTGCAGAGCCATGAAAAATACCCCTATCCTATTCCTTTAAACCGGTTGGTGCATTGTTATCCTTATTGTGGGTAGTAATAATTCCCCATAACCCAGGTAGCAAAACTTTCTTTACTGATCTTCAAGCAACAGTGGTATTTTTAAATGGCTAATCTGAGGAACGCAAGGCAAAACAAGGGCTGGCGCATCATGAACCAAATGACAAACTTCCTTGTCGCGGTCTAGCTTTCCCTGTGGCACCTGGTCGTCTGCCAGAGCGTTGTCTGGATAAACCTGGGACATGACAACGGCAGGGATGAAAGAAAGGGTCTGTAGAGACCTCTCACTAGAAAATGAGATAGCCAGCCAACCAATTCGATGAAAAATGTGCACTATCGGAATCTTAAAAAGTGCCAAGTTTCAAGAATGTCGGCAATGCAGATGTGGGTATTTTTAGTCGCTCTAATCTTTATTTTACCAAGACTGGTGCCAACCTGACGCTCCAACCTTTGCAACCCAGTTCCTGTACAACTGGCAGCCTCTAAAGAGATACATGTCCACATCGATCAGGCTGCTTCGAGCAATAGATTGTACTGTGCAGAGATTGTACTCCAAGAACATGCAAACATGTTTAATTGAGACGTGGTAAAACCAGAGCCTGAGAATTAGTCCAGATTTTGAGGTTCTATCACTCCAGGAGCACGATTTCTTCGGCCGCGCACTGGTAGAAGAATGCAGAAAAACATGTTTCAATGCGAAAACAATATTCTCACATGACACTGGTATCTTTCTAAAGGTAGATTTTGGTTGGTACATAAGGTTTCATGATGTTTCATGCAATGATGCGGGGCGTCAAAAAGAATGTATACATATGTATATATATATAATCAGCGGGCATGTCCAGAAGAAAAAACTCAAACATATCTGTACATCTCAATCTCAAGTCTTTGCTGCAGTATACACATGTATCTGAAATAATCTATTTGATTCGATCTACAATTTGGCCCAGCACATGCCAGCACAATGCTCGTTCCCAGGGCCCAACTTGTCAAAAGTGATCCATGCCCGGTTCGGACATGTTCAATCCCAAGTCCACGGTGTGGTTGACATCAGCATTTACAAGCGATATGTTTGAATGCATGTTGGTCAAATCCCAATAACTTTGGTAGTTAAAGTCTCCAAACTGTTGGCTTCCAACCTCATCCTGCTTCATGGGGATAAAAAATGGCACGGAAAACTGGTCATACCGTGTATGGAAGAAATCCTGCACCAGTTGATAGATGGCTTATCCCATTATTTAAAGGGTTTCAACCATCCAAGGTGGTGCAGGATTTCAACCATCGCCATACAACGGTCCAACTACGGTCCCAGTCCCTGGGTCACCGCGGCTATATGGCAGATTGCCAGCTGAGCTACGGCGCACTGGGCCTGCAGCCTGGGAAAATCGAGCATTATCGTTGTTGGGTAATACCTTTATAAGATAGACCGTCCTTAACTTACTCTTGTTTATCCATCATTCATAGATCATTCATAGATCATTTATAGATCATTTATAGATCATTTATAGATCATTTACAGATCATTGACAGATCATTTATAGATGATATCGAACCCAATGATTTTCCATATCACTTTTCCGCATGTTTCCCTGTTTCGCCCTGCTGTCCACCTCCAGCAACAAGGCAGAGGAACTGGCCTGGCGACGCGGCGCCATCCCCCCCAAAAAAACATCCTGAATGATATATCAATATTAATTGGGGACGGTGATCATACCCATGATATATAAAATGGTGATTTGGTGATGATATAAACGATTGTGTATATACATGTACATCAATTGTACATCAATATTAATGTGGGTAAAGCAAGAATAAACCATCACCCAGTCATCATCATTTTATAGGTGGTATGTTCATCATTCCCAGTCATGGGTCGCTTATGATTGTTTTACTCACATTACCTCATATTGTTTCCCGATTGCCAATTGTTCTATCTATTTTGGGGTTGCTGCAACCAGGAAACAGTCGTTTCATGATCTGGTTTATCATGGGATATATGTATATGTGACATGTGTTTGTGGATGAATAATGGTTATAGATAAAACAAAAGACAACTTACTAATACTGCCGTCATTGACATGTATATATATATTGCGATATTTCATAGTAATTATTATAACTATCAAACATCACATAAAATAATTAAATAATATAATATAGAGTTCATTATCATATATATATATATATCGTTATCTCCCATGGTTTATCTCTCTGAGAACCATGGTAATGATACATGAAATTATCAACCAACCGGCATTTATCAAGTCTATCTCTGTATGTTTGATGGTTACCCTATGGCCCTGATGGGCTACCCATGAATCAACCTCAAGTCAGTGTGTGCCCCCAGAGTTGGAATTGGTTTTCTGAAAATCCATCCGACCATTGGTATATCATGATATATCCATCATGTCATAGACGCTAGTTTAGCGAGAGTTATTTTCACCAACTTAGCCAAGTATGGGACACACCCATGTAAGTTTATGTATCCTATAACTCCATTAAATACCCTATTGGCAGTGTGTCAAAACCTTGTACCCCTGTAGTTCACATCAAAATAGCTGGTAAATGCATGTTCATCCCCCTAAAAATGGTATTAATAGGTATTGATCCATACCCAAATACCCTATTAAATGATGGCTATCCCCGAAAAACCAATCTGCGCCCGGTTTTTGTCAGATTTCCGAGGCTCCGCACGGTTGCTCCGCGTGAGAGGTGCGGGGTTTCCATCCGCACACCAGCCTCAAGGTGTCCAAGGATAGAATATATGTTGTTATATTATATATATACATAGAATGTAAGCGCCAAAAACATAGCAAAGTTATTTTTCACGATTTTTAGCAGGGATTGACTTTTCTATTTTGTGGGGATGCCTATTATATATATATATATACATATGTAGATTTACACAATAATCATTATGATTTGTGTAACTATGATGGGTATTGCAATCAACTATCATCAAATAGGATTACTTGTAGGACACGCATAGGATTCATCATGCTTTCATGTAACTTGCATATTATCGGCTTCTTATGACGAGTATTACGCGCAGTATAACTGCGATAGGTGTATATATACACATTGTAGTTCGCATGGCCTGCTGTACTGTGTTGTGTTGTATTGTATCGTATCGTATCGTATCCTGCTATCATATCATCTAGCTACTATACATCTGAAATTCACATAGATAATATTCGTATTGTAATTGATCCCTCTAGATATAGATAAGATGATATGATACGATAATATATATACATATATATATATATAACAAATAGATATCAAAAAATATTAAAATAGATAATGCACCTATTATGATCCTTAGATTATATCTAATTCCCAATATATCTCTATAATCGATATTCTCTCTCTATATATAATAAAAATAAAGCACAAACATATTTAATGATATATATATATTTATATATATTATATTATTTATATATATATATATATTATATTATTTATATATATTATATATTATCTATATATATATTATTTATATATATATATATATATGATAATCTGATATATATATATACAATATAATATAATATATATTATATATTATATATATTATATGTTATATATTATATATATTATATGTTATATATTATATACATTATATATTATATATATTATATATTATATATATTATATATATAACATATATATATATATATATATCATATATATATATATATTATATATAATATTTATAATATATAATATATATGATATATAACATATAATATATATATATAATATAATTTATAGGTGAAAACAACATTTTTGACGCCACGGTAGAGGCTTGCCCCCTGGTCATTCCCACAACCGAGGACCCCGAGGACCCCGGCGCTGTGTGCCCTTTCGAAGGCTCCACGTACGCGCCTGGGAGTTTTCACTGTGCTTGCAGCAAACCCCGAACTGTAGCCATTCAAGCGGCAAAAGTGTAAAATGGTGACAATGGCAAAATGGGTGATTGGATTCCATGATTTTTTTGGGCGAGGCTATTTCCTTTATCGATGTTGCCTGTTATATATTCAAGTTCTCAAGGCTGTTTCTTTTGACCTTCTCCGCGCGGACAAATCGCCAGCAGGCACAGCCCTCAGATGGTCAGCAAAGTGGAAAAACAAGTGGAAAAAGTATTTTCAGACCAACCCAATTGCTCATATTTTGGCAATGATATCGTTTGGGGCCAGCTTGGGCGCTACTGTTTACTTTATCATCAATCACCAAAAAAGGTTGTTCAGTGAGCTCACCCCCTCTGTCAAAAATCAACCGGGAACAATTATATATATATCTAGTTCTGGAACCATTAACATAGTTTGTAATATCTGAACCTGAACTGGTTGGTGACCTTTGGGAAATTTCCCAATCTAAAGCCATAATATCTGGTGAGCTTGACAAGATTCTAACATACCTTGCCCTAATATCTGCTGCATACCTTGCCCTCTGCGACACACCTTGATCAATGGCACCATTGTTGCCAGGTCCGATCCGAAGCTTGCCAGTGGAGGAATCCAGGTGGTTGCGAAAGGTCACCCATAGCTATGATAGAAATGTCCATCACCTCCATCACCAAAAGGCCCATTGTGCCTGGATTTCGTCTCAAGGACTTGTGGCACATGGGATCCGGTATCTTGCGCTGGATACAGATAATCCTGGCCAGTGTTTTAAGTCAGTCGCACCTACACGGAGAGCAAGACTCGCAAAGTTCACCAACATTTTCCCAAACAAAGCCATTTCTTTCCTCCTGTACCATTTTTCTCCTGGTTAACATCTTAGGCTCCTGCAATCAAACATGGCTAGCTGGGAAATCTCCGAACTAAATGGGCGTAATCGTTACTATTAATATCTATTACTGTAATCACATAAATCACCAGTATTAGCCACTATTAACCATTGTTAATCATGATTAACCACTATTAACCACTATTAACCATTAACCTTAGGATGGCCAGTTCATGCCAGTTCGGCCTGTGTTTGTTCATATGCAATCATATGCAAAATGAATCAAAATGAATTGGTTAACTGCTTAAAAACTTGTGAAAACATCCCTTTTCCCTGAATACCATCCTGAATTAATTACCAGTATTAACCATTCTTAACCACTATTCATCAAAATTCACCACTATTAACCTTTTTCGGATGGCCACAACTCGGCGTCTGTGTTTTTTTTCAGCGCGCCTCGGGGAGTTGCCATCGAGGCTGGAACTACAGCTGGAGCTGCGATAGCAGCGGCTGCCTGTGAAAAAGCATTGTGAACTCAGCGGGAAAAAAACCATGGTTGGTGGTTGGTGGTTGACCTACCCCTCTGAAAAATGATGGAGTTCGTCAGTTGGGATTATTATTCCCAATAGATGGACAAATAATCCAAATGTTCCAAACCACCAACCAGATATGTTAGTGGTTAAATTATGGTTAGTTAACAATGGTTAAGAAAAAATATGTGAAATTCATAACATGTTAATGGTTACTAATGGTTTTAGCAATGGCTTCATGATGGTTATAGTTAAGTTACTGTAATAGTGGTGAATAAAAAGGTGAACGATGGTTAAATCACTACATTTAAAGACACCAAGAGAGCTTCAACACAAAACGTGGGAGTTCAAGGCAGAGATGATTTTTGTAGCGGGTTCTACTTAATGGTGCAATATCACAAACCCAGGGCATCCTCCCCCAAAACACACAGAAGAATCATGAAAGCCAACAGGGATCAATTTCAAAGCCACTAGTCAGTCCAGTGGTGGGAACGTCCTATAATTCTTTGCCCGAGCCCAAAACTCAGCTGGTTTACGACCAAGTGAACTATGGTTTGTGTTTGATATAGAGTTTATATAATGGGCGATCGATCTATAGTTTATATAATGGACGTTATAAATCAACTTCTAACTGCGGGGCACCAGCTTTCAGGTTCTTGCACATACCGATCTGACTGTGTGGCTGCACCAGCGTTTTTTGGTCAGTTTGAGAGATTTTCGATGGGCATGGTCCCTTTGGAATTTAGAGTTGCATTCCCATTTCATGTTTGTTGGCTCCAATTTTTCGCTCGCCAGCTGTTTGCCAAATATCCTGACCTTTTATGCTCCGAAACCCATTTCTTGCTCGTGAAATCCCTGTTTTTATTGGGTGAAATCCCCATCGCCCGGAGTCCACCCGGAGTCCACCCTATATTTGAACCACCATCTGGGTCCCTGATCGCACCTGGTTTCACTGGCTTGCTGGCTGTCCTGCAGGATTGGGGCTCAAGTTTCTGGCCGCCGGCAACTTGCTGGCCATGAATCACTGGCCATATTCAGTTGAGCATTGGCCCCAAATCACGACATTTCTTGAAATACACACATATATATATGTATGTATGTATATATATATTATATATAATATATATATATATACACGTGTAAAGCACTGCCTAGATAATTCTCCTGAGGCAAGGGAATTTTTGTTGTCACTGCCAAACAGCTAGTTAAGATTATTAAGATTAATTCATCAAGTAGATTCATTAAACTCATTGAACATCATTTTTGCACAATAGGAGCAAGGCAGAAGTTCGTCAGTGAAAATTGGAACCACCAAGCTGTGTTGGAATCACAACAGTGTCCAACAACTCGGCATTGAACATCATTGAGCTGTGGGTTGCGAAATCCTGCACCACGAAAAGGATCCAAAAGGATGGTTGAAAACCATCCAAAATAATGGGATGGGGCTGCCACCTATCAACTGGTGCAGGATTTCGCTGGCCCATCCACGGTATGTCTGAAACAATCTTTCAGCCCGAGCGCCCCAAACCCGTCTCTGTGCATCCCCCACAGGTTGTGAAGCGAGGACTCGTGTGAACCGAGTACCTTGGCAATGTGGTGATTTTAATCAGGGATGGAAGGGGATAGAAAGCCTCAACAAAAAGGGACTACTGACGAGATTTTCCATTGAAACAGATTGAACCAGGATTTCCATATACCCATGTGGGTTTGTCTGAAAATAGTGTACCCCTAAACCCAATGGTTTTGCTGATCATTATCCCTATTAAATGGCTATTTCATTGGGAAGATTAACCCAACATTTTCAGACAAACCCATGTCATGTTTAAAATAGTCATGGCCATGGCCAAAATTCGACCCAACATTGGGGAGGTTGGCAATCTCGACCGGGTGCCAAACAACTACTCCCATGGCATTCTGCTTTATTACCCTCTGGTTATGCCAAAATAGCTATTGAAAATGGCCATTTATAGTGGATTTTCCCATTGAAAATGGTGATTTTCCATAGTTATGTTAGTTTACCAGAGGGTAATTCTTTATCTTTCTGTGCCAAAGTGTGGAAATTCCATTTCTGGTTGGTGGTTTCAACCCCCTTTGAAATATATTTGTCAGATTGGATCATCATCGCAATATTGGGGAAAATAAAATTCATGTTCCAAACCACCAACCAGATTTCCTGTGTTTCTTGTCTGCTTCTGAGTACGGATTTTCTGACACTCTGCGGGCTACTTGGACCCGTGCTGTTGCTACATTGGTCTGCCCCTTCTCATAGGTGCGCCCTGATGCTGTCCAAAGGTCTCAAAGATACGGGCACATAGAGGGACTGTGTATCTCTCCCTTTTTCTCTCTATGTATTATATATATACATATTACATGTGTGTGTAGGGTAAGAGTATATGAATATAATAGATATCATACAGCATCACAATCAACACACATGATATGTCGTGTATATAATATAGTATGTCACAGGTCACACTATATAATATAGTTAGTCATTTGCAGTATGCAACACTCTACATCCCGGTACCATCTACAAACATCTATGCTCTTGAGCACTGCGCTGACTTCACTGCCAACTAGGACGAACAGCAAACATGCAGCGAACTTTGAACCTCTCAAGCATCAATGTGTTTCAAGCTCATCATGCCCCACTGTTGGTCTACCGGCAGTACCGGCAATTTCTTGCATAGCTATGAAGGTGAACTCCCCAGCCTGCGGAAGAGTATCGCATACCTCTCGAGGTCTTGCTGGCTGCAGCCTCACCGTCGTGAGTGAAAAACCATAAAAAGGAGCGATGGTGTGAATGTTGTTTGGATATAAAAATATACATGTTATTATTGTATGATCAAGGTCATATTTTACATGTATTACATATCTAAAAATATACAGTCATGTTTGATCATGTTACATAAATATAACTATATACATACTACATATATATATATATATATACACATGATATTTGCTACTTTCATAATCCGGTAGCAAACGTCATCCGAAACTTCACCCAGCATGAGAACTTTGGTGTATCTGAGAATGGTGTATAACCCCAATTATACCCCAATTATTGCCGAATTTAACAGGAAACATGATGATAACCCATGGGATTTTGGTTGGATCCCTATTTTATATATCTTAAAATCACAGTTTGTTGGTGAAAACATGTTCAATTCACAATTTTGTTCCCAACTGGTAAACATACAAATAGCTATTGAACATGGCCATCGAAATAGTGGATTTACCTATTAAAAATAGGGATTTTCCATAGCTATGTATATAAACGTTTACCAGAGGGTAAAACTCCATTCTCCTATGGTTTTCCGGTTTTCTTTGTTAAATCCAACCTTTTTTATCCACAGAATTCCACAGAGTTGCCGGGTCGCCTCTTGGCCAGGAGACAACTTGCTGGGTGAACCTGGCGGAGTAAACGTCGAAAACTGATCATAAATACATATATGTTTGATATGAATGCCATATACTAATTACTAATGACATATATATATATATATGTATACATGTGTATGTGTATATATATATATACATAATATACATGTGTATATATATATATGTATATATATATATTATGTATATATAAACATGTATATATATATATATACAATATATATATATATTTATACATAATATATATACACATAATATATATATATATAATATACATACATATATATATATACAGTAAAACATATATATATATATGTAGACAGTAAAACTGCAATCATTAATAATCAATACTACATGAGTCTCAGATGTATATATATATATACATAAAATGCTGTCCATACTATGTAGACATATCTATACTTATACTTTGAATAGTCAGTATTTATGTAGAAATAGATAGATCAACATGCATGTTTCATAATAAAAGAACATCCTTAAAATATTGAAATGTGTCTTACAAGTATGGAACATGGACGTTTAATGACATTTATGGAAAATTCTCGCAATCATTCCAATGTCTTCAATAACCATAAAGTATTACATCGAAATGTTCACACCCAGAAAAAACAAGTGACAAAATCATAGGCGAGCCCAAAGTAGCTGAATACTATAGGCAACTAGGCTTTTCTCGAAACATGTTGGAGCCAAACAGCATCTGTAGAAGGAATCTACATCAAGCTGATCGACTTGGGAAAAGTGATGGAAAACCAACGGGCCGTGGGATTCCCATTCGTAGTGTGGGCACTCTTGGGATGTTACAATCACTTGTAATGATACATACACACACATATATATAATATAATTATATACATATATATATATATATCAGAACCGACGCCTTTGAACTGTAACCACTTGTCAAAGATACAAACTACAAACTTTAGCTTTCAGGAAATATGGGGCGAAGCTATAAACACTAATATAAACACTAATATAAACACTAATATAAACACTAATATAAACACTAATATAAACACTAATATAAACACCATGAAACATAGGATAACTGCGCCTGGTCGTCTGGGAGAAGTCAGTGCAGACAGTGCAGATGGCCTTGCAGGGATGACCAACCAATGAACTTCGATTGGTATTATCCTCTGGTTATGACGAACGGTTCCCGGTTCGCCATGGAAAATCACCATGCTATTAATAGCTAAAGCATCATGCTTATCATCTATTTTCATGGGCGCTGCCATAGCTCCGTTAAATAACCAAAGGGTATCAGGGTAGAATTAAGGTTGCTCCAAACACTCCAGGTACGTACGTTTGGGAGGTAAATTGGGTCTGAAGACCCAAACGTGGCTATCATTGACCTAGAATGGCTTGGAGCAACGCTGAATATCATCTGGTTGGTGGTCGTGACCATCTTGAAAAATATGAAAGTCAATGGGACGGATTATCCCATATATTATGGAAAATAAAATTCGTGTTCCGAACCACCAACCAGTCATGGGAATTCTATAACAACCAAGGATATCACATGTTACAAATCAAGTCATGGTCGATGGTTGAGTCCTCCAAAAGTCAGCCCGGATCAATCCATTGTGCGGGTTGAACGTAAAACATATCGTGCATGGCTCTAAGGTCAAAGTCTAAAGAAACATTTACAAGTCATGTATATTGTATACCGGCATGGACACAACCAATATAGAACACACACATCAAACCTAGCAGCCAGGATTGATAAAGGAAATCAACCCAAAAACATATTGTTTTGGCCACCAATAGGGGTGATATTATTAGGCAATAGTACTGGCGATTGCTGATTGGCCACTCAAATCCCCCCCCAAAAATGGCTAAACAAAGTCCCTTCCTGGTTACCCCGACATTCTGTAAACGATAAAACACAATAAAAAACCTACGTACAATTCGGTCTCCCGCCCCGAAAACAACGTGGATGTTGCCGAACGAATGTTGCATGAACTTCGGACCTGGGAAACCAAACTTGTTGACACAGGCAATATCGTGATCCATTGTTCGTGTTTTCCAAATGTTATGTCTGCCCAAAGCGGCTTCAATGACTCAACCAATTCAAGGACTACCAGGACTACCAGGACTACTAGGACTACTAGGACTACTAGGACTACTAGGACTACTAGGACTACTAGGACTACTAGGACTACTTGTCAGTCGAATCATCTAGAATCGATCAAAATTATAGTTGAATTTACACTACCCGAACCTTCGAAAGTTCCATAAATTATAGTTGAAGGGCCAGGTATAATAAACCATATCCACGACAAAAACATCAAACAAAACCATCTTCAAACCAGCTCTGCCGTTGGATCTCCAGCCCATATGGGAGTATTGAGTATTGAGGACCCCATTGCTATCCAAGATACTGGTTCAATATTACTATTGATATGAATTATCCATATGATCCATATGTTACCCTCTGGTAAACGTTTACATAACTATGGAAAATCACAATTTTTAATGGGTAAATCCACTATAAATGGCCATTTTCAATAGCTATGTTAAATTACCAGAGGGTATTTGTTTAGAGAGTCATCGTTTGATGATTCAGTCCCTGTTGATGGTTACATCATGTAAATCCCATATTGTCCCATCATATCCATTTATACTCATACCTCTAAATCCCTCAAAAAAACACGATAATTTGCCTACAGCATCACTTTATATATATATATATATACAAATTTATAAAGATCTATAATTCATAAACACCTACAAACATCTGAAAACTATTTATAATAATCCCTGTATCCTTTACCTATAAAATCCCTTTATCCGATCTATTTCTATAGCCCACAACTGTCCCGGCCGCTGAAAAATGGCAAGTTCAGGTCTCCCGGCTGGTACCCTGCACTCATCTGAGGCTGGACTCGAACCTGCACGGGTCAGCTGATATCTATGATCCCAAAAAAATGATAGTTATGGTATCTTTACCAAAAAATTGCATCTTAACCAAAAAATATCTATGGATAGGATATCTATGATATACCATTGTTGATGTACCATCTATGGGGTATATCATGATATATCTATTTTTCACCAACAAATGGGACAGTTGATACCATGATATCGATGGTAAACGATATCAGGGTTTCTCCAAACGCCAAGAAGGGTGGCTAAATTGGATAAATATAGAGGCAACATGACCCATTGACCTAAAATGAGTGGCTATCATTTATCTATGAATTGGGCAACCCTGTCTATACCAAATCGTTAACTGTTAAAGATACCATAGATTATATCTTTTGATGGTTCAAGATACACTATAATAATTAGATAATATGTTGTTTTCATTTTTTCAAAATGTACCATCTATGGTGTCTTTAACCATGTAATAATATCATCTATGGTATCAAATGTCTCGATTTTTTGGGGGAAAATACCATACATGGATCGTATATCATTATTTGTGTCACCTACATTTACCCATTTACCACCCAAATTACCGGTAAATGGTAGTGAAAGAAAAAAACATAGCTGGGTAAATGTAGATGACACAAAACATAGGTAAAAAAACATCTGGTCCTATTGGACTTGTGAAAATTTCAACGAAAAAACCTCGCTGGTCGAAAACATGGCCTCAGCTCCACGGATCTCCACGGATCCCAGTTAGATCGAACTTTGCATATGCCATAGCTGGATTCAAACAACTTCCTTGGGTGCCCCCCCCAAAAAAAGATACCCTCTGGTTATTTAACGTAGCGAACTGGGAAATCACCAAACCATGATTCAAATCATCTATTTCTATGGGCCATAGCTGCCATAGCAAACCGTTAAATCACCAGAGGGTAAACAAATGAGATCTATGTATGCAGAATGACTTTTGTACACCCAAAAATGACCTGGAAGAGTGTGATTCAAAGTCGAATCACAAGCACGCCATTTCTCTATGGCCCTGGGAGCTCCGGTACATCGATGAAAAAACCCGCGCATCCTCCATGGAATATGTACACAATGTACCTACAATGACTGGTTGGTGGTATACCAACCTCTCTGAAAAATATGAAAGTCAATTGGGATTATTGTTCCCAATATATGGAAAAATTAAATGCACACTTAAATACACCATACATTGATTATCTGGGTTGTGTCATCATGCTTCCTTCTTCCGTGATATGCGTATTCCTCAAAAATATGATACCAATGAACCCACACAATTTGTGATCCCAAATATTGAATCATCCATCTTCATACATAATTACTCTTGAAGCCATGCTGAAAAAATCAGAAACTCTGATATATATATATATTATATATTATGTATGTATATAATATATATATAATGTATATTATATATATATATTATGTATATATATATATATATATTGTGTATATATATATATATTATGTATATATATATTATGTATATATATATATTATGTATATATATAATTATATATATTATGTATATATATATATTATAAAATTCAAAACTATGAACTTTGGAGTGCCATACCACAACAGCACATTCCCCGCCTGACATCTGGGCCCGCCAGCAGGAGCGGCGGCCGAACCAGAGGCGGGCCTTGCTAGGTGCTGAGAGGTGGTCCGGTATCATAAGATGGGTTTACCCTCATCAAAAACATATGATAATAATGGTTAATAATGGTTAATAATAGTTAATAATGGTTAATAATGGTTAATAATGGTTAATAGTGGTTAATAATGGTTAATAATAATGGTTAATAAGTGTTAAACACTAAATTGTTACCCTCTGGTAATGACTAACAGTTTGCTATTGAAAATGGCCATTGAAATAGTTGATTTACCCATTAAAAAATGGTGATGTTCCATAGTTATGTAAACGTTTACCAGAGGGTAAAACATATAAAACCATGTTGCAACATGTTGTAACCAAGGTTGGTGATGGTTAAGCACAAACATGCCCAGTAATTGCACTCCAGTTCTAGTTTCATGAATCTTATGGTCAGTAATGGTTGTGTAAGCAGGACACCCCGGTTTTGAACAGCTTTTCTGGTTCGGTGGGTGCCACTTTGGCGATGGCTGTTCCATGAAAAAACCATGCTGGGGCATCTTGAACAGCCCATCAGCCTTTGGTGTTGCGTGATTTTCCCCAAGGTTTCCCCAAAAAATAGGAAAGATACTCTGAGATGCACTGCATCAAAACAATATCTTTTTCTCTGCTCAGTGTATTCCTCATTTTATTCCTCATAGTAAGTTGTGGGTACAGCTTGCTATCCATACTTTATTCCTCATTTTATTCCTCATTTTATTCCTCATTTTATTCCTCATTTTATTCCTCATTTTATTCCTCATCAAGCAACCAAAAAACCTAACCCACAAATCTGCTCAACCAAGCTTTAGCCACCATGGCTATGGGACCTTTTCCGCCGGTCCCCCGAGACGATCTGGAACGCCATGGTCAGACGGTCAACGCGCAGCGCACGGGGCCCCAAGCACTGTCCCATAACTTGGCAAGCTTGGCCTCATGGGGACAAATGGGGTGCCATTCCATTGAGGAGTCATCCAAAAGGGTCAACAACTCCGGATTCGAACAACCGAAGCCCCAAAACGATGGGTACGATCCGATTTGGAACTTGGAAAGGAGGTCTTTGGGCCGACTTTAGCTTCCAAACATTGGCAACATGGAGCACAGCTGAACATCCAACGCTTTGAACATGTCGGGGCTGGGATCCTATGGTACAAAGGAACGCAGTGCACCAAATCAATCCAAATCTGCCATGCCTTATGGGACAACTGGTATGTCTACCGATGACAACTGGGACCTGCAAGTTCCACTATCAGGATTCAACTGTTTCAACCATCCAATATTTGGGGAATTACATGGGATTGGGAAATTTCTAACCCCTCATCATTGTAAACGTGTATGGGCCCCAGGGGGCCCCAGGGGGCCCCAGGGGGCCACCTGTCAAGAAATGCAGCGTGACCGGACAGAGCTTGGCATCCGAACATGGTGGCTGGTGGGGCCATGTATCCTGCGGTGGGATTTCAGGCCTTCAAAGAGTTGGAATTAGTAATATAATCAATTATTGGATCTGATTATTTGGGCCTGATGATATTTCCAATTAGATTTGGGCCTTGTATTTTATATAATCAATTATTGGATCTGATTTCGAAAATACAATCATAGTGCATCATACTGCTAGACTGCTAAGCAATGAACATCTGAATAACAAACTTTGGAATACTAAAGATTGGAATAAAATCAACTTTGAATTAGCTAATCAATTGACGGTGGATGGTTTAGACCAGTAAAGCCAGCACATGACGATTAGGAACTGCCTGGAACCCCCCAACAACCAGTTTTTTGATGTGGAGTCAGCAGTGTAGGTCATGAGTCTTGAGTTATCAATCCCGGCAAAATGGATATGTAATGATTAATGATGTGATGTCAGAAATGAGCAAAAACAATGAGCCATTATGGTGGGCCCATCCGTGGCCAATCTTACATGCCTTGCAAAAAAGGAACACACTCTTTTAGCTGATCAGTAGATCTTCCCACTTCTATCCTATCCATTTGAAGCAACAGATTAAGTTGTATTAAATTATCCATCAAGTTGGTTGAGCCAGCCAATATCCCGTTAATATTCATGATCAATGGGCTACATCCCTACTAACGAAATTGTTGGTTTACATCCCTATTGAATCCCTATAAATCCCTCCAAGATTGATCCAGTTTTCTGACGGCAACTTCACCATATGTTGCTTAAAACCCTACCCAGCCAGCTATGGATGCTATGGGTATCCCACAAGTCACGAACCTCAATATGGCTTTCCACAATTTCAAAACCAACATGTCCTAAATATATCTAGTTGTCCACAAAAAAGATAGGAAAAACACTATTTCAAAACCAACATGTCCACAAAAAAGATAGGGAAAAACACTATTTCCCCTTCAAATTCTTTTCTTACTACGCATATTAATACTTGGAATTTTATTAAGTATCATTAATTATTAGTATTCAATTACTACGTATTAATATCAAACTATCATCGTTCTGGGGCTTATAATGCCTATTAAAAAGTTGGTCAACAATAATACCTATTAAATAAGTGGTCAACAATAGACTATAATATCTATTAACACGTATCAACAATAGCTTACTTGAAATACGGTGGATGGTTGCAAATTCCTGCACCAGTTGAGATGGTTTGTTTATCCCATTATTTCTAGGCTTTCAACCATCCAATGTGCAGGATTTCGTGACCATCCACACTATCCTCACATGTCATTATCCATTACACTCAGTCAGTCCCTGATTTCGATCTTCCCAAATCTCCCAGAATTCCCAGTGAAAAATCCAAATTATGGGAGATTATGGGAATTCACTCATCTTCCATAGTCAAATCTTCCATAGTAGTTCCAAATCATATCTGGTCGGTGGTTGACCTACCCCTCTGAAAAATATAAAAGTCAGTCCCAATAGATGGACAAATAAAAAAACGTTCCAAACCACCAACCAGATATGTTAGTGGTTAAATTATGGTTTGTTAACAATGGGTAAGGAAAAATATGATGTGAAATTCATAATATATTAATGGTTACTAATGGTTAAGAAAACAATGGCTTCATGATGGTTATAGTTAAGTTCACTGCAATAGTGGTGAATAAAAAGGTGAAAAATGGTTAAATCACTACATTTAAATGAAGCCATGATTGATCATGTAATTAACAATGGCTTTTAACAATGGCTTCATCACTAATGTAATTCTTGGTCCATCCGCAGTTCCAGCTGCGTCCTGGTGCCGCCGTGAAGGATGGGTGATTGATCCACCCATTCGGCGCGATGCCTGGGATGCCTTGCGCCTGCCAGATTTTTTGGATCAAAGCCAAACAAATGGGAAAGTGACCATTTGCCACATTAATCTAATTATACATATATATATGTATATATATATGAATATATATTATATATATATTAAAACATTATATATATATATTAATATAGTTGTGCATAAAATTTATATAAATTTATCACTATTTTAGAATTGGATGTGACCAATTTAATTGTTTTTTTTTTTTAGTTTTTTGGGAGTTGGGTTAGAAGTTCTTCATTTAGCTGTGTCAAAAAGCCAGCGTTTTTGGAGGTGGTCAACTCAGGATTGCGAACTTACCAACCCACATTGTGGGTGGATTTTTTCCGCAAAGAGAGCGGAACTTACCCCAACTTACCCTCCAGTAAAGTAACATAGATATGGACAGTTGCTCATTTATACCTGATTTATCGATCAACAAATGGTGATTTTCCATGAGGCGGACTGTTAAATTTTCAGAGGGCACTTATCATCAAACATGGACATTGATGACACGTGGATTAGCCAACATAATGATCATAATGTGGATTGAATGTGCACAAGCCTGGATGTAGCTACCAAACTGGGGATTTTTCACAATCAGGAGGAAACAATCCGCAACAAACCACTGAGGTCTTAGCCATCAAACCTCATTTGAGTAACCAAACTAAACCATCAGCCGGCTCGATCTTGGATACTGGATACTTGATACATGTTGATACCATACAAAACGGCTTTTGGCTTGTGAAACCTATTGGACAGGAGCTGCAAAACGCACGCACCCTGAAGAAAGCTGCGGATTCTTGTTGTGATTTCCGAAAGGTCCGGGGGATGGTAAGCTACTCAGCAGCTACGTTCCATGTTTTTGTTCCCGAAAAAACCATGGAACGACTACCATCTATGGTTATGACTAACATAGACATGGAAAGATCCACCATGTTTAATAGGTAAACCATCTATTTCTATGGGCCATCTATACCATGGCTATGTTAGTCAGAACCAGAGGGTATACGGAAAGGCTTTTTGTTTTTGTTGTTGCTTTTGTTTTCACAGTCCCATGTTTCAGGCTACCCTGGGTTTTCAATCGTAAACTTGTCAATGTTGAAGACATGACTGTGTTGTGATTTCAAACTCTCGCAACCCTCCATCAGCTCACCAACAATTCACACAGGATGGGCCCCTCGGTTATGTTTGTTGGTTTTTGTCACTCCCATAGTTGTATAGTTATCCATAGTTATATCATGTTATATCTACCATAAACCATAGTCAAGCCACTTATATCTCAACTGAACGCTATCTTGGGGGCCCCATCCTGCAGTATATTCCAAGCATTTCCAAGTCCCGTTGTGGCTTAGGCATAGATGACATTGCCCCTTTCGAAATGTCTTTTTCCAAGTCAACCCAGGGCCCAATGTTTCTTGATTTCAATCTGAGAGCAAAAAGTCTGCAATTGTTTTGTCTCAAAAACTTACTGGTGCTTAGCAATGAGGGAATGATCCATAATCACTAGTCATAATCATCCCATTCCCCCATTCCCATCCATTCCCATCCATTCCCTACTAAGCAGCAATAAGAAAATGGAATACCGCCAAAATCATGTACGGTGATTAAGCGCATTTTCCGCATGAAATGGGCTGTGGGACATCTATGGACATCTGGGGCGCCCGAACCGCTGGCCGCAACATTTGCGGCACACTGGGTGCAGGCGGGCCAATGTTTAGGCCAGTCCCAGGTGGACCCTGCAGCGAACCAATGGTTTTTGGGGGGGTTTCATGGAGGTTTCCTAAGTCATGAGGGTACCCCCAAATCATAAATTTAAATAGAATTTTCCACTCGTCCATTTTTAGGGATCCCCCATTTTAAGAAACGCCTTCATGAATTCAAAGGGATGTCCTGGGGATATAACTATATAACACCAAGATATTCTTGTATGAATATTGGGAGCGCAAAAAAATGTGGAAACTCAGCAACATTCATGTCCGTTGCTGGTTGAGCAATAAAAATAGCAAGAGCCAAATTCAAGCAAATGTATGCAAAGGGCAGATATAGACTGACAATGATCATTTTGAGAGAATCATAAAACCACTAGCAACCAACCAGGACCTTTCTGGCAGACATAAATCACAACCAGGTCAACAGCATGAGCAACTGGGGATATTAAGTCACAAGAATGGAAAGAAGTAATTGGCAAAATAATCCAGAGGAGGTAGATTCGCAAAAGAAAGACTTGTTCTTATTGACTCATCCATTTTGGATGCCCCTCAGTGCTGCCCATATCACTACAACGCCAGTTAGAAATTTGGCCCTCTTCCACAGCCATGGGTTCAGGATTTCTTTTAGTCACAGCACCCGCAATCAGTTTGGTCCGAGTTCAGTGGAACACTCCCAGAGTCTTGCAGGCCAGTCCAACATCTCTGCTTCCAGGACCATTTTGATTGGGACTCTTTTTTGGCTTATGGGACTCTCCAACTATGTTTCTATATGTTTCTATCACTTCACCCTCTCATTCCACTCACAGCCTGCACGTTGCGCACCTGGGTGACCGGGGGAATCAGAAGGCGAGGTGATAGTGATGGGTTGAATGGGTAACATGCTTGGTGCAAAATGGTTTGTAGCCCTGCATCTGTCCAGGTATGCCAGTGATGCCGTCCTTCTCATGATTATCATGAATCATCTCTTCATTTAACTTACCCTCTGGTAATTTAACATAGCTATTGAAAATGGCCATTTATAGTGAGTTTTCCCATCAAAAATGGTGATTTTCCATAGTTATGTTAAATTACCAGAGGGTAAGTCCTTTGCATCTGGCACGTTCTGAACGCTTAGATGTCAAATCCTAGGTCCAAAACATGTGGTTCAAAGCTCCACTTGTGTTGACCGACTTTGGGGTGTCTGAATCGCATCCTCATTCCTTCAACCTGACTTTTTTTGTTGCAATGACATGTCCATGTGATGATCATACTGTTCTTGTAGGATGATCACCACCTTCCCCACAATCCATCTGGCGGTTAGCTGGTTTAGCTGATGTTCCGAGTTTTTGTTTGATGATCTTCTTTTGTTTTCACTTGGAACATCTTCATTTTGGAGGATGTTCCATGATTTTCCTACGATTTCCAGTGTGTTTTCCATCTGTTCCAGTGTGTCCCATGATTTCCCATGTTTTCCCATGATGTTCCTATGTTTTCTTACGATGTCCTATGTTTTTTTCATGTTTTCCCACCACTTTCCCACCATGTTTCCATGATTTTCCATGTTTTCCCACGATTTTCCCATGATTTTCCATGTTTTCCCACGATTTTCCCATGATTTTCCATGTTTTCCCACGATTTTCCCAAAGATTTTCCATGTTTTCCTACGATTTCCCATGATTTTTCCATGATTTTCCCATGTGTTCCGACAATTTTTCCATGTTTTCCTACGATTTCCCATGATTTTTCCATGTTTTTCCCATGTGTTCCGACAATGTTCCCATGTTTTCCTACGATTTCCCATGTTTTCCCATGATCCATGTTTCTTCTATGACTTCCTGCTGTTTTCCAAGGGATGTGGCCATCCTCCAAGTCCATCCGAGTGGCGCTCTGCGACACCGTCGCTTGGCACGGCGACGACACGGGCGTCACGTGCGCCGTGGCCGGCACCGACGGCACCGGCGCGTGGCAGTGCAGCGGCGCTGACTGCGGCACCTGCGATCCGGGAAAAATCACGGGTGTTTCAATGGGGGAATAACATAACCATAGGAAAATCATAGGAACACCATAGGAAAATTTACGTTTTAATGGGAAAACCATAGGAACACCATAGGAAAATGGATGTTTTAATGGGAAAACCATAGGAAAACCATAGGAAATTGGAGGTTTTAATGGGAAAACCATAGGAACACCATAGGAAAATGGAGGTTTTAATGGGAAAACCATAGGAAAATAATGGGAACACCATAGGAAAATGGAGGTTTTAATGGGAAAACCATAGGAACACCATAGGAACACCATAGGAAAATGGAGGTTTTAATGGGAAACCATAGGAACACCATAGGAAAATGGAAGTTTTAATGGGAAAACGCACATCATAGGAAAATGGAGGTTTTAATGGGAAACCATAGGAACACCATAGGAAAATGAATGTTTTAATGGGAAAACCATAGGAAAACCATAGGAAAATGGAGGTTTTAATGGGAAACCCATAGGAACACCATAGGAAAATGGAGGTTTACCCTCTGGTAGACTAACATAGCTGTGGAAAATCACAATCTTTAAGTTCGGTAAATCAACTATATCCATGGGCCATTTTCAATAGCTATGTTAAATTCCCAGAGGGTAGTACATTCTGATACTATAGTAATGTAATAGTGTAAAGCAATGGTGTATAATACTGTAGTGTCTACTATATATATATATGATTATATACATATATTCTTAAATAGAATCGAATATAGTATATCATACTATATGCTTCAAATAGTACTGATATAATAGTGGCTATATTATTAAATAATTTTCAATATTAAAACCATAGTAGTTAGTAAGTACATCAAGTATCATAATAATTGTATAATAATGGTTAGATTATCCACTCTCCACAGGACAAACCAAAAAATCCATGAATTTCCTTGATTTTATCCTGATTTTTCAGGGTAAAATCTCCAGTTGTTTTGGTTAAATCACCATTGTTCATGCTTAAATACCCGCATCTCAAACCCTTATGACATGTTTTGTGTTTTTTTGTTTACGCAATAGTTCTATCGGTTGGTGATTTTGATAGATGGATGGTTTAAGATGTTATCCATCACTATCTCTATATATATATATATACCAATCAGTCATGAGTGATATTGTTCTTATACCATCTACATATCGTAAATGATATGAACATGTATTAACAAGAATTCATGATGTTCCCATTAATTAGCTATAAATATCTATTTATATTTATATCTATAGCTATAAATATCTATTTATATTTATATCTATAGAAAAAATTCTTAATTTCCAAATCTATATCCATCCATTGTTTGAGAACGCCCCCACAAAACATCGCACCTGTGCTGGCCTGGGCGCCGGCGCGGGCCTCAGTGGAAAGTGCTGGTGAAATGTAGATCGATTAAATTTAATGGGTTCATGGTATATATATATAGTTAATATAGTTAATCGCCATTTAAATATGGGAAATCGCCATTTATATGTATAATATATATATATATATGTATGTATAATCACCATTTATATGTATATATTGTAGTTATTTATAGTTAATCACCATTTATATGCATAATATATAAATATATATAGGAAAATTGACGATACACAAACTTTCTATGAATCCCTTCCACCTAACATGAAACACCCTACAGTAAATGGTGCCAAAATGTCCCAAATATGAGTGAATCGCATACTAAACCGTAGTTTCTCGGGTGTGAAAAATATTAGTGGAAAGGGAGTAAATGGGTTTATTGTGGACACATATATATATATATATGTATATATATAAATAATAACAGTAAATAAAATTATCATATAATAAAACAACAGCAATAATAATTTTAAACAACAAAAGAAAACATAAACAACAATAAAATCATATAATAATGATATATAATATCTAGTTGGATGGCTTCGTGAAACAACGAGTAGAATTGGGCAGCCTTGCAGTTTCTATAACCCACATGTTATGGGTTCTTACACCTTCATCCCAAATAGAGCAGTGGCTTCCCCCCAGTTGTATTTGTTTGTGTACAACCCCCCATAAAAACTAGATCGAATTGCATGTATGCACATATATAAATATAGGGGCAGTTGAGCCAACCCACCTGCGCCACCACCTTACCACCTTAGGGGGTTCTGGTGACTACAATCCATCCCCAAAGTTGGGGATCTGCCACGTCTGCCACTTTTCCGCGTTTCGCACATCCAGAATTTCCATGAATTTCCATACCCTAATTTATGAGATTTGCTTCTATATTCTCTTATGTCCTAAAATATATTAAAAATATCCACTACTTTCCAGTATGACAGTCAGTTGCTAATATTATCCCATTAATTTCGAATATTATGATTATCATTGTTATTGCTATTACTGTTATTAATTAATATCGTTGTTCATAATTGTTGATATTGCCCTCTGGTAACTTAACATAGCTATTGAACATGGCCATTTACTTCGTTGATTCTTGATTTACCTATTCAACACGGTGATTTTCCGTAGCTATGGAAAATTACCAGAGAGTATCCCATCATTTTCCCTTTCTTGGAGCTACCCATGGAGCACCCGACCGCGACCAGCCCACGGAACGACGCGCCGGAGACTGGCTTTCCCCACTGCATCCGTACCAAGCCGACCTGCATGGTGCCTGCCAGGGATCAGCGTCTCCAAGATCTCGAATCCTTACATGTAGCAAAGTCATTTGAGAAAAGAATACTACATACTAATATATTCTACTAATATATACAAACATACTAAATACTAAATACTAAATATCTAGCCAATACATATATATATATATATTCTATACTAATCCCATCCCCCTAATAAAACACCGCCCTAAACTTGGATTTGCTTAAGGACCCCCCAAAAATAAAACAAACCCTATAAATTCCCCAAGTAGTAGATTTCCCATGGGGAAAATAAACAATCACCTTAAACAAATCCAAGTACATAGTCCAACAAGACATATAAATCCCCGACTAAAACCATGGTTTCTGAGGGGTCTTTAGTGAATAACGGGGTTTTTGGGATTGCTCGCTGTCAGAAATTCCGAATTTCCTGAACGAAAGCGGAAGATGATCCCGAAGACGGTGCCATTGATCCTGGTTGTCTGTATGTAGCACAGTGCAGCCCCAAAAAATATATATACCCTCTGGTTATTTAACATAGCCATGGAAAATGGCCCATTTATAGATGGTTTACCTGGGTTTACCTATTAAAAAGGGTGATTTTCCATGGCTATGTTAAATAACCAGATGGTAGATTGCTTGTGCAAGCCCAATAAGCAAACCTGCAAGGAAACTGAAGGTGCATCTAGAAGGAGCCCCAGTTGGTACTTGTAATCAGTCAGGACGTGGTTTCAGATTCATACGATCCAAGCCCAACCCTCTCCTGAGAAATCAGTGGCCCCCACCATGACTTCTGACTCGCCATGATTTGCACTGGGGCTAACACCCACCGATCACCCAGTACCAGGCCTGGAACTGGTCCCAGGGACTCACGTGCAAGTCCGGTTTTGGCGAGTTGAATCAGGCTGTGAAGGTGCGTAAGTCTATGTGGCGATGTGCCAATGTATTAGCCCAACATTCTGCATGCTTTGACTGTTTTATCTTTGCAAACAAAAGTCATGGGAAGCGTATGGAAGCGTGAAGTGGCGAGGATATCTTCAGTCGAGGCTAATTAATAGGTTCGAGCCCAAGGTCTTTAGCCACTTTGAATTGCAACCAAATTCCTCACCAGGCTGTAAGATTTCTTGCAAAGCCGTAGGATATCTTGTTTGCTGGTGTATGCTGCCAGCCAAGAAAGAGAGACACGAAAAAAACGCTGGCAAAACGTTTCAACACATTAAACATGTGCTTCCCAAAAGTTCCTGACCTTGCCAGAATAAAGGGGGTGATAGGAAGACCGTGATTCATACCCTCTGGTAAACTAACATAGCTATTGAAAATGGCCATTTATAGTGAGTTTTCCCATTAAAAATGGTGATTTCCCATAGTTATGTTAGTTTACCAGAGGGTATTCAAAAGCAACAAATTGACAGAGACGAGGCATCTCCTGGATTTGACAAAAACTTCAAGTATCCTTGAATAGATTTCGACAAATTCAGTTGGCTAAACTTTCATACTTCTTTCAGCCCTCTGAAAAGAGTTTGCCCCTGATGTTTTCAAAGATCTTCTGGTACACATTCGCCTGCGAGTCACGGAACACACAATGTGCCCTGCAGGTTGAATCCCCAAAACTGGACTTGTATCAAACTTTGGAACCCCATTATATGGTTTGGCTATATTGTGGTGGTAAATCCCTTGTTTTTGAAACACAACCATTTTCTCAAATGCTATGTACGCGAAGATGCTGTTTTGGAAGACTTGAACCTATTTGGGTGAGCAACATTTACCCTAGGTAATTTTACGCTAACAGTTTGATATTGAAAATGGTCCCATTTAGTTTGATGATTTACCTATCAAAAAACATCAAAAAACTACATTACCAAAGAGTATGTCATCCATATCCCGTTTATATCCTCATCAATGGCTAAATCCCCATGTTTAATACTCAAATCTACCAAAAAAACTCGAAGTATTATATCCTATGATATTCCCATCATATCCCCATGATACCTCATTTTATGACACCAACCTTATCTAAAATTGTCATGGGACATGAATTAGATATAATACTTTATTGTGAAAATTCCAGCTGATATCATTTCCATGGGGTATTTATAAATACCATATATCATATATCCAATCATATTCCCATCCCCATGATTCCCCCATTGAAACACCCTCGGGTAATGACTAACAGTTTGCTATGGTATAGATGGCCCAGTTATAGTTGATTTACCTAGCTATAAAGTGGTGATTTTCAATAGTTATGTAAACGTTTAATTACCAGAGGGTAAACCTCCATTTTCCCATGGTGTTCCTATGATTTGCCCATTAAAACCTCCATTTTCCTATGGTTTTCCTATGGTGATGTTATTTCCCCATTGAAACACCCGTTATTTTTCCCTTGCCCGTTACGCGTTGGCGTTGCGCCGCTCGTTTCACCCTCGCGACGACACCGGCGGAGACGTCCGCGGCTGCGCGGCTCCGAGCTCCGATTTCCAGACCTCGTGGGCTCGAAGGACTGGGGGAAACATCAAGGAGTTTCCCAGGACCCAAAAACAAGCAACAGCCAAAAAGAGAAGCAGTTAAAAGAACATATAACAGTTAACACACACACACATATATATATGCTACCCCCCCCAAAACCCATGTTTTGCATTGTTTTCGGAAGGTTGTTTAAAGCAGCCTTGAGAATGTGCATGCAAGTCTTCAAAGCAGAAGGCAGATGTATTTTTTGAAAGTTGCATGCAGGAGCATTGAGGATGTGCATGCAAGTCTTCAAAGCAGAAGGCAGATGCATGTTGCAGTTTCGCTTTCACTTTAAGTTTGGAAGTTTATGATGAACAAAATTGGGTATGTGCGAGGATCCGCACGTCCCAGGAAACTATGAACCTGGTGACGACAAAGGACAACTGAATGAGTTTGAGTATGTGCGAGAATCCGCACGTCCCAGGAAACTATGAACCTGGTGACGATAGAAGACAACATGAAACATCATTGGATATTTTGTTACACATGGCAGGAAATATTGTTTCAAGAGTTCATATCTGAGCAAGGCCACAATGGATGAGTCTGAGAGAGGCAACTGACAGTGGTATCGATTGATATCTTTTGGTTTTAGATCAAGCATCACTGCAGAGGTCAGCAGGCAAAAAAGTGGAACTTTTTTCACCTTGCGAAGCAGAAGGCAGCATTTGGACACTCCCTACGTTTGGTTGTCAGACATGGGAGAGGGCATGAAATAGAATTTGGTTGGAAAGGATGATCATGCAGAGGTTGAGTCCTGTTGCTGTTGTTGTTGCTGAGATGTGAAGTTTCTGAACAGCTGTGTTTGGACATTCTCTACATTTGGTTATGAGATATGGGAGAGGGCATTGAATAGCATTTGGCTGGAAAGGATGCAGAGGT